CTAATTTTCCAAGGCGAGCGACGTGATTTCTATGACCGTCGAGCCTCGACAGAACGTTGAGATAGACGTCGCGTTTATGTGCTTGCGGACCTCCTCGCGAGCATCACCGTTAAACGGAATGTCCGCGGTCCCTCGTATCCATGTACAATGACCATAATAATGTGCATACTTAGAACTGTGCACACCGTATGGATAATCAGCATCCGCAAGAAGAAACTCGTAAAAGCCCCTTTTGGCGTCCAGCTTCGGTCAGCCGCTTCGTTTTACAATTATTCGCTAACGGTCCTCTTAAGTATAACGATAAATTCTATAATCATGTTAATTTTACTTTGAAATTTTCGTACTCGTTATGTCACGTTCGTCCCATTGTAGTTCACGACTATCCACAATGGTCTGAAATCTTGTCAGATTTGATTCCAATCGATCTAGTCAGAATATGGACGATACGAATGACAAAAAAAAAATTTCAGGTTCCTGGTTTTAGTAAGGCACTTTGAGCGAATTGCGTCGTAGCGCTGTCCTAAGAGATCTCGTTAGTTTGCGAAAAGCGTTAACGTGTTTCGTGTTCGATGAAGCATATACGAAGACCGGGGGAAGTGATATTTAATTAATAACTTTCGTTAACCGGCCACTCACGGCTCGGTGGTTTTCATCGTAAGCCATTAGGCGACCGAGATCACGTCCGCATAGTTATGCAAATTCACTTTTCAAATCGCAACAGTTCGGTCTTATTTTACCGAAAAGTGATAGTTCTGTGTTACGAGGCTAATCGACGAATTCGCAGCTGGCCTCCTATCTAAGTTACTTAACGAATTAAATAACCCATTAATTTCACTTTCTCTGGCGGAAATATTTCTGCCAATAACGAGAAACATCGGAGTCGAGCCTTTTTCTTCTCTGGAACATCCAATTATTAACAGCGCTTTTGCTACTAATTTTAGTGACAATAATTCTAGTAGTAGAGAAGTATTCACTTAGATATTCATTTCTATTGAGGAAGCGTCCATATACTTCTGATCGAGAAGTAATCATAAAATCGTCAGTCTAGATTCCTCGTCGCATTGGCTTAGATATGTGTACCATCGAGCAAAATAATTCCGGAACAATACATATTAATTAACACTGTTCCGTTTAATTAGCGTGAATAACGTGCGCGAGTGGAATTTCAAAGATTCCGATAGTTCGTTTAAGGAACAACGATACTCGTGTTTCGAAATCTCTTCCGGCGGCTGTGAGATTGTCCCACGCACCGATTTCTACGCTCGCCTCTCAATCTTACGCACGCGACAATGTACTTTAATAAAGCAACTGGCCTGGATACCACGTGCATTCACGATTCGTGTACAATCGGTGTCTACGAACGATGGAAAGTCTGCCGAAAAATTTTAACGAAGCTCGGAAACCGATGAGTAAACTGTGAAAGAACCTTGACACCGATGTCTAAATACTAGAACAATGCTGGCATGTAAATGTTTTCGGAGTGAAATGCTCGTGTATGAACCGACACTACCAGAAATATAAATAATCGGAATTATTTCGAACGAGCTTTAAAACTGTTTTTGGTCTAAAATAGAAAAAGGGCACCGTGATTAGGTCTTCGTAAACTTCACTTTCTGCAAAAATTCAAATTTTTATGTCGTGCGACAATTGTCGAATTTCCCTTGCGAATATAGCGTTCCCGCAACTTTTCCAAATAGTTACATTTCCAATTGAAAACTTACTTTTATCAAAATAAAATATAACTTGTATTAAAAATTTTAAAAATCTGTTGAGGAATTTACAAAGATTACTCGATACATACGAACGGATTTTCTTGCTTATGATATTAATTAATATTAGATAGATAGTATAGATTAGTACAGATAACGCGAGCAGCCTGTAAATCAGCCCGAGTCGCTTCCTCGTTCGCGCTTGTTCCGCTATTGAAACGTGCACGATATCGCAAAGAATGTTTTACCAGGGTTTGCACCGAGGTCAGTGTTGCTACTTTTTAAAATATTTCACGAAGATACGCGTGCTTGCGATGAGGAAGGGTTAATTATCATTGCAAAAGAGTTCGTAGTAGCGTCGGTGGCACGTGAACAGGTGTGGAGAAGTGATTCTTCGCTCTACGATAAGAACAGACAACATTTTATTTGAATGATAGATGGTAAATAAAATTAACGGATAATAATTTAATCGTGACGTTTATTCGATTGAACGATTCAATTTCTGATGTTTTAAATATTTCATTTCATAGGTAATTCAAATTTTAATTTGAATTCTAAATGTAACGAGCAAACAATTGTTTATCTTTTATCCTGTAGTCGAAATTTATATACATAGTGTTCCACTTAATTCTTACATCTTAAATATCTCGCGTGCTTTTTGTGATAGTACATCGTAACACAGCATAATACAATGTAATCCTGCATAAAACAGCATAATGCAGGATAATACAGTATTAACCAACGTAGTACAACGTAACATAATACAACATTGTAGAACATTATCCAGCATAGCGCATCATATAATTGACAACCATGGCAATTAAACGTCGTACTAATACATCGTGATACTATCTAGTACTACCTATATTTGTATTTTTGTTTCATTTTTGTAACGACAAGTAGTTTATCAGTAACGGTGATCACGTTCCTATTAGACAAGCTGTATTTCACAGAGAAAGAGTGAAAGTATAACTGTTCCAAGTGCGTTAGTTTTCTTCTTTGATTGGTGATCGGATAAAATATCGGCAATCAATAACCCGCAATTCATAATCGCCTATTGCTTTCACCGTGCTAGTATGTAAACATTTCATATTATGCAAAATCAGGTTTCTATAGTCATTGAACCGTGGCCACCGTGGCGTTACAACTGTATAACGCGTATTAACTATTTTGCATTTTCTCCGTTCTCGAACAAGAGCACGCGAGTTATCAGAGAGGAAAAATTGAAGTTCTGCTCAAGTATTCGCTTGATAATAGCTGTTATTTCAGAAATTGTAAAACAAATGTGATATATGCTGGTAGCGTATACGTGTATTTTTCATTTCATTGAAACGCAAACTCATAAACATCTCAGTTTATAAATAATTGGACTTGGGTGACTTTCAAGATAAACGGGTCATTTATTAAAAAAATTTTAGATTGTTTTAACGAGTTCCCCAAGGTCGTTGAAAAAGTTTGGAGTCGTTTTATTAAGTCGTTCAAAAGTTATAACAATTTCTGTGTATAAGAAATTTACATGTAGCCAAATGGAAAACATGCTACCACGTTCATTCAAATAGAGAAATAGTATCGAAGAAATAGCAAGAATAATCTATAATTTTATAAACCAGTAATTCAAGTATCTAAAAAGCCCATACATAAATAATATTTACTAATTGTTTATTTTAATGCATCTGCCAAAGATGTTTAATCAACATCAAGAACTACAAAGAGTATCGACTATTATCGACAAATTCCCTCATCCAAATACTCATGCCCCCCGGATTAATCCAGACGAGAGATCAATCCCATTCGCAACGTGCAAGTACGACAAACAAAGTCGTTCAACAAGAAAATGAACAAAAACAAAAAACTTAAGCAAGAGTTTCGCCAGTGTGTGTAGAAAATGTTGGCGACGACAATGACTCACCGGCGGTGTTCAGGATGAGCTTTCAACCGAGCCTCGTCGAGTCAAGGTGATGCTGCTCCTCCATTCCGCCGAATACTGCCTACTGCCTTCTTCTTTCGTCGTCTCTCTTCTCCCGATGGCAGACTCTTTTCTGTCAGGCTGTGTCAATCGAACCCGAAACCGAATAATCCGCGAACGGCACGGTTTGTCACCTCAGCAATCGTCTCCCGCGAACGCATCACTCGACTCCGCGATCACTATACCGCAATACCATCGGTATGTTCGACGCTTGCCTTGCCAGGGAGCCTTTTCTAAACGCTGACTTCTGACAGACATGCCTTCCGAGGTTCCGAGTCTCCGCCGGACCCCCTCTTGGCTCTGGCCCCCCTCTTTCTTCCATTGGGTCTTTCAAGTTCGCAGCGACGTGCCCCTGAAGAACTTGGGCCCCACAGGTGGCCATAATTCTCGTGTAGCTAAGGAATTTTTAACGTGTACACTGCGGATTTTTATGCGTTTAAATATTATTGAACGATTAAGGTGGTCCTTGTTTCAATGACTTTTCAAGTCATATGGTCTGCAAAATTTGAGCGCTTATTTTTAACGTTAACATGTGCCCCAAACTTTCAAAAGTTTCAAGTGGAAAATTGTACATGCAATTTGTTCGACTGGTTACATTTTTCTGTATAACTCATTATAACTTAACTATAATTGATGAAATGATTTGAAATTTGGCAGAGTTACTACTTATATTAATGGAAACAATCCCTAAAAATTGCAAATTTCTATTTCAGTTATTATACCTTTTAATTATTATTACCTTATATATCAGCCTAGTAAATATTAAGTTATTTTTTCTACTTAAAATTAAAGGTCTCGCATCATTACAGTTAGAAAACCTCTTTGAGACCGTCGCAACACCACGACCAGGGATTGCATCTTCGTAGTTACACTCTTGTCATACTACCGATGCCGATGGTACGTGTACTCCGACCTCCCACCAATCTCTTCCGAGAGGAGACATTCACCTCGCGAAGCCAACTCCCAGCCAGGTATCGTTACCGATGGCTACGTTTCTCATGCAATGTTCGTCCAGCCACTTTTACAGCCGCTGTGCTCGCTCGTAGATCGTTTCGTTCACTCCAACGTTCACGCGTATCCTTGCATTTTCGATAGCTGATGCATCATTGCGGGCAACAGCCACGGTGATCGGCCAACGACCAGCTCCAAGATCCGTTCGTCCTTTGTTCTTGCACGGTCTCCAACTTGTCCGAACGAAACGAAGACTCTTCGCTGTTGGATATCGAAAGATAGATGCGAGAAGGGTATACTCGAAATTGAGCTTGTCTGGAGCAAGTGCAAAGTTGTCATCGTAAAGTGGAACGTAACTGGAATGATCCTGAAGTTGGATTTGAGATGATACCGTCAGATTGTACGTTGGATATATCCAACGTTTTTCATTCCACCTCTGTAGTCATCGAAGGGAGCTGCTTGAACAAGTCGGAACCGACCGCGGTGCTGAGGGATGTGTCCGCAAGGGTGCACGGCGGAGAAGTATTGGCGATTTTGGGCTCGAAGGGATCTGGAAAGAGGGCTCTGCTCGATGTTATCGGTAAGATAAGAGTGATTTAGGCACCGAACAGTGCGATATTTCAGCGGTTAAAAATTTCTGACATAGTCACTTGACGATTTACCGTTCATTTCAGCCCGCAGAGCAGAAGGAGAAACAAGAGGTAGAGTGACGTTAAACAACAATCTATTGACACCAGAGTTGTTCAGACGTCATGGTGGATACGTAGCTCATCGATGTTACTTGCTACCGAGTTTAACCGTTCGTCAAACCCTGACCTACGCGACGTGGCTTGCCAATCTGAACAACAGAGGAGCAAGGGTTCGCCAAACGCTGGCCGATCTGGCGTTGTCTCAAGTGGCGAACAGGTCAGTAAACGATTTAACCAAGCCTGAATACAGGAGATTGATGCTGGGTGTTCAGCTAGCTAAGGACCCCACGCTGCTCCTATTGGACGAACCAACCTGGGACACTGATCCTCTGAACACGTATTTGATCGTGTCCATGCTTTGGTCTTACGCGACCAGAAGAGGATCTATCGTCGTTCTAACGATGGAAACTCCCAGATCGGACGTCCTGCCGTTCGTGAGTCGTGTGACTCTTCTGTGTTTAGGAGCAGTGGTTTATTCAGGACCAACCAGGAGCATGCTGGATTATTTCACTTACATCGGATTCCCATGTCCTGAACTTGAAAATCCGTTGATGTACTACTGTAAGTATCTATTACACGAGACAGATTGCATTCAATGGCGCATTATACAGGAAGGCACACAATTTTATAATGGAATGATATCGAGCATAATACCTTAAAGAATTTAATTGGTCGAGTACCGTGGTTGTTGTTGTTTTATGTTGATTCTTACACCTATTAATCCAGTCTTGGTTGGATCACTAATTTATTTTGTTTCTTGTAATGATCAGAAATTCCAATCAGTAATTTTAATTGCACACAAATGCTTTAGTGTGTCTGTCGACGGTCGATCGTCGATCCAGAGATCGTTTCCTAGAATCCAATCAGCAGATATCCGTCCTGGTTGATAAGTTCAAGGCTGAGGGCGTTATTTATATGAAAGAGGCTCCGCAAGTACCGCCAAATGTCAAAGACACACCACTTGGTATTATGCATAAAGGTCTTGGTCGTGGTATCAAGCCGGGCTGCTTCTCCACTCTTCTTGCTCTTTATTTGTAAGTGTGTACTGCTGCAAATGTGTACAAGTAATAATTTTCTACTAAAAAGTATAATCTTAATAACAACTGTAGAGAAATCTATTATAGTAAGTCCCCTTCAACAGACATTACATTTATACAAATTTTAGAAGAGGCATGGCAGCAACGTTTGCCTTCAGCAGGTCTGGGTTAGGACACTTTGCCACCCGACTTTTGTTGCTACCATTCTCCGTCGCCTTAATGAGCATTCTATACTCTCATTCGACTCCTATACAATCCAGGATATTTCTCCAAACTGGAGGTTTAGTTTTCAACGTATTAACGTTATTCTACGTTGCCGGGATTGCATCGACAGCACTACTTTGTAAGTTTTTGCAGATTGACGATTTCTTCTTTCGCACGACGCGTGATACACAAACGATGACGGCAGGATGTAACGTTTGCTAATTACTCAGTTCCAGGTTATCGTGCCAGATATTATCAGGAGAAACGAGAGGGTCTTTACGGTGGCGCGATGTTCTTAACCGCGTACGCGTTGTTGAGTTTACCGCTGAGCTTTGTTTCGACCATGATTACCATCGGTATTTTAACACCTATCCTCGAGCTGGACTTGTCATCCTGGGCATACGCCTCCGGGGTTCTCTGGGCCAGTTACGTTGCAGCCGAACAAGTGACCGTGGCTGTGCTGATGGTTGTCGGTAGACCAGTGACGGGTGCCATAACGGTCTTGTACATGACATTAGTGTCTCTTGTTGTTGCGTCTGGTGCTATTAGGAGCTTGAAAGGTCTGCCGTATTGGCTCGCGGCTGTTTCAACCGCGTTACCCGCTAGGTACGCTTCGTTGGCTTTAAATCAACTGGCCATCGATATGCCCATATTCTTAAACCTACATTACAACGAAAGTTTCGCCTGTCCTGGAGTACCAGAACTTTGCCGGTATCCAGATGGAAGGACTTACTTGATAGAACGTTTCACACGCGAAGGTGAAAACATTTCTGAAGTGCTGAATGTCGATTTGAACTTATTGATCTCGTTGGCGTTCGCTGTCGGTTTGTGCATACTGAACAGCGTGCTTTATTTGCTGCCGCTTCCTGCAAGAGTGAAGGCCAAATTTAGAGAATAAGGGACGATACTTAAACATTTGTAAATGGATGTCGTTAAATATACTTAAATTATCAAAAACAGTCAACAACAGTTTGTACTGTTCAACAACTTATTCATTTTACATCGTCCATTGCAATTTTAAAACCATTTCAAATCCATCTCCATACCAAAAATATTGAGATCAGTAGAGATAATTCGGAACATCATAAATTGTAGAAAGTTCCTTTTTATTTCTAGTTCCTTTTTATTTCAGCGCGTGTATTACAAAATTATATTACTTTCCCGGTTAAGATCTAGCCGCCGCATTATGGTAAATAATATATTTATAGTACAATTATAGTAAGCTATGCGATTGCAATATATTCTTAAAGATACGTATCTATGTATAAAATTGTACAATTGATAGTTGAAACGATAGTTGAGTTTGAGTGTTTGAGAATATCGTTCATCTTGTCTTGTTTAATTTTAAGAAGATTATCGTTGCTATTCACAGTCGTCTACGTCCACCTGTCTCATTTCTTGAAGATCATCAGCTACTGAAAATTCACAAGCGGTAGAACTAACGATTTCGCTTATATCAACTTTAGGCGCAATTTCGGTAAGTTTTAATCCTTGTCCCTCGACTACTTCAAACACTGCCATGTCGGTAATTATTAGATCTACGCATCGTTGACCTGAAACCGACACATCAAAAGATAAGTATGTGTCTCTATTTTTGGATGTTGTTTCTACTATAGGTAATATCGTATTATTATTACTATTACCTGTTATAGGCAATGTACAACTCTTCAAGATCTTTGGACTACCATCGCGAGCTTTGTGTTCCATAGTGACCACTACTTTCGTTGACGCTGCGGAAACTAAATCCATTGCACCACCCATTCCCTTTACCATCGTTCCTGGGATCATCCAGTTAGCCAAATCTCCTGTCTCTGAAACTTGCATGCCTCCAAGCATAGTCAAGTTAACATGACCTCTGTAAGAATCGAAATTGAGAGTAATATTCTATTAAAGAAATTATTCAATAATTACTTGAAAAATACGACAAACACCATTTGTTTTAGTACGTACCCTCGGATCATAGCAAAACTTTCATCGCTGCTGAAAAATGATGCTCCTGGCAATACCGTGACTGTCTCCTTTCCAGCGTTGATCAAGTCTGGGTCAACCTCATTTTGAGCTGGGTAAGGACCAAAGCCGAGAATACCATTTTCAGATTGCAACGTCACTTTCACATTTTTAGGAATGTACTTGCACACAAGAGTAGGTATACCAACTCCCAAATTGGCTGCAAAGAATTTGTTCATTGAAACCTAAACGTGTTCTACGATTACATTTATTGGTTTCCCGATGTCTTACCATACATTCCATCTTCAAATTCAAGCGCGGCACGCTTCACGATCCTATCCCTTGCTTTGCTCGCTGGTGTTACTTTTTTAGGCTTCACCACCGCTTCCTTTGTCATTAGTTTCTAATTTTGTAAGATATAAAGATTCTTGTAAGAGATCGATTTAAATTTTATATAGCTTTTTGCGAACTGTGAACATGTACAAACCTCTATTCGTTTTTCGTACGATAGACCTTTAACAATTCTGTCTACATAAATACCAGGCAAATGCACGTGATCAGGATCCAATTCACCAATTTCTACAATCTCTTCTACTTCGGCAATAGCTACTTTAGCTGCTTTGCACATTATCGGATTAAAATTTCTGGCCGATTTTCTGAAAACTAAATTTCCAGCTTTGTCTGCCTTCCATGCTTTTACAAGTGCAAAGTCTCCTTTAATTGCAGTTTCCATGATATAGTTTCTACCATCGAATTGTGCTATGCTTCTTGGATTTCCAGATATTTCTGCATTTCCATCTTTGTCGTATTTCACAACCACGTTACCTTCTTGGACTAAAGTTCCAAATGCTGTAGGAGTATAAAAGGCTGGTATACCAGCTCCACCGGCACGAATACGTTCTGCTAATGTACCCTATGTGTTCAAAATACTCTTATAATTTACATTGTAACTTTAAATCTGAAATTCCTAATGCTGTTGGTAATCACCTGTGGCGTTAATTCAGCCTCTAACTGACCATTAAGATATTGTTTCTCAAACTCAGAGTTTTCACCGACATAAGAAGCAATCATTCTTTTAATTCTATGTTCCTTTAAAAGTAAACCCAATCCAAAGTCTTCGACACCTGCATTATTCGAGACAACAGTTAAATCTTTTGAACCTCTTTTCAATATAGCAGCTATTAAGTTTTCTGGAATGCCGCAAAGTCCAAATCCACCAACCAAAAGTTTAGCACCATTTGGTATATCTGACACCACTTGATCTACATTTTTGAATATTTTTCCTTCTCCTATCGGTGGAGATAACTTTTCAATTTCTTCTTCTGCTTCAGGACATTCAGTTTTGATGGAAAAATTAACTGTGCATACCTAAAGAAAACAGTTGGTATACGTTCAATATATGAAACGAGAGATAATTAAATGTTAAATTTTAATATATAGTCTCACTTCTAGGTTATGTTTAGATTACCAAGTACTTTTCAATAATATGAACGTCACATACCTTTGATAGTTTTAAATGTTTGTAACTATTCCTCGAAACCGTGCTTACATGGAAAAGTTTACAGCTGACTCTGCTTATAACGAAAGCCATGACTTTTCCAAAAAATCCTTCAAAAAGTTGTAAGTATGTTTATATAAATAGGTTAACTCGCCGCACGGTGTCGTTCGTCAACGACGACGATACTTATTATATATATAACTACTTTGATAACTGGTTCTTGTTGCTAATTTTTCAAAAGTTAGTTGATTCCCATTGGCTGTAATACATGGCGTGATGAAATGTGTTTGCATAAATTGCAACAATCTCAAGGTTTAATTACAAATTGAACACTATTTATATTTCGAAAAACTTCATTCATCGCGCATTCGCCTTTTTTGGTGAAGATATTTGGTGAAACAAATGTTGATTGTTAATGATAAGACTCTGTGTTTTCTTAAACAGAATTTAATTGTATAATGTTCTAAAATAGCATTTTGATTGTAATTAATTAACAACATCGAACGATTAATGTAGACGATATCGCATTACTGCGCGTTAATGCCATATGGGTGCGAGTCGATGCCGCATCGTCATGTTCTGACAATTACCAAGTTGAAGATTTATTCAAATAGGTCCAGTAGTTCTGGAGTATATTATTTATAAACATACAAACAAAGAACATCCAAATGAAAAAATTCCTGATAAATCATCACAGCTGTTTTCAAAATTTTTTATTTTCTATCTTTTATAATACTATGTATTTATAAAATTATATCATAAATTATACAATTTCTACACACTAACAAGTGAATAATTTACATTGCAATCATTCCGTGGAGTATTTCTTAATGATTTAGGCCTATGATAGACCAATCATTTTAATCACTGAGCATGATTTAAATTTTGGTAACATCGTTTAACAAATCATTTAGCATGATAATCATGGCTTTGAGTGCTCCATTCTGCTTCCACTTAAATAATTCTTTGTATCATCGATGTCGTCCAGCTCTGGCATCGGTAATAGCACCCCATAATTCTATGATAAAGTCATCATTGAACCCAAAGGCTTCCAAATCTGAATTGTCTATCGCCTCCGCGAAATCGATGCTGTTGGCCTTGCCTTCTGAAAGCTCCCAGATTTGTGTTGCTGTTTTCAAATAAAATTTAATGAATATAATATAACACTGACACTATTGTTTCATAGACAAGGTGACATACCTAATTCTGTATCGTAGATACCCATGAAGCTCTCCAAAATCACGTTGATCTTTTCGATGCCTATCATGGCAGTATCATCCACCTATTGATTAGAGACAAAAAAAAAATAAATGAAGACTAAGATGTTACTAAGATATTGTCTTAAGATATTGAAACCTCAAAAATTCAAGTGTTCGTATAGTTTTGGTATGTAGCGTAGGGTACCGCGGTTTCCTTTCTCTTTTTAGTCGTAGCACGGTTGGAAGTCTGACTCCCCTACTCTACCTATAATATCTCTATGTATTTAATCAGCTCTAAAAATGACAGTGGTTTTTTTTTTAGTTTCCATGCTTCATGAATTATATATGCAAGAAACTTGTTAGCAAGCTTGCAAGACAAGTTATGACTCTGGAACTTCAATCCAGGAAATGGGGTCGTTGCCCGTGGAGTGAAATGTTTGCATTTTTGAGCATCTATTTCTCGTATACGGAGTAGAAGTGCTCCTTGCTATTTCCCCCTATCATATCAATTGAAATCTTTTTAGAAAACCTTGTTTTATTTATGTATGAATTAAAAATAAAATTTAGAAATCTGTCTATAATACATCTATGGTTTTCTCTTGCGAGAGTAGAATTTCTATCGAAGAACTGATTACCATCTCTATAATTTGCGCGCTTCCGTCGGCTTTGAACCTAAGTGTCTCCTTTCCGGTACCGTAACCCGATTTCTTTCCTTTCTTGAGGTCTCCCCGTGGACCGATGCTCCCGAAGCCATTCTTCAATGGCTCAACCAGCCTCAACGTAAACGTGGAACCTTTCGGGATTTCCTTTAGCATTTTCGCCACCTCGAAGTGTCGTTTACCGACCAAATTGGTTGAGTTGATTTTCTCTATATGATCCCCGACTTCTATCACCTTTATCCTGTCGATCACGGATCCTTCCTTAATACGTTTTATGAAAGCGTATCCTGCGCCGTTGTCGGTTATCGTTAATCCCAGAGCATCGCCCGTTTTCACCAACTCGATCTCCTTGGGTCGTCCTGATGGAACAGAATATCTATTTTAATTAAATAATCTTCGAAAAATTGCTTATTCGTTGTTAGGAAAATTTTGTGTTAAGGGTCTATGCTAATCTAGCGGTCGAAAAATTCGGGGACCTTTGGAATTTTTGTTACGAGTAACTACGTTACGGGGTGTTTTAAAACTTTGCGTGCCTATTGATTAATGCTAAAACAGTAAGCTGAATTTTGTTCAAGTGAAGTTTCTTTCGTTTAACAGTTGTATGTATAGTCAACGTTCAAAGGGTCGTGTTACCTTTTTTATGCGCAAATATAAAATCACCGACACCAATCTGACTGCCCAGCAGTTCCGTCATCTCGATTTTGTACGTGTTCAGCGTGCAGAAAAGTATCTAAAACAGAAAAGCGATCAGTGAAGAATTATTGAAAGCGAAAATGATAGTTGATTGAAAAATTGTTCAGACAAAAAATAATGCTTTCTTTTTTCTAGGTGGTGACGGATCCGCGATATCAAGGTGACCTTGATTTTCCTCTCTTAATTAAAGAAGTCTGGAACTATCGATTTGGAGCCCACGAAAAAACTACAGCTAAAATCTAATTTAAGAAGCAGAAAGCCTCTAATCTGTCATACGTATTATCATAGGCTTGCATATTAGCAACCCGTCTACTTTCACCGCGGCTTTTGAGCGATGTTACGGAATGGTAGTTTAATTCTGTCCCCGATTTAACACGTTCACCGCAGCGAATTTTTTCATGGTCTTTCATACTTAGCGGCGTGCATGAGTTAGTTAAACTCTATGCCAGACTTTCATGTCCAGCAGTACAGAGAAGATAAGTAATATAGACTTTTTATTATATAACGAATTCGTAACTGTTAATAATGAATATTTTGGATTTAAACATTTTGTTTTGTTGTAGATCTCATGGAACCCTACATGTAGAAAGTTTTTCTCTAAAGTGAAATGCACAATACGTATGTATTACAAATTTGGTCATTTTGATGACACGTTTTGATTCGTTAATGTCTAATCTACCAGAATTTAATTAGCGAAATTAGCATTTCGTCTAGCTTTTTGTGTTTTCTGACAACTGCGCGGCGACCAGCTAGGTAAAAGTGCTTGAAACAGCATTCACAACCTATTATTACATGCCAAGTTACACGGCACTTTTGCGCCGAGAGAGAGAAAGAGAGAGAAAGAGAGAGAACATGTAACAGCCAGGTCGACGAGAGGCCACGGTCCGTAACCCATGTTTCCTGTATCCGGAATAATGCTCTCTCCCTATAGGAAGCGCGCTCGCGCGCGCCAAAACGTTGAACGCACACTGACCATAAAATGAGGCAATATTTACCCAAAAATTGATCAAACAAAATCGGACATTTCATATGCAACGACCTAATAGATAGGCAAACTCACTTCTTCCATCGGTAAGTCGTAGCATTCCGCAATTTTCTGGTAAAGTTCCCGTACGTTACTGAAACCCGATATCCGTCCTGTAGGACTCCCGTGCGCCAGCTGACAATGGAACACCAAAAGTGGCTTCAACACTTTGGATGATCGTCGTTGTTCTTGTGTTTGATTGAGAGTAGCCGCATTGTTCTTTTGGGCACGCGTGCCGCCCTCGTTGTTCGCGGCTTCCTGGTCGTTTTCGTTGCCAGTTTGATGGCAATTGTTGTTCCCGTAGTGCGTGTTACCGTTTGAAACCTTCTCCAACGTGGGCGACCTTTCGACAACACGCGCTTTGAACAGCGGCATGCTTATCTCTGCGGAACACGCGGTTAGTTTCCCTTTTCGATTAACGTTCGAAACTAGTTCGAGAGGAATGGTTGTTATGAAATTATCAACTCTGTATTGCGTGATATGCTGGATAGAGAACCCAATGAAAATAATACCGCTTCGACTAATTAGTTGGCTAGACGAGCGCAAGTTACATACAGTTTATTCTTATTTAATAGAATATTAAATCAAATAAGAGTAAGCCGTAATCAGCAAATACTTCATTGGTACGCCTATTATCTGGCCAGTAAATAAACAAAGGAACTATTAGGAGCTAAGTTTTCGTTGCATTATTTTATTGGTTTGTGTTGTGATGATCTTAACTGATGATCTGAGAATGCGCCAACTACAGTTTGAGAACCGCTGTTCTAGATGATCGGGTTACAAAAAACACTCAGCATGCAAACAATCAAGTGCTCAAGAAAGTGCAATCGGTGAATCCTTAACGACTAACAACCTCTATAACTCGCGTTATGACGCGATTGTTCCAATTATCGTAGCATCCCGACATAAAAACAATTATGAAAGAATGCAAAACTCGTAAACACTAATGAGTTAAATTTCTATAGTAGCCTCACGTGAGCACGAGAATGGATCGTTGACTTTGCGTTACAGTTCTCACAGTTATTAATCTCAACGCGATAATTCATTCATTTCTAATAGCTATTCGACTCTTATAGCGTGTAAAATAACTCAATTACAAAACTAAAGATTGTAGAAAACGACAAGTTTCTCACCTTTTCTCTCGACGACGTAGAAAACGATGATATTAGAGACACTGAGGGAAAATAGAGGACTAGCGATGCGAAGAAACGGTAGCCTGGTAGTTCCAGCGATACCTCATATTTGGCCCACTGCTCGTAGCTATGTTTCACCCGTTGACGATCTTTTCTTATCGTTTTTATCGCCGTCTGTACGGTTCTTATCGTACTGTTAAGTCACTACCCACGCGAGCGTACTGCATCGTAGATCGTTGATCCAACCTTCTTTTCCTCACGGATGCATATGGACAAGCGAAACGTTCTCCTATGTTTTCATTGCAGGCGAGTAAGTTAAGCGATCATTTGGCTGCTCATCGAACGACTTCAGAGTCGTCTGCTAATCCATTTAACGCGGAAGCACTGACCAAGGTATTTCTAAACGTAGGTATGTTATATCTATGTTTCGAACGCGGTAAACTCTCTTTGAAGCGCGAGTTCACAAGCATGCGCAAGCACCTCGCGATCGCGATCGCGATCGTATGGATCGTAACTCGCAGGAGCGTATCTCCACACTGTTTGGTTGCGCTGGTTGCGCAGGCTGTGTGGCTATGTGATAATACGGGATACAAGATTCGACTGGAGACATGAACCATGGAGAATTTCCCCTTCTACATTCGAATACCACGAGGTACATGTAACCGAGTTACCGAACTCGGGAAAGCTCGACACTGCTCGGCGCTTCGGAGAGTTTTTCTTGTTGAAAAAGTAGTAAATGGCATCATTCCACAACCGTCAAAAATTACTGGTCTTTTAGTGCAAAATTTATGTTTTAAGAAATTACTAAAGAGCAATTTATAGTAATGTACTATACATACTTACATTAACCAAGTGAATGGGTTCTATTCAATTTAAGAAATATGTAAATATAATTTTCTGAAAAGTAAGGACTTGTAAGAAAAAATTTTATTTTATACATTCGACTTAATTTTACATAAAAAAACCTATATAAAATGTTTAGCACTCGTAATACAGACACAATTGTATCAAATTTTCATTTACCATTTCGAACCTTATAATTCTCTGTATAATTATAGTAACTTTTTTAAAAAAGTTCTCTAAATTCAATATAATAATATTTATTAAATACAAGAAGACTTTCGAGTTAAATTCGAGATTTTCTTAAATCTATTCAACGAGTATTGTCAAACAATCTTAGATAAAATTGTAATAATATATTTTTTTTTGTCATATAAAACAGTAACAATCACAGCGCACTTGTTAACAAATAAAATGAGAATGCACTATGGAATACGGTCAGTCTGTGTACAGGATCACATTAACGTGTAGGACTGTTTATACTATCCAATTTATTTTAACACGATCAGTTACTGAATTATATACAGGTTGTCCCATGTAACACTTTTCACGATCAACTTTTTTTTATTGTAATATATACCGAATATATATACCGTAATATATACCGAAAACTGATCAACTTTTGTTTAAAATATTTTTTTGTCAGATTATCGCAAGTACACACTGAAAAATCGTGAAAACTGTTACGTGAAACACCCTGTATATAAAAATTGATAGTACGTTTCAATAAGTTATAGAAGGGGGTGCTGTATTGAAATAGCTATGTTCTACGCGTTATTGTTTTATCGTATGTGTACAATATCTATATAGCCTTATAATAATAGGAAAGACTTTTAAATATTATTGCTGACCTAAATGTAGTTCAGGCTGAATTATGAATGCTTTCCATACTTTGCCACAGTTAGATCTGTGTTCCAGAGCTAAATAATTTCTCATTGGCACTAATAAATAATCATACGGATCTGTATTTAATTGATATTCTTGAATTGCTTTATAGACAGCTTTAAAAGGTGGCTGCTTCTGCGAATGAAACGTGCCTCTAGAGCCATGTAAAACTAGAGCTCCTTCTTTTTCTGCCTTGGTACAAACAGGCATGTACATACAATGATCGGGTCTATAATTATATCTGCACGAGTACACGTAAAGTTTTTCAGGATGATAATGAAATATAATGTTTATTATGTCTTGATCCCCCCATGTTATCTTCAATTTGTATTCCTTGTGTATGGGTATCACATATTCTATCCACCTAAATTCTCTCATTCTTGTTAAATTCATCAACATCACACCTGAATTTACACCTAATTTTCCATAATATGGATGCTTTGCAAATCTGTTATACCATCCTGTGTTAGGATCTTCATGTTCCGGGCTCAAAGCTGCCAATTGACTGGTATTCATCTTCTTAAATTCATCCCAAATTTTTTCTGGTGGAGCTAAGAACAAAGTATCTGTATCCACGTAAAGTACAGCATCCGTGTCATTCAAAACAGACTGTAATATGTAAAATACACACTTAATTAAATTATTTTTCACCCATGAAAATATACACAAAATTCATTAGGTTTTAAATGTAGATAAATTTTATTGAAAAATAATAATTAAAGAAAAATTAGCAGATAATTGATTAACTAAAGACTAAAATATACTAATACTTTATGATACACTACATCATTTGAAAAGTGTTGTTAAATCTAAAGTTGATAAGGGATCGTTTTTAAATATACTTACAGGTAAAAACAATCTTTGAGCAGCGCAAGGTTTAAACAATTTCTTCCACATTACTGCATCGCTTCCTTCTGGGAAAGTAATAGATTTGACTATAAAGTCAAAAGTTTTGTTCGACATCAGCTTCCATTCTGCCAATTTCTCATTAAATGCAGGAATCAAATTGTTCTCTGCTATAACAATGAATTGTAGAGGTCTATTTGTGAAAACCAAAGCTGATTTCAGCATCGTCAATGCTTCGTTCAATCTGTCTCCACAGACCACAACACATAATGTCACTTCCTCTGTTGTTTGGGGTGATACAATCTTTTTGACAGTTGTTGAAGCAACAGCAGCCTCCTTGGTCTGTGCATCGTATATTTTGTTTGAGAAATTGGTTAAATTGAGCAATATTATTAATGCAACGAAGATAAGGCACAAGAAAAACAATTTATACATAGATTTCATCGTTGTATTTTTCTGAAGTTTCACATCTTCCACCGACTTTCCGCTAATAAGCGATCGGTGGAAGGACTTGGCATTTTGATATCGTTCCTTATTGTTTATTATTCACGAATATAACCTTGCTACGATCGAAAAACGATCACTGATAGAAAACACTATCGTTGTGGTTAGAAACGTAGAGAGATCGTCCGAAGAAAATTGAAAGGGATGTTGAACGCTCTTGGAAAACGAAAATTCTCGTTGAACACAGTTCAAAAGAAAATTTAAATTGTAGAAATGCCTGCGTTCGCCCGCTTTCGAAAATATCGATCGATGTGTTCCACCTTGACAACAGAACCTGTTTTTGACACCCACGTACATTTTCGTAGATAAGTGACTACATAATGTAGATAATGTGACTACATCTGAAAATTACATATAGTAATAACTAGCAATATTTGTAACTATTAATAAATCGAAGTTTTATGCAAAACATGTTATTCTGCACTTCAGTAACTCATAATGTGAAAGTTTATCTCAGTAAAAAACGAGTGGGTTGCTTCGAGCTCCACAGAATTACAGATATATCCGAATAAATATGGACTATGTAGTATGTACCCTAAAAATATTCACTACTATCGGTCCTCTGTGCCTCCACCCAGGTAGGTATTGTATATTTAATGTATGTTGGATAAAAATATGAAAAGACAAGACAATGTAAAAATACATTACATGTAGCGGTTCATAATTAATAGATTAGTAGTAACAGGTTTTAGATTCAAATTACATCATAATAATAGGCTTTGAATACTGTGGATGATAAAGTCCATTTACAAGCACACATGTATAATATGTTACTCCATATTTTCGCATAGGTATCACGAGCGTGTTACAGATATTCATAATTGTTTAAAATTTAATAAAAAAGAAATATTAAAATTTTTAAAGACATCTCAGAAGGAATTACATTTGTTGATTACAAAACTACATTCAAATTTTCGCGCCTTTTTCCTTCAATCTCACAGCCATCTAGCGGTACAAATAACGAACTAATTTTCGGAGTTTGGTCAGCGCCTCTATCGGGAAAACGCTCAAGTTTGTCGCCGAATAGTTCCCACGTCCACTGCTAGATGGCGCCATTTGTTCTGATTACCACGTGTCGGTAAATAAAAACAAATGGCGCCATCTAGCAGTGCACGTAGGAACTATTCGGCGACAAACTTGAGCGTTTTTCCGATAGAGGCGCTGATCAAACTCCGAAAATTAGTTCGACGTTTCTATCGCTAGATGGCTATGAGGTTGAAGAAAAAAGGCGCGTAAATTTGAATTGTAAAAATATAAATGGTTACTTTTATAACTTCTACTAAATCTATATCTGGCCACTATGCGATGGTAGAACCTGGTGAAAGTAAAGCTATGCTTCAAGGGGTCCAAGGTTGGTACAAATACAAAGTTTGTAGATTCATTTACATATATTTTCATACATATATATTTGAAATATTATTTTAACATATATTACAAATATACAGGGATTCAAATAAGAAAATTCTATAAAAATTTCTCAAAAATAATATTACCCATACGCACAAGCGACACTCGCAGACACAGACACAGCCACGCACGCACGCACGCACGCACGCACGCACGCACGCACGCACGCACACGCGCATATACTTATATATACATTTGTTTAGGCCTTATGATTTTATAAAAATATATACATTATACTGAATCCTATTTTTAATGGAAGTAAATCACTGGTCCTTCGAGGAATAAAATTAATTATGACGATTAATCGTTAGAATCTTGAAATTCTTTGAAAACATATCTGTGATATCAGGAACTAGACTTATTCGATGCTTGAAAGGTGATCAGTCTGTGGTAATTGAGGAAGGGTTTTCTTTACTGTTTCGAGTGTTCACTCTGACATTTGTTGCTGTGTGTTCTCCTCCCTTTCTTCTTGTACAAAGTTTTCCTATTTAAAAATTTCTTTATATCAACGGCTAAACTAAAGTCCAAAAATGTTACATGTATCACGACGGTGGTTTCTCTAACGATATATTGTGATCTAAGTGATCGCAATGTACAGGACATTGATGGTAAGACACTGCACTTGCATGACCCGATCTACCTGAAGTCATAGCTACACCTTGTTCCCAAGTATCTTTTGTAGGATCGTAGATTTCTACGATATTTAAAAAATGTTCACCATCGTATCCCCCTAAAAAGAAGACAATAAAACAAAATACTTGAGAAAAAAGAAAAAACATGAATAAAGTTGAATGTACATAATGAAGTTCAAGAATTCTTACCCATTGCATACAATTTTCCGTCTAGAACTGTTACACTGAGCGCACTGCGAGCAATACTAACGCTACTAACGTATTCCCACACATCTCGCTCCGTGTCGTACCTTTCAACAGAATTTAACTGCTTATTTCCATCGTATCCTCCTACAACATATATATACTGTCCAAGACTAGCTACCCCTGCTCCCGAACGACTACATTTCATAGATGAAACCATCGTCCATTCGTCGTTTTCTGGATGATAACATTCTACAGAATTGAGCCGATTTGTCCCATCGAAACCACCGATAGCATAGAGTAATCTGTTATTATTACGATTCGTAATTGTTTATTATTGTATTGGAATGTCATTTTAAAGTTTTAAAGCTTTAAGGTAAATAATGTAATTACTTATTACTTTTACCTGTTGACCACTGCCACTCCAACTCCTAATCTTTTTATGTGCATCGGTTTTACATTTGTCCATGAATCTTGGTCTGGATCGTAACACTCAACGCTACTGTGATATTGCGCACCTGCGCTACCTCCAACAGCATACAACAACCCGTCCATCACAGCTACTCCTAAGCGATTTCTTGCCACAGACATTGGACTACAAGGCCTCCATTGATCTGTTACAGGATTGTATTTATCAACCCAATCGCTATCGTATCTGTGAATTCAATGAAAAGTCTCTAGTTTCTTATCTATCCTTCGATGCTATTTCATTTTCTTTCAACATGCTCACCTGGTCTCTGGTGAATTGTTTCTGCCACCAACAGCATAAAACATGCCTTTCAAGAATGCTCCACCCAAACCAGATCTAGGAACAACCAACTTGGCGTGTTGAGTCCACGTCCTGTCATCCGCATTGTATCCTTCCAATACGTCCAGCGAATGTTTCAGAAAACCACCCGCAATATATATTACCCTTCGAGTATTAGGCGTTCTTTCTTTCACTACCGGCTTCTTGTGAAGAGTCAAATCCTTAAAGATTTGCGCAAGGTATTCCCGACACGCAGGTACTTTTTTTAATACGTCACAGTTTTTCATTTGTTCCCGTAAAAAATTTGGAGTTAAATACTGACACCTCACAGCATGTAGTATATGTTCCATTTTAGGTCCTCTCGCTTCCTCGTTATACTTCACCCATTTTAACACAGCATTGTATACTTCTCTCTCTTCTTGCACATTTAGCTCATCCTTTCTCACCAGCGCTATCAGTTGTATTGCCGATAATTGTAGAAACTCCTCTTCTTGACATATTTGACTAAAATGTTGAACAATAAACTGATTCGCTTTTTGGTTTAAATTGTGACAACCGTGTTGTTCAGCAAAATTTGCAATTCCAATAGCATTTGTGGGATCTAATTGTCTTTCCAGAAAAACGCAACACGCTTCTATGACATTACTAACCTGTATCATGTATAATAAGGTAAATATTAATATATAGTTTATATGGAACACACAGTGGAATATTGATTATCCAAATTATTAGGGAGACAAACTTGTTCCAATAGATGTATATTTTAAAGTGTAAATTTTGTTGATGTAGGAGCTAATGCTACAGACATGTTTTCTGTTTCAATAATCAGTCACTGGGATAATCGATATTCAGATAATCTCTATATTTCATTACCTGAAACATGGTGGCTGCCGATAAAAGCGAGCACACAGTAATCTCTGTAACCCTTATTTGACCTGTATACATAAAATACATTAGGCGTGCCATAGTTGTCGGACACACACCTTGAAGTTTTACTCTAGTCATTTCAGATTCCTTTAAACCTCCAGTAAACATTGCCTGTAACATTATAAGTAATATAATACGTTTTATACTTATCCATCCATACTACCTCTATGCAAGTTACCTTAAAGTATGGGCTCGCAGCAGCCAAAATGACTTTATGCGCATAGAATAGTTCTGATCCTACTTCGAGTATAACATCGGTAAGCATATGATGACTACGCATTATAAACATCATCTTCATGGCATCTTTAATGTAATTGGTCATGTAAAATGTCATGTCACCAAGATCTCCATGCTTTTCTATTTCTTCCAAATCTTTGTCATCATCTGTCATGAAGGGCAAATTGGATCCAAGGTTCGGAGGTTGGAAGCTACTTCTAGCTCCTTTCTTTGCATAACGATCTTCTTCATCCATTAAAATAAACTGGAATAAACATACTAATGTAAAGACTGAATGGTACTAGGATTGGAAACCGAGATGGCATTACTCATTGAATAACCCGATGCAAATTCAATGATAAACAACGGAAATTATGCGAGATTAATAAGCGTTCGTTATTCATTTTCCTGGAAACGTTAGTAAAAATTGCAATGCAAGCAAACACTTACTTGAACGATCGACGAGCCTCGGGCAGTATTAAAAAGTGAAAATTATCGAAGAAATAAGTTGTTCGATAATTTTCTTGACGCAGACTAAATAAAGAGGGGGGGGGAAAAGGTGCGACCGTACGATCATAATTCGACGATTAATTCATTGATGTTATACGATGACGACGCAGGAATTAAACAAATACGTTGGATCTGCGTCTCAACGAGCACGGTATGTCGTTGATCATGGGCACGCGTCAAACACAGAATTAACATACGCACGTGTTTCGACGAGATCTTGAACACTGACAGTCTCCCCTTTGTCGAGAAACAAACATTAGATGTTCCGTTTTGTCACTACACACCACATATACGTATATAGACTATATCCTCCCTTACTGAATTGTCATGTGTAACGTTTCCGTCGGCACGTTACGAAGAAGCAAGAAGCCTATTACGAATTAGCCTGATATTCACGATCGGCTTCTCAAGAAACCCGTACACTGCCCATGCTTGACACACTTGTACATTCTTGTATATACATGTACACAACGAGTACGAGTCACGAAACAAGGTAAAAAAGAAGGTGCGACAAGAACGAACGAGAAATTGATATATCGAAGATAAAACGGGATATAACTATTTATATGTATATATATACGTGTCACTGTAGTGAGCTGAGAATCGCACAGTTGTTATTGATCATAATCAAATATTTGTGATCAACAGAAAAACGCGCACAAAACAGTCACGAAGGAAAGTCCGACCGTGAAACAGCACTCGTGATCGTAGGTGACGCGGATGACTTTGCAAATTCTTCCATTCGCTTGCTCTGCTCGATGAAGCACGTAGTTATCGCGTCGCGCGTTGACTCTGTATTTTTCAGACCACTCATTCTGTGCACCTTTGAACCACCGGTTCCGCTCATTTTTACATCTCACGTTTCGATTTATAGATCATTCGGTGTTGTACCATTTATCCGTGTGATCCACATATCGACGATACGATGTTCGTCGGTTCAATATTATCATCGGATGGATGAGATTTTTAAATAATTCGAACGCGTAAGAGGCTACAACAGTAAAATTCAGTATTAATGCATTAAATGTTAATCAGTCGAATATTATGAGATTTCCTTACGCGATCGTAATACACGGCTCGTAAAATGACCATTCGCTTGTAGGCTCAACTTCGCGATTCGCGATTTTTCGGTAGATTTTTCTCAGTTATGCCTTATCCTTATCCGATCGTACTCAACCTTTTTTTAGATTCTACAAAGTCTAAACTACAAAACAGGACAACTTTAAACAAAATTTTTTGTTTTTTCACACTTCAAATTTTTTATTTTTTTAACTAAATACATTTTGGAAAAACCGCCTGCACTGTTTTCGTAGATAAGGCGATTCTGCGTCAAATAAAAGAAGTCCGGACTCGGTAGGTCAATTGTAGCCTGAGTAATTGATACTAAAAGACCAAAAAGTACGATTTTTCAGGAAAAGCAAAAAAAGAACAAAAAAGGCGGTTTACGTTTTAGACCCCTCCGATACCAATAGAAGAAATACCAGTTATTTATCCTATCATATATTATTTTCGTGTATTCTTTTTGTCTCCCTCAATGGTATCTGTATAAAATATGTATTTTTTAAATGAATCAGTGACTCAGTCGTACGTTAGTTTGGAATTAGCATATCTATAAATTATAAATAGAATTTTAAATGAATTTTTAATTTCCATATGTTAATTTTTAAAAGTCATCACTGCTAACTACGAAATCATCAATTGTTTCTTCTGTGAATTCAATCTACAATAGAATGCTACTATTGGATTGGATTTACTTTTCAAATTGTTGTCTGAGATCGTTACCAGAAAGGCGTCTATTACTTACGAGACTTGAACAAAAGTTAATTTTAATATATGCTTGTTAGCAAAAAATATGAATGGTTTCTAGAAAACATTGTGAAATTTCAAATGGGTAAAAATAACAGTGGAACGTATCCTAGTGTTATATATGCCTATTTTTTTTATTAATTCAACTACATAAACATAATATTAAAATTAAATTATTAATTGATTAATTTTAAAGAATTAAAAGCGATGGTTATTTTGAGACAATATATTTATTTCTTATTAATATGGAGTTTTCAACAATAACAGTGTAATAGTAGGCGTAACAAGAGAGACGAGGTAGGTTACGAGGAACCTAACCTAATACCGTACGCCAACAAGTCACCGTGATAACAGAATATTCATGATTGTTATGGTTATAAGTATATGTCTTTTCTACTTTATGATCTAAAACAGTTGCTATTTCATTGAAGTTGTAATAAGACAGATTTTGCAACTTTAATGTAATTTGAGTATTAATGGACATTGGTTATTATCATCTCCCAAATTAATAGTGCGATAATAAATCAAATGTACTTGATGAAAATCAGTATGTACAGTATGATATTCCAATGTTATTATAATTTTCATAGATTTTAATCGACTAGCTTTGAGCATTGCATTCTATGCAGTTAAGAAATTTACAAGTCAACTACCATGTTGAAAGTTACATTTTGCAAATATTAAGAATTTTGTATGACATATCAATTGAATAGTGTAGTTTTTTCTGTTCCAAATTGCCGTTTTTCTTTCAAATCTATTTTAATCCTTCTAATCTTCCATAAACCTAGTGTTAATACAGTTTATCGTAAACCTAAACAAGATAATTTTCTCTCAAATAAGATAATTTCTTACAAGGAGCTTTCGCTTACTCATAGTCTATATATGAGTGTTTTCAAAGAATGTTTTTTTTCATTAAACGAGATATAATGTGGTAGTAACATTAGTTGGCAGGATTTTGAAATCAATGTAATAGTAGTTGAAATTATGGCAGTGCTTTGTAGTGTATAATATTCTTATTGCCATTAGAGATTGAATTAATATATTATAGCTAATATGATGTTAATAATAATATTTAAGTACTAGTTATTTCTAAGAACTGAATTTGCAAAAATTTACTTTAAATCTATCAAGCGGTAACAGCTTCTAGTCTTCTCTCATGGCAATCTCTTGCCTTTATTTAATTTTCTGAATGATGTAATTTTAGATCTATTGCTTCTATATTATGGATTTTATCAACTGCTTTGCATACAGATAATGCATTTCGAATAGTATCTGCTTCTTTCAAAATTACCACTTTACAATATCGATTTAGTTAGTGGAAAGAGCAGAGCAATTAAAAATTTATCATTTCATATGTGATTCAATTAAAAAACTATGTCAAAAATAAAATACATCTCTTTCTTAAATTAAATAGGCCGATTTACACTTTTAAACATTAAAAGCAACATCGCCATATAATTATTTGATCTTCTTCTTTAATTAATTTGATTTTTTAATTCATTAGCACAAATGCAATTACAAGCAAATGTAAATTTTTGCTCTAATCTTTCCATACAAAGTTCCAACTGTATAGGTTCTTGTTGGCGCACAATGAAGTAGGGGGCTCGACCTTTAATTCAGTGCAATAATGTCTCTTCAGGTATCTAGTAGAAGACATGTATGTACAAGGACTTTCGGGAGACAGATTTGTTTTATACACTCTGGAACAAATCGTAAAGAGAACGTATGATCACTACTGAACTAAATTACTGGTAGAACCCACTTATTAAGAATTACAGCTATAATTAATTTAATTTAATGAGTCTATCTTTGATTTATTTAGGCTTGGGTGACTCTAAACTGGCCCCCTATATTTGTATTTTGATTACTTCCTGAATAAATTGCAATATATTTGAATCTAACTTAATAATTCCTGTAACTCAAAAACACACAAAAATACATTGACAAAACATTGTCATTTGTAACGCGCAATCGATGAGTTCGATGAAAGAGTTACTCTAAAAAATCTGTGTGATACTAACAATAGGCGCATACATATGTATATGTGTATATACATATACATATATGCCCTGATTATGTAAATGACCCTAATGAAAACGAACAAGATAATGCAATTATTCAGGACACTTTCATCTGTAGCAGTCATATATCATGCAGTAAAATTGTAACACATAAGTGCACATAATTGCTAAACGAAAGACTTATTTGCTTGCGGAAGTTGGAACGTGAAGCTCCTGCGTTCACTGAAATTCACACGACATACATTCACGAGAGTTTTACTCGTTAACACTTTCAGCAATTTAATTATAAGTCCGAATACAGCGGTCTAACAAGAAACTATGAAACTAAATAACTATCTCTATGTAATTGTAATATAGCGAATTGTTCAGAATACGATAAACGCTATTCAAGTAAAGAATTGGGCGGATCGACTATTCCTAAGGCCTCGCTCATGAATTATTTTAAATTAATTTAGTCCCACACATTCACGCTACGATCTAAGTTGGATAGCAGGATTAAACGAGTGATTGGAATCACTTTCATCCGATTGAAAGGATTTCGTCGTCGGAGGAGAAACGAAAACGGGATACGAACATCAATCGACAACGGTAGTTTTCAATTCCGACCATGTCTCGCGTGCAATTCCTGAATAAATTTCATCTATCTGTCTATCTATCAGTCTAACGAACCGACGAAGGATACGCTTTTTTTTTCATGTAGATACAGCAAACGCACGATTACCATGTCATCTAAGATTTTGTTGATAATCACGTAATGAAGTCATGAAAGAATGAATCATGAACTTTGTATGTTTGCTGATTGCGAGTTACCTACAATCGGTAAAAAAATGATTCGGTCGGTTAAAATTTCATTCGCCTGTAACATTTTCTCTTTGAAATGGGCGCGATAGATTTATGAGATTATGTGTGTTTTCGTAGTAAGTGGTCATTCTACGCCGAGAGTCCTTTGGGCGAGTCTCTCCCTCTATGATCACGAGCATTATCAAAGTGGCAGTATGCGATCCAATCCGACAAAAATTCTGCAAATCAGTGGTTTATCAATGTTTATCTTTATCCTAACGATGGAATCGTCCAAGTTCCTTTATGCGAATAAAGGAATTTTTATCAAAGTTTAAACAAATATCGATAAATGCATAATTGAAATTGAATGAAGAAATATGGCAGTGCGTAACATACAAACATAATTACAATCAAGAGAGACTCGTCCAGGCTGACGGTTAATGTAGAGTTAAAATGCCAACAAGAAAATATTTTAGTAGTTCGTTCAAGTGTCACTACTCGTTAAGACATTTCTACGAAAGTTTCTAGCACTTTTTTTTCTTTAATCAACATATCCTATTATATTATCAATGTACGCAACAACACGAATAGACGAAAGAGATTGTTCGCTCTTCGTAAATCTCTCGTTATTACACGACCCTCTGAAGATTGCCTATGTTTTAAACATGTGTTTTTTTTTGTGTTTTTGCCTTTTGTTAAATTGTCGGATTTCTCTACAAATTGACCTATAAATCTGATATTGCTTAAATCAATCAAAGCCCCTCAGAGGCAACGATCCTCGAAGCTCTGCTTTCAAGAACTCTTTAAAGCGGCGCGGGCGTGTCGATCTATCAAGGGGGATGCAGGTCGCGATGATGGGCCCTGGCACTTAAAATAGCTTTCAATTCAGATTCTAATTGTTTTTTCGTTCGTTCGCTTACCGATCGGCCCCCCACCACCGGTTGGGCGGTGAATCTCGGCGATGGTAAATCGGCCATCAGTTTACCATTGTCTCTGTTTTCGTGACTTCTCGCGCGTCGTATAGGCTTCTTTATCGGCAGCGCGTCGTCTTTTATTTTCTCGTGCGATGGTCGCTCCAGGGACAAGGTCATTTCTTGGTTCAAAGTGCATGTGGAATCACCGCCAACGCTAACGCCAACGGCAACGGCTTCGGAGGATCTGCTGATGTCGACGGTCCCGGAGCCCCACTCGCGAGATAACTTTCGTCCAATAGCCGACGTTAGCTCGTTATTAGGCGAGAGTAAGGGACTCTTGGACATTTGATAGTTAGACGAATGCGGTGGTCTTAAAGTGGCGAATACTGGGAAAGATTGTCCTCGTTTCGCTGGACTCCGAGAGTATCTCGGTGTTGGCACACCACCTCCGCTGGTCTCACCAGCGCACTTTATCGCAGGCGTGCCAGTTCCGGTTGAGTCGCTCCTGGTCGGGGCTAAAGGTCGCAACGTCGCGCTACCGCCAAAGTGTGAACCAAGACGCGGAGGTGGTGAGCCACCGTCACCGTGACTCAGTCGTCGTCCAACGGTTTCCAATGGACTTCTTGCCCTGAGATTCGTACTACTCAGAGTGAATTCTCTTGGTTTCATAGGGGTTTCTAAATTGATGGGAGATAATCCGAGCCTGGAGCCTGACAAATTGGTCGAGCTTCTGCTTTTCTCGGACCTCTTCGGGCTTCGAGGCATCAGGGGACTTTTACTTCTACTTCTTTCTCGTCCTTTCACCGTCTTCTCGTCTGACTTAAACGTCGATACTTTTTCTTGCTCCTCTGCCACTGTCTCGATTTTTTCCTCTTGCTGTACTCTGTGGGAAAGAGCCGAGTTGTTAGTTGCAGCGAGGAGTATAACTGAACCAATAAAATGTTTCATGAAAATTTATTTGTTGTTTATCGTTGCTTGTTGCACAACATGTACTTATTGATTCAATTATACTCCTCACTGTACGTTGCTCGATTCAGATTATACAAGGAAATTACTGGCAGTTTTTAATTACCGTCGAATTTCTTGAATCATCTCGAAGAATTGAGCTTTACTTCTGCGTCTTTGACGCTGTTCGTGTTCCTTCTAGAACATGGTTACCTTGTAGATATATGAAGAGGCAGTTACAGGGTTCAGAAAGGAAAAATCACTTACTCGTTTCACGCTTTTTTGGAACAGAGAAGCAATTTGGCCTTGTCGTACCGTGTGAACTAATTCCCTCGCAGCGTGATGCGGTGACACCAGTTCCACGCAATTGATGAATCTGTACAGCTTTTGGGAGAAGAACATAACGTTCCGACTACGCCATATAGAATCTTCCGGCCTGTGTCTCAATCTGGGCAAGGTGTATTTGTAAAACAAGTGTTCGCCTGCTAGTATAATAGTGCCAAGCACAACACCCATGCCAAGTAAACAAAATACACCAGCTACAGATGCCACGCCTAAAGGTCTGGGTTGTCCTCCTTGCTCGTGTTGGAGACCCGTGTCCATATCCTCTCTTCCTCGAATACATGGTAAACCACCGTACCTACAAAGTTCAACGTACCTTGTCATTTTGAAAGTGAGAAGATTTCTTAAACGTAAGTTAAATGCGAAGGATCCAAGAAATAGAACAGAATGTGTGTGTGATTTACCATTTCTCTTGTAAGATGTCGAGTAACCCGGTACTCGTGTAATTAGCAATTACTTTGGATATACTTTCTTTCAAGGGATGACCTTTTGTAAGCGCAACAGCGTACATGTCTTCATTTATAGTATCTCCAATCTTTTGTAAACGGCAGCCATCGTCAATCGCTCGATAGTAGTCCAAAATAGGAGTGTCTGCTATAAGAATATCTAAACTACCATTTCTTAGCCTTTCTACGCCTTCGGCGACATTCGCCAACGAATATCGAGCCATATGTGACCAGAGTTGTGGGCTTGCCTTTTGTACGTAGTAGTCGGCTGCTGATGCTCTCGGCGCTCCGACTTTTTGCAACAATAACTGTAACGACATTTATTGTTAAAGCAGCCACATTTCGTTTAACATACTTGAGAATCGATTATAAATACTCACACTTTTATCGTCATAATTGCTTACTGCCGAATGAAAGAAAAGGCCCGCGATCAGGGCAGCTATATTGGCTGTGTAAGAAGCCACGAAAATAACAGAGAAACCTCCCCAAATGTTGATTAAAAACTTGTTAGGCCAGGATTTAGGGGCTTTGAAGGCAACCAGATGCCCGCATAGAAGACCCCACATTACCCACAAAGCAGAGGCAATTGAAAAGTTCTTGCTTCGTTGTCTACCCCAAGGATTCAAACCAAAGGGGCTGAACCATTCGTACAAAGCCACTGCTATGGCAGTAAAGTTTAGGAATGTGAAAACGGCGATCCACAGTTCCGTACTGAATGGAAAGAGAAACGCAAACAGTGATATCTCGGATTTCAGCTTTGGCGCCGTCAGAAAGCTTACTCCGCTGAAGAAGTAAGGTGTCGTGAAGTCTACTACAGCGGCTCTATGGGCGGACACGCTCAGAGGTGCAAACGCAAGTTGCGCTCGACCGGAAACCAATTCTCCCATAATGCCATTCCATGGACCAGTTCTACCATTTCTCTTGCCGAACAAACCGTCCTTCACCAGGTATAAGTCGTAACGAAATCCTAATTCTCGGGATACCAAGGACATCAAGTCCATACTTAGACCGTAACAACACATCACGGTATTCCCTTGACGACAAAATATCCCTCTGAGACAAAGACCCTCCTGTAAGTTCGTTACCGTAGTGAACGGTGATGCAAGCGCAGTCACGACACGGTACATGGGCATGCCAATCTTTTCACCACCCTGTTCTAGATATGCGGGTACAATTCCACCTCCTGGCCAAATGATGGTATCCAGGTGAACTTCCTTCCCACCTTTAACAGTGCCTACTTTGGTCCACCTATGAAAGGAATTAAGTTATAATTAAGTTATAGAAACACAAATGTATTTTGTGCACTATTAAACAATAGTAACGTTTGACAAACCTCAATTGAGTCTTATTTCCAGGGAACCTTGTCGCTTGCAAGTTCAATAATTGAAATTTAGCTTTGTCCTTGGAAATTTGACTTACAGAATTTCTCAATTTCTGTGTCAAGGTCTTAGAAACGTTACTCCTTATTTCGCTCATTAAAAATTTGGTTCTTCTTTCTGGAAAACATTCTGGTACAAAGTTCTCTTCGAGTTGTAATTCTCTTAACCGATCCAACCTGGATTTTACTTCTAAAAATGTTTCGTCCAAAGCCTGAGAAGTTTCTCTTATCATTCTGGATAGTATCGTATCGCTACCCATTAATTTTATGCCAGAAGGTCTTAATGCAAGCATACCGATTGGCATAAAATCTTTTGAATTTAATTCTTTGTCTGTTACTCCGACCTCATCGTCGTCGTCAAAATTAAAACCTTTTTCTTCTTGTTTACTTATGATTTTTTCGTTCTGCCATCTGTATTCTTGCAATCGATGTATATCATTAGCTAAACTTGGTAAAGCATGTAACGTTAATTGGCTTTCGGGTACAAGGTTTGCGCTTTGCTTTATGGTTTCTATTGGTACAGGATTTTCATTTGTTGCAACCGATGCTCTCGAGTTGTGTATAATATGCGAACTGATTATATTTGGTTCGTTAGGTCTTAATTCTGCCTTGAGGTCTAGCCAGAGCCATAAAAATCTTCCAGCGAGCATTTCAAATTTACCGGCAGCTGCAAGTATCCTTCGTGCATTGTTTAAGTCGCAAGCCATTACTATGACTCCTCCGCTTCCTCCTTCTTCTGCTACTCGTCTGATTCTCATTCTTAAGGTCTTGTCATTTGTTGGAAGGTATATAATCGTTCTGGGTATTAAGGTTGGCTGATTAGATTGTAAAAGATGAGTGACTGGAAGTAAAGTGGTATCGATGAGAAGAGTAAATGCATGCCAGTTTGCTCTATGCATTAAAGCAGCTGCAGCTGCTCCCACTTCTTTTGTACTCGAGCCTATACGACTTTCAAATTGTCCAAGGTTTCCCTGCAAATTGTAATCTTTGATTAGTCTTATGCGAATTATCCTAGCGAAAAAGTAAACCCATACGGACCTGTCGAAGAAAATCTTCGTGTGTGAATGGTAACCATAACGCTGGAAGATTTAAAGCAGCTGCAGCTGTCACAAGAAATCTGGCTGCCGATCCTCCCCCGATAATGAGGCTCAACACTGTTTTTCCACCTTTAATTTCGTTACAGAATTTGTTCAGCAACGATAGAGGATACGACATTGAATCCGTCTTTGGTGGAGCCTCTATGTAGGATACATTCATGTCTGCATGAGACGACTCCAGCCTTGCTTTCTCCCATGCTTTTTGAATATCTGTCTTGAATGAGCTTTGCGATTGAGTCAAACCTAGCACGATACGCCATGGAGCATAAGATGTTCGAGGTCGTCCTTTGAGAGCCCTCGCAGACTTGGTAGTATTTGCAGTACAAGAAGCTACCGAGCATAACGTAACTCCCAGTAAAAACAGAAATACAACTTTCCAAGAGAAGCCAAACATCTTCAAGTTTTTTGTACTTCTCCTCTTCTTTGTTTGCTTAGCATTCTTCGTTTGTGTTATCCATGCAAGGTTCTAATCTATAATTATGACAATACATGAGTAACGTATGCTGATACTAAAAGCTGTGATACATAGTGGGGTGTATTAGTTATTATTAGTCGCGAGCACGTTACGAGTCAATATCGTTTTGTTGACAGTTCCAAATAAAAATATTTTATATTTCCAGTACTCTCGCGAAAAGAGTACCATTGTGAAAGGTATCAGAGTGGTCTTCCTGGAGAGTTTTTTTATCTCATACTTTTGGTAATGCGATTTTCGTTTTCGATCATTTACTTTTTATTTATTAAATTTTTACTCACAAACACATGTTACATGTAAAATTAGAATTCATTCGGCCGATTTATTTTCATTTCCGATAAACTTGGAATTATTAAAGATAGTTTACCTTTTACCGAAGTGAATCATATGTCGTAGATCCGGGGGTGGATGAAGAAGAGCCCGAAGATTGCTTCTTAGCCACCACATAATAGCTATCGATTAGGTAACCGTATCAATTGTCGTAACATAATGTCAATTGGTCAGTGTGGAAGACAGGGATGAACCGTCACTTGCCCTCTTCTGGACGTCCTACCCAGTGCATAACAGCCATTTTCGAGCAGCCCCTCCCTTTAAATTTCACACCTACACTATTCGTCCATAGGTACATCTATGTATGCAGTACTCGTAATTTATTTTACCGTAATCATCAAATAATCATTTTTATTTCTCAATTTTAAATCGTTGTATTTTTTATACTTAATTATATTGTAGTAATTATAAATTTTTATATAGTTTTTATACATATAGTTGCTGTAATTTAAACTGAACTTTAAAATCTCATTATTATTAAATCTTTAATTTTTCAAGATGACGAATTATAGTTAAAATAGTGATAAATACTCGATATTGCAAATTTGAAACAGTTTAATATGCGATAGATCGCCAGGTCTCCCATGTATGGATGACAGGGATTTTCACTAAGGAATTAAAAAATTAATTCTGAAGATCAAGTGTTACAGAAAATAAGTCTGGATAGTATTCCTGAATTTTGATGTGTTAATAATAGGGTACAGGATGCAAAAGATGGGTATAAACTATTTGGCCGGAAAATATCTTTATATATTTGGAATCTTCCTTAATTTACATATGCCTTATATACATATATGTTATGCCGCAGTACACTTAATACAGTAAGTGATCTTACAAGGCTTTATATGATAAAGATGCATGTACATACACAGTAGCAATTCAAATGCAACTCAACTTCAACTTTTGCCTTTGCTATGAATCCGTTACTTTGTCGCTACAGCTAAGATAACATAGCTGGAATGTAACACGGAGTTGTCTTACAATTAAATATAATATTCTCGGGTCTTTCCACTAGGAACTACCTTAATTATGGACATAGATTTTATTCTCTGTAACAAGTAACAGACATTAAAATTAACTAAATAAATTTTGTTGCGATGCATCATTTTCGAACGCGCTCCAAGCATTATTCAGTTCCATAAAAATCAGTTTCGCTATATTTTCGTTAGCTGTTCCTGCTTGCTGTAAACATAAGGAAAAAGAAACATGTATAGTTATCGTTTAAGTTGATATGTATGTGTTCCTTATATTTGAATTTGAATTCAACGTATGAGATACCTTGTCTGGATGCACAGCCAAGCAAGCTTTCCTATACGCTTTCTTAACATCCGCAGCTGTAACTAATTGATGCATCTCGCAACGTTGCCACCTGTCAGCTTCTGGCCATAAAACAGTATGCATCGAGCAGAGAAGAGCGCGTAAATTCCCCTTTTTACCTTCCGTCCATTCAGCTATTTTTAGTCGATCCGGATCCATGGTTTTGGCAGCTTCTACTTTCCGCATTTGATTTATTGTCTTTGGACTATCCTTCTCTGTTTTTCTCGAACTAAAAAAATTATATCCTTGACTACCGAGTAAATCTTCAAAGGCATCTCCACTTGATTTAGTCGATTTATTGCCAGATGTACCGCTCTCTGGGGTATTGGTCTCGTTAGTTACATTGGATTTGTGCGTATTAGGACTCGAATGAATCGGTGTACTAGCCGGCGCAGGACTAGCAGACTGTGGAGTATTTGAATTTCTCGGTGTACCGTTCCAACTCGACGTCAGACCAGAGCCTAGGGAACTGGCAAGATTCGCGAATGGATCTTTGTTTTGTGCTGCAAAGTTTGGAACGCTCGAATTCCGTGGCAAGTTTTCCTCGATATTCGGAGATTTTGCAGGATTAGGTGTAGCATTTTGCATATTTCCCAAAAGATTCTTCGCAGAATTTCCAACCAATGGATCGAACAACAAATCGTTAACTTCAGGTTTAACGGTAGATTGACTTTGATCGAAGAGTAAATCGTTCACGTTTAGATTATTGTTAGCATTATCGTTTTTAGTAGACTGACCATGCTCGAATAGTAAATCATTCTGAACAGGATCGTTAATCGTGGGTACCGTGTTTTTCGCTTCTTGCTGAGTAAAAACACCAAAACCTCCTAAGAGATCACTTTCATTTTGACTAGAGTTAGAAAAAATATCTAATCCTGCATTCGCTGAACGTGGAGTATTTAAGGTACTGGTGTCTGGCATTCCTAGGTTCAATAGATCGGCTTCTTGGAATTTAATTTCCTCGTTTGTTTCTTCTTCTACGTTCTCTACTTCCTGAGGTACTTCTTGTTGTACGTTAACGTTGCTTGATGCTTCGGCTACGGGTGCAGTGGGTATTTCTTTCTGAACCTAATTATAATGTAATTAAAATATTAAAGAAACGATATTAACTGGATTCGGTTCTACCGAGGCCTCTATCTTACCTCTTCCGATCGAGCGGTTCTAAAGTTTTCTAATGTCTCCTCCATTTCTAAAGTTGATCCAAATAACGCATCGGGTTCTGGTTTTGCCGAGGATAATTCTGCTTCCCATGGCGCCGGAACTCTAGCTAATTTTGGATTCTCTTCGGCTACACTAATATTTAAAATGACGCGGAACTTGCCGCCAACTTCAGGTGCATCGTCTAAATCTTTTCTCTCGAACGTTAAAGCAGTTTCAGTCAGAGGTATGTAGCCCGTATGAAAATGAAACGATGCGATCTTAATTCCGATCACGCGGCCAAGTTGTTGTCGAGCATGAAATATCACGATAGTAACGTCTCCGCGAACCGTTGCGTTAGCCAATGCTAAAGGAACTTTTCCCTCCATCATACCGAATAATCTCATCTCCTCGTACTCTGGTCGCTTAGTAGAGTAAACTAACGCACCGTTACTATAGACATCAATGTACGGTCGACAACCGTCCTTTGCTCTTGTGAACAACGGTACCGGTTGTATAATTAAAGTTCGAAGAGTCAACGGTTTCGTATGGGGAAGGACACCGCTACTCAATAAACTCATGTAATGAATACAGCGAAATTCTGAAGGTTGTAATTGAGGCGGCTGACAACGTCTTGTTGTGAATAACGCTATCGCTTCTTCGGGGGTTCTTAATGCTTTACCATAAATAAGTAATGTACACGCAATTGTAGCGCTTGCACGATATCCGTCCTGAAATTATATAATTAAAGATAATTCTTCGTTTGTACGCGTTCAAATATTGCGAAATAAAATGTCTCACGTTGAGTAGCCAGCAAGCATTTACTATCTTTAGATACTAATGTATTTTAACAATTACAAATTATGAAATTACACGTATATGTTATGTTACGTTAATAAATGCTACTCAACATGAGACGTATTTAAACATTGTTGAAATGAAATATACTCACAGTACAATATAACACTACAACGTGATTGAAGTCGGCGTTCAAATATCGATAGATATCTTGACAAATTTGATATAATGCAGAGAGTAACGGAGCATTCGAGTCCGACGAAGCATAGGCGAATGAACAATCTATATGTCTACCGGGAAGCCTAGATACGTTGGGTCGTCCACGTGACAAGTTGTATAATTGAATGCGAGCAGGAACTGGATGCCGTGCTTGAAGAAACGCTCTAACATCCTCCACGTGATTGGCTCGATAGGCGGACTCTATTCCATCCGCTGGATAGGGCATTATTAGTATACGAGACGTTAAGTAACTTGCGTCTAATTCAGTTCTAGCCATGCTTTGTTGCACAGAGTGCATCACTTTACTTGAGGTATCCTTTAAGTTACGTAGAATGCTACCAGCACCACCCTTTAATGAACTAAATAGGCCTGTCGGTTGAGCTACAGGAATTTTTGCCACAGCCGTTTGAGCTGGTGCAGGTCTCGGAGGTGGCATATTTACCGGAGGAGACGGTCGCGGTGGTGGAGTAGGTGTAGCAGGTGGTGGGGCGGGTCTAGGAGGTGGCGGGGTTTTAACTACGATTTCTACTTTCGGGGGTTCTCTGAGATCAAAGTTATTAGATTCAGCTATCGCTGCAAGACGTTCCAGAATCATCGACGTTGCAAGTCTTCGAACAGGAGACACTTCTAAACATCCCTTTACTATTTCGTGGAGACAGGCTAAACGAGGATTGGCAGGAATTGCTGGATACTTGCCATTAACGATTGCAAGTTTATTACCTGTAAAACAATATAAGGCTCAGAAAATATTGATCTTTATCTTTCGCACACGTTCCAATGCATACCTTCGGGAAATGGATGCCTTAGCGTTATTAGGGAATATAAGATACAACCCAGTGCCCAACAATCAACCGGTGGACCGATAGGCTCGTTATTCCATGTATCCATCATTTCAGGTGCACGATACATAGGTGTTGTATATTTTGCCATTTGATCTTCTAAAGTAGCACGTTTTTGAGCATTCCATGATGGATTTGGTAAAATCTGTTGAACGGTAACACTTCCAAAGTCGCAAAGTTTAATCAGACCATCATTTCCAATTAAGAAATTTTCTAGCTTTATATCACGGTGTATGAGTGGTTCAGGCTGTTGACTATGCATATGATGTACAGCCTTTGTTGCTTGATACGCTATCTTACAAATTTGGGCAAGACTCAAAGAATTCGATGATAAGTTTCTCAGTATATCCGCTACCGTGCCACCTGAACAATATTCCGTCACCAATAAATATTCATATCCGTTACGATCTTCTCGCTCCAAACGTTGAGCATATAGGTACTGAATTATATTTGGATGACCCGATAACTTTTTTAAAGTCTCTATCTCTTGTATAATACTTTTGTTTGCATCTTCATCGACTGCAATGAGCCTCTGAAAATATGGATACACGTCACAACAAATTCTTAATTCGCTACACCTACAATAATACAAATACATCGTGGCTCACCTTAAGCGCATATTCTTTTCCTGTATTAACATCCTCTACCAAGAATACCAAAGCCCAACCACCTGTTGACACAATGTTTGTAGTGTATTATCTAAATGTTGACAGTAACGAATGTCTTAAAGACAACTACTTATTTTTCTCTAATAACAGGTAAAACAGTAATACGAATATAACCGACTGTGTGTGTTTTTAAATAAAACACGAGGTTGCATAATTTTTCACCATTCCGATATTCAGTATAAATTACATGCGTATAACATGAGTTGTGATATGAAACTTTTCTTTATTAATACCTAATCATTATGTGTGAGACATTTGAATACAATCAGTCCCATAAATATTCGTTATTTTTGAAATTCTGGATAAACTTTATACATGTATATAATAACACATTCATTCGGAAACCTCGAACCTATCATTTAATTTAGACAAATTTCTTCAATGGACATAGAAAGTACAAATACTTATGGGATTGACTGTATACATCAATAATTGATCTTGTTCGATCGTGTCTGAAAATTGATTAGAACAAAAACGTACCATACCACGGAATATTCAGTACGCACTTGTAATGCATCGTTAAATGTCAAAACACGATTTGACACATGTCAAAAGGTTGATAGTTGAGTGTGCTGGCAGAGTATGCGTGTGTTTCGAATTGTTTCAAGATAATAAAACAAAGAACGAATGCTTGTATAAGGCTACCAGGAATAATCATTGGCCAGGAGTGATTTTATTTGAATGAAATGGTATAGAAATCGAACGAGGAGTTGACAGAAACTCACCCTCGGCGAGTAGCCTGGTCACGCGTAATTTCACATTGTTGATTTCCAGTATTTGTCCAACGTATTCGTTTGTATTTGTCGCTCCATTCAAGTATCCCAAAGCAGACCTCAAATAATCCGACATATTTCTTTAAAAATATCCCTTAGAACCCCCGGAAAGCGTTCACCTAAAGTTACAATGCAGACAGCCGATGCTGTCCGGCCATACTGTCTTTGTGACGTCTTACCAGTGCTGTACATATACATTTTTCGCATCGATGATCGTCAGTGACGCACTCGCCAATTTAACAAGGGGTGCAACTACGAATTATAACATTTTATTAGATTATTGAAAAAAAGTAATTTCCAAGCTGTTTTGAATGTGGCGCCAGAAAATCTGTAACATGACGTTGCTCTTTTCTTTTCTGAAACTTTTTAGTACAAGCAAAACCTTCGTCTTATCGAGTGTGTGTGTTCCAGGTTCTAGCGCTTCTTTTTACTAAATTCACCCTAAAACGCCTACATTTATTTGATCGTAAAGTTTGTAAAATATTCTTTATTTTGAGGAGGTAAATGGTAGTAAGTGTTCCTTTGCACCCATTTTTGTTGTGCCACTGATGACAGTAGAAACTATTATTGACAAATTTTCGACCGTATAAGATACATCACTTTCGGTTCACGAAAGCTATACCAAATACAATTGCGAAATAAATAATGTTATTTAAACGAAGATACAAATAGTATTATGAAAGCTATACATGATACATTTGCGTTCTGTTGGATACGAGGACTGCTTATCATTATCAAAACGATATTAGACATACAGTATACATATATCATAGTCATAGTATACATCATAAAATAACACTCTCTGATAAATGTTTATCGTTTACATAGAAATGAAGAAAGTCTGAAGAAAATTAATCTAAATTTTTTAACGGTCCTATGCCTTCAATTTTGAACAGTGAACAATTTTAACAATTCGAATTAATGGAACGTGCGCATGCGTGTTTCGCGATGTATGAGAAATTTCACAAATTTCACAATTCTACGATGCAAACTAGTATTGTTTTTCTATCATGCTAGTATTTTTGTACTATATTGTCGTCGATTCAATCATTATCGACAATTAACAAGTGATCTGTATAGGTTACTAAGATAAGCAGACTAGTTCTGATTTTAAATAAATATATAGTTATGTTTTATTATCATTCTACTGTCAAACATACTTCAATAATTGTCATAACAGTGTTTATTCAATTTCAGGTGCGCTCTGGATTAGAATTTTTGTCTGTCGAAAGCTTAAAAATGTCCAAGCTTGTGAAATTTACAAAACTTAGATCTACTACAGATCACACGTTTTGGGCAAAATTTGCAGAATTGAAAATAGACAAATTCAAATTGGATGAGAAGGCAGTAATTAATGTATGGGGAAGCTATAGTCTTCAGTCTTCGAATGAAGACAATACCAATCCCTTGGTATTGGATTTTACATCGTTTAATGAGTAAGTGTACATATGCAGGATAAAAATAATTATTTTGACTTGTTTACATGTTAAGTAAAATAGGTACTAGTTGAAATCAACTCCACATAGGTCATTTTTAGAGACATAAAAACCGTTTCTCACAATTCGTCAATAATTTGTTGCGGAAAGATGATTAATACAAATACTTATGAAGCATTTCGGCAAACCAATCCTGGAACATTCATCGATACCTTGGGAAAAGCTGTTATGGATAGTATTTTAGATGGATCTAGTTTGCAAATGCCATGGAAATTGTCGTTGTTTATAGTATTAGCGTATTCAGATTTAAAGAAATATAGATTTCATTATTGGTTCGCTCATCCAACTCTATTGAAATTACCTGAAATCTATTATGAAGAACCTCCAAAGTCGATTAACGTAGAATTCACAGTTACTCAAGTAGAAGATCTATGTAAAGGTTTTCTCCAACTGGACAGTGGATCAAAAAATTACTTTACAATTTTAATATCTAGTGAAAATAATATGAGTATCGTCGATCTGGCAACAGGCGTAAATATAATCAAGATGTATAAAAGCAATGAAAAAGAATTACAGGTATTATATGTACTTTTATGTAACTATAATGCATATTTTCTTTCATGCATTTAAGTTATTTTTTAGGAATGTAAGGACATTTATTTTGGATTTTACGATCCTTGTATAAGCCCTGAACCAGGATGGCCTTTACGCAATCTTCTTTGTTTATTATTCTGGCATTGTCCTACGTACTGTTTCACAAGAACTATTAAAGTTATATCTATAAGAGGAAATAAGGCACAAAAAAGTATTGTTTTCAAGCTTAAAGTTCAGGAACACGAAAATAATAAAATAATTAGAGATAATTTATTTGAAAGTCAGTTAGTAGGTTGGGAGAATAATGCAAATGGTAAACTAGGTCCAAACATAGCTGATTTATCGGATACAATGGATCCAGCAAGGTAGTTTTTTAAAATAAAAATTTGATACTATTTTTATTTGTACATAAATTTTATTTTCATCTTTACTGTTTATTAGGTTATCAGACAGAGCCATCAATTTAAACTTGAAGTTAATGAAGTGGCGTCTCGTTCCAAATCTAGATTTAGAAAAAGTTAGTAATCTTAGATGTCTTCTACTGGGTGCTGGAACTTTGGGTTGTTCCGTAGCAAGGGTACTTCTAGGTTGGGGAGTGAATAACATAACTTTTGTTGATAGTTCTAATGTTTCTCACAGTAACACTGTAAGACAAAGTTTATATTGTCATCAGGACGCTGTAGAACATAAGTATAAAGCTTATGCAGCTAGAGATGCGCTACTTAATATAAGACCAAACATAGTGAGTATTCAAAAGTTTCCTTAAATAAAACTTGATTATACAAATTACACCAACACCATAGAATGCAGAGGGTGTGGTTCTACATATTCCGATGCCTGGACACGTTGTTGGTAAAAGTATGATGGAGTCGATGAAACAGTCACTGAAAAAATTGGAAGAACTCATTCAAAATACTGACGTCGTCTTCTTTCTTTTGGATTCTCGGGAAGCTAGATGGTTGCCTACTGTATTATGCGCGGCAATGAATAAGATTGCTATTAACGCTGCTTTAGGTTTCGACTCGTTTACTGTACAGAGGCACGGTACTCGCAATTCGTCTATTCCATCTTCTCCAGATTTAGATATAAAAAACCCTTCTGGTTCGGATTTGGGTTGCTATTTTTGTAACGATGTAACACAGCCTGGAAATGTACGTATATTAAGAACTACACTGACTTAGTTTCCTATTGTTTGGTGTTTTAATGAAGATCGTTATTTTGTTCACAGTCTCAAACTGATAGAACGCTAGATCAACAATGTACTGTTAGCAGGCCAGGCTTGTCGCAAATTGCTGCAGGATTAGCCGTCGAATTGTTGATAGCTTTGTTACAACATCCTCAAAGGTAAATTAGAAAATGCGACCTTTGAGTAACTTTAAAGGTTTTTTAAATCGTGTAACGATTTGTTCCTATATTTAATAGTATCGAGGCAGGAGCGTTAATGGGTAACAACAGAGACAATATGAGCTCGAATGACACCGAATTGGTTGGTTTGTTGGGAGGTGTGCCACATACGATACGCGGATCTCTGTGGAATTATGATATGCAGTTAACGATAACACACAGATTTACATCCTGCACGGCATGTTCTGTACCTATCATCACAGAATATAAAAATCGTGGTTTATCATTTGTACTTGATGCGTGTAACATTCCAAACTATTTAGAAAAATTATCGGGATTAGAGGAAATACTTAAAAGGCCCGATTTAGACGAGGTATATATTTTAAAAATATACGTTTATTGCTTTTTATATACGAGAATGATACACAAATACAGAATGATACAGAAATATTGTTAGTATTGTTGTATGTATAATGTAACGATTCCAACTTTAGCTTTGTTATACCTTGGATAACTTGAGCGACGGCGAGGATGACAACGGCGAACAATTAAATGTTATATCTTAAAAACTCATCTATGCGTCCACGCACTTTTAATTCAAATGAAAATGTCTTAGTTACATATAGAATTGAGACGAACTCTATGTGATGAATAATTGCATAATTGTATTCGATAATGTCAGTATTCAAGGATCTGTATAATTGAATTTTAAGAGTGCAATGCTATATTTGTGACGTATAACCTTGGAATTGTGAACTGGTATAGACACGACGTATAAATAAAATTTTTATACAAATCGCAGTATATAAGAACACGATACATAATGTAAGAAACTGTAATAAGTTTTTCAATCTTCTCTTTTATTGATCAAATAGAGGAAACATAGAGAAATAAACAATGAATAAACCATTGAAGTTGCTTGGTAAGACACAGAATAAATATTATTTACGTAATGACTCACAAATTTCTGTATTACTTTTTAGTGATGCATCATTAAAAATTCTCGTATTATACATTATCTCTTTACATAATACGCTATTGATCGAAACAGTTCTTGTTCGAGTAACACTTATTTGTGTAAAGATATTGCAGAAAAATGAGGTGTACCCATACGTTATGTCAAGTTCTCCAATACTATAATATTTTCTACCATCCAAGAAATTTCTCAAACACGAGCAATGAATTAGGATGAACTATGAATTTTCATAAACATTATCAAATATCGAATCATATTTACACAGAGCGTGGCGTAAGTATTTTTCGTTGCCTAAGAAATTTGTCAAAAACGAGCAGGATGATGAATGAATTTTCTTAAAGACAGAAAAGCATCTTAAAGGGTAACACGAAGCACGACATCGAACCATATTTACACAGATCATGGCATAGAGCGATATGGAGCGATTCAGGATTCAGCGCATACAGTACAGCATGGTTGGCAGTTTTGCCTGTAGAGCGCGCCGGAACAACCGAATGCCATGCATTCCAGCGTAATGTTCAAGTAGTAGGGGAAGCCGAGGCTACCTTTCGTGTCAAACAGGCCGTGTTCTGCGTGTCCGCCCGCATACCATTAGATTTTCATCGTTTTCAATGAAAATACGTGCCCTATCTCGGCTCGACATGCCAGGAAACGTTGTGCTAGATGTTTGATCGTGTGTTCACGTGAGTGTCATCGCTCAACGTTCGGTGAGTAAAGACATATTCCAAAGAGAAAAAAAACCGTTCGATTTTACCTCGAGGAATGCGTGCGTTCGTTCTCTTTTTTTCCATGCTACGCCACATTCCTTTATCGATTCCTGTGACCGACGTACGCAGTACGCGGAGAAGGGGAAATGCCTTTTCGTTACTCCTCGTGGGAAAAGCGTTGCAAAGCTCCCATTGTTAGCGAATACTTTGTTGAAAAATCCAACGATTCACTTGTCCGCCAAGTCTCTTATTCCGCGGCATTTCCACCGATTTTTCGCTCGTAACGCTTCACGTCACTTGCTAAGGAGTCGAGTGTGTCGATATTTACGCGCCGCGTCATTTTTTAGCTCACGGCGTTTACGTTTACGTTTCTAACGGACATGAACAAATGTCTTATTCAAATAAAAACGTACTAATAACCAGTAAAGATAAACAATTTTCGATCGGTTATTTGATGGCAGTATATTAGAATCCGAGTTATATAAAATGAAATGATATTATTTCAAGTTGAGATTAATTTGCTATTCAGAGTTTTTTTCCTCGTCGTCTATTCATTCGAATGAAATTTTGCTTGGACTCGCAACGCGTGCGTGCTCGCTCCGTGATACCGAAACATTCGACGTTTCGTTGATTCATCGCTTTCGACGAATTCCATTTACCGAGAGGCGGACTAGCGACCGCGATAATTTGTAATTCGCTTGACTTTGGATGGGAGCGTTTAACGATACACACCGTGGCTCAAACTCTGCCGATCTCTCAAATATTAACTCTACTTTAACTCTCTCCCAGTCGATATAATACGTTCCATAGATTCCGACACTTCTCTTATACATGCACCTCGTTGTTCCATAATACATTTTCGTCTTGTATGCGATAGCATCCTTTCATTCGTTAGATTACAAGCAAAGGATTAACGTTGGGTTAGGTTACAAAACAGCTTTATTCTGTTCATCTTTTATTTGTCATTCGAAATTTTCATCTAGATAAGAATTGTGCCCATTTGCGGTATGAACAAAGCGTTAGAGATTTTCACTGACTCGATTATAATAATTATACGCATGTAACGCTCAGTTAGGTTCTTCTAAGAGTCGAGGAAAAGCTGGTGAGCATTTAGCCTGAAGGTAGGGGTAAAAGTATTTTATCCGAATTGCGAGATCGCTTGCTCTCTTTTTCCCAAGCGAAAGGGTATGCATTATTATTCTTTCTTCCTGTCGTATATCTCCTATATTTTATTTATTTACAGGGTGTGCGCGGTAACTGGCGGTACAAGCGAAAAGGGAGTGATTCTACATTCTACATGAAAAAATAAGTCGGAAACATAGAATACAAATTCGTTATGTGAATTTTTATTTTCAAGAAAATCGACTTTGAATTTTCCCCGGATACTGGTGCACTTGAACTATATGTATGAATTACATAATAATTTACTGCTCATCTACATTTCGTGAAATAGGAGAAAGGAGAAGAATTCGTGGATAATATGTAGAATAGGTTGTCGGTTTAGCTGTTGTTTGGATGTTATTAAGATGAAATTGGGATGCTGTACGACTGGCGCCGGTTCCGAGGAAATTTGGAAAGGGACAGGAACAGCACGCACGACGTAGGAGTAAGATGTACGGTGTCTAGCAATGGACTCGAAACGTCGCGAAATCGGCGCTAGAGGATGCATTAGAATGCATTTCTGCGAACTTTAGTAGCCATGAAATGTTGCTTAGTATTATAATTCTAACAGGTTGTAAATGTTATCGATAACTACAGTAATTGTAGAAGAATAATAATAAACAAAATTTGATGGCTACTAATATTCATATAGGTGTATCGCAGTGGTCATGGTTAATCAGGTTAATGAATACAGAGGTACAGAATTCATTTCTGTTCATTAAAAATTCCAATCCGAAGCGTACGATCGACATTTAAAGTTTCTATTTACTGATTATTAAAGCGGAAACTGTGACTGGATAGTCAAAATGTGTGTTGAGTCTATCGCTAGGCAGCAGTAACGGTGGGTGGAGTGGGATCGTGGTGTCCGTACGGCAAGAGCGGGGTGTGTAGGGGACTCGCGAAGCAACGCAGGGTGGGTGGGATGAGGTGAGGAAAGAAGCGAGAGGCGGGCCTCTGGTGAGGGGTCCGCATTCCACAGACAATGTCACGTTTTTTAATCCCCGTTTTACTTTATTTGTGCTGGCTTCGGCCGCGAGGAAGTCCCCCAAACAGTTAAGTTCGACTTCTGTCCCTAGAGAGCGGATTTCTACAACGGTGTCGGGCTTCCACCGATCTCTCGCGGGTACCCCGACCCGTGGTGAACCACCTGGTGCCTCCTCGGGTCAGCGAAGACCTGGTGCTCGGACAGCTCCGTCGCCTCGGTTCCCACAATCGACGATCCGTCGGGAATAAATTCGACAACGAATACTGACCTCGCGAACGGTGGCTGTCCAGGGTGCAACCGTTGAAGAGGATCCACAGGCGAGTCGAGGAACCGTCGACCATAGGGAGGATATGTCTGCAGTCGAGAGCGCTTTGGACGTCCTCTCCAGGGCAGCGACGATGGTGCGAGGTCAGTTTACACGTTGAAATTCCTCGAGAATTAACGTTTACACACAATACACTCGCTTTATTTAACCCTTTATTTACTGAATTTCTCAAAAGTTTTTAAATTTTAGGCGTCCATCTTGGTCTTATATCATCTCATAGAGTTGTCTCTAACAAGCTTCCAAAAGAAAAAAAGCTTGTGCTGCCAATTAAAAACGAACTTCATACAAGTGGACTTATAAGTCACAATAGGTTTCAAAGCGTTTAGTTAATACAGTACCATGAGAAAATTGACAGGACATGTTAGTTCCGTCGATAAATAAAGGGTTAAGGGGTACACGCAGTTGTTGTAGATCAAATTCAAGAATTTCTGTTTTCAAGATTTAAATACGTATTTTAATTTTCCAATACAAAGTGGGGTTGAACTTTACATTGGGTTACCATCCACTTTCTCTGGCGCCATCCACTCGTCAGACACTTTCTTCGTCGAGTAATTTCGGTACTACCGTAGGAATCCTCCAAGATTCGCTAATTAGTTGCCAGTACGTTTATTTCTGTTGGAAGATTCGACCTAATTGTGTAATGATCGCAAATTCTTCGGGCAGAGAATTGCCGAGGATTTATGTAAGAAGAGGAGAAGAGCTCCTTGCAATATTTCGCCCCAGTTCGAGGCCCGCATTCCTATGAAATGCCAATTTCACGTCGAATTAGATAACATTGTGCAGTGTTTATTTTAGATTCCTCGGCCGGTACCAAAGTGCCGCTTCCCCGACACTCTCGTTGGCAAGACACTACTCGAACCTCTTTCTGTGACGCGCATATTCGTTCTATGCAGAGGCGCGGAAAGTCACGCCTACAGTCTAATTCAACCCTTTCATTCAGTTTACCCGCCACGCGAAATTAAGTTGGAAACAAGCAGTGGCGCGTCGTAACAGTCTAAAGGCACATTTCTAACAGCCTAAACGCACGGATCTTGATGAAACTTTTTTGGGTTACTCTACAACACTAATAAACACTGTGTGCAAAAGAATTTGTGTCAAGGCCTCTTCGTTTTCGAGGAAAAAAATAAAATAGTTTACAAGCGACCGATAAGCAAAGTGTTTAAAGAAACTTACACAGAGAGGTATGTGCCGTTTTCGCAACGCGATACACGTAATTGACCGTAAACAATGGGAATAGTTAAATCGTTGCGCCCGGTATCTCCGCGCGCGATAAGCTTCATCTAATTGCGTATTGATTAGCCGACAGTCGCATCTCTTTTCTCAAGATTTTCCCAAGTTCATTATCCTAAGTTTCAAGTAGTACAAGTAGGAATTATAAAAGAAGAACCCAAATCTTAATAAGAGCCCAATAAACGTATCTAATAGTGTAGTAACTTGAAAAGCAAAAATTTTCTTGTTTTCTAGTATCATTGGTTAATTGAAAAATTGTCTCAGCATACTGAAACCTCCAAAATCCAAGTGTAAATAAATTACACGTAGATCAATTAATTCTCATTTCCTTCTCAAAATTGACCAGCAAATTCCGTAGCACTGGCTCGAGAATTATCTTTTATTTTTTTGCTATTCTCTGTCGTTGAGTATCCTTGGCCAGCCGCATTGTGAAAGTGCTTCAATTCCGTCTTTGTCGTTCTTCATTCTTCGTGCATCGTAGTAGCTGTCTTAAAAAAGTTAGCACGGATACTTGTTTCCATTTGTTGACCTGGCGTGATGTTAAACAAGAGAGAAATAAATAAATAATAGTATATCGAACAGGCCGCTAACGACCTCGCTACATGGCATAAAACGTTCTCGCGATGATTTTCATAAATCATTGGGTCCTATCGGACGAAATACCAGACCGTAACGAGCTCTCATTCGGTTGTGTCGCGAGAGTGTGGCGACTCGTCCGTGTGGTGTTTGTGCGATGGAATGCCGAGCTTCGAACCTGTTCCGAATACCAACCATAGTTTTACTCGTTGCCGGGTGATGGCGCGTTCAGTGACTTTCTCGTATCAGCTAAACTCTGCTCTGAAAATACTTTTTACCATCAATTTTCGGATTATTAATAAACGTCTTCGGATTGGACTCACAAGAGACCTTCTACATCTATGGGTTCGTGAATTTGCACGACGATTTAGACGGGATTATTCGACGGGTAAAAGACTCGTCGAATTGATTTGTCGTACGACAGATCGTATCGTGTACGGGGCGTTTTACATGTTTTTGTTCGTGGGAAAAGATGTTCTTACATAAATATTTTATTAAATCATGTATTGGCCATTTTTGTCCGAAACCTTTCGTCATATTCTGTTGGTAACATAATTTCACATTTATTAAAGTTTTGACTATATGTCGCATTACGTATCGATTCCCTACGTGTTCTTACTAAAAGACATATTTTTGTGATTGCAGAATGCAAAAATTCGATTATCGCTAAATAAGACCTAGCCCATTATTTCCGTGATGACGTCACCGAAGTGCAAAGGGTTAGAGAAGCAGGGAAAGCTAACGAAGCGACGAGGATATGGACGTTGAGAGATAACGTCGATTTTCCTCGAGCCGCGACTTTGAGTATGGAGCGTTTACTTGCGGGCATTTACGTTCCGCGAATTCACGCCCACGAGCCCCGCGATTCGCTGTTAAACGAGCGTCTGATAACTGCGCACGATTACCTGAACGCGGCGCTATTAAAATACCACGGATTCCTGCACGATGCCTCACGATTCCTCGGGGCATAACGTGGCACCTTGATCTTGCTTGGAGTATTATTATTTCGTGAACAATGGAGGAGAAAACCGTACAGAGAGTGTCTGGAGAAACGTGTAGGACGGGCACCAAATTGATTTCCAAGATCTAGTTTGGATTAATCGCTAGTTAACACTTGGTCAGATATTGCCTATCGTCTAAATACAAATTGGCATTTAGCAAATATGCATTTAGCCATTAAAGGGTGGGGGTTATAACGGTTGGAATAACATTTGGAAGGTCCGTGGTAAGGGTACGGCTGTAAGGACGTTAACTACGATAACTGAAACTTTATAAACAAAGCATCAAGAAGGAATGACGGTGCCGTCTTGTCGCGTTCGAATCTTTGTTTACAAACAGAAAAGAAAATTCGTCGTACACGCTCGTCTCAAACAGACTGTATGTATTTTAACAGTATTTTGGAAATTTGTTCGCAGTCGATAGATTTGTCGGAAGGGACCGGAATCGAACACTCATCGCTACGGGTCGTGCGTTCAGGTTCTGCATGTGTAAAAGGCAACCTTCTCCGCGCGTCGTGGTGGGGGCAAGCGACGGGACAAGGCGAATGAATGAATGAATCTTAAGACAGTCGTGTTAGAGGGATATTCACGAATCCACGGGCTCTTTTCGGAAACGTCTCGCTTCCTCGAGCGAATGAAAGAAAGAGAAGAAGAAAGAGTGATTGTTTCCAGTGTGTCCAGTTTCCTCGTGTGTCGCGTAATCGTCTCCACCTCGATTATGGTCCTCGTCCTCGTTATCTTAGCGATCCACGACCGCTTCTTTCGTTTCATGTTATCAGGATTTTCCTCGGGCATCGTCGATATCTAATCCAGAGACCTGACACGGTTGTATTCCCGAAAACCTTTCGAGTCTGACCTTCGCTCCAGGACGTCATGGAGGCTGCCTTCTTTGGCGAAAAGAAGATCCCTGGATGGGCACGTTTTCGATGATCCTCTTCGCCAAGAGCAGGACGATCGTGTTATCGACACTGTTGTGCTCCGATTTGACCCAGTGAATTTGAGATTTATTGAGATTGAGAACAATCGATCTTTGAGGCGAACTCTAGGAATATCTCGCGTTGGTTGCTGTTCCTCGAGGCCTCCGTTTCGATAGAATTCGTTGGTTTGGTTAACGTGGTGACCGTAGGTCGCGAACATGGAGGTCTCGTCAAGGAGAAGTTGCTTCTGGCAACCGTGGCTCAACACGGACAACTTCCGATCGGTGTACAAGTTGGGAGGTACGTGGAAGTTTTGCGTATTGGGTGTCCACTGGACAGTTTGGTTATAAAGAGTCGCTAGGAACGTTTAAATTAGATTGTCACGATTTTCAAAAAAACGCGCGAGTATTTGGCGTCCAAAACCATTTTTTATTTTCTGACATAGTTCAACGCACGAGTAATAAATAATTCCTTATTTCGGTAATTGTTAACAAATACTGTTGAATGGAATGGAGAAAGATTAACAATAAATAAGAGAGAGATATGGAGAGATACGTTGACCTGTGTCCTAGGGTCTCCGTTATCAGGTGATATTTATGAAATATCAGCTACTTCCGTTCGTTGCGATATCTAAAATTGGAAATCGATCTAACGACAACCCTCTGAACGATCGAGGAGAGGCGGAGTAGACTAGCAGAACGGGAAGGGGTGGTGGAGATGAGTCCGGTTCCCAGGATGAGGCAGGAAGTGCTTAATAGCCGTGAGAGGATCGTCAGGAAGACGGTCAAACTGGTTTAAAGGCAAAGGACGAAGGCACAAAGCAGGGAAAAGATGAATGGACCATGCTACGCGATCGTTTTGTTCAATTAACTTTCTCAACTCACCTTCTAATGTTTCACAAAATTATCTTAAGGTGGCTCTGCATATACAGTTAAAGAAAAAATTAAAACATATGCATAATGTGAAATATGCGAAACAAAAAATATATATTTCAAATCCTCTTTTAGACGAATAACAAATAGGGGAAGGTTGGTAACAATGTTTAAAATGGTACTTCTCCTAAATCTCTAGTCTCTAGGTGTACAAAGAAAAATAGGCAAATGTAATTGAAATAATCGCGGAGCGCAAAAGTCGGACCTTGTATTTTCTTATCCGAGCAATTTGTGACCGTTACACGTGCATGCAAAAAGATATAAATAACTTTGCAACTAAAGAAATACAGTAACGGATCTCGACAATCTTCGCAAGTTTCCGGTACGATCCACGCGACGCATCGATAATTATTTATCTTGTACGTGTTTGACATCGAGATTGTTTTCTTTTTTTCCAAGCAGAGGAGAGACCGAAGGCGTCGAATCTCCACCGGAAGCCAAGCAGCGCGTGGCGCAAAGAACGCAGGAGGGACCCGATTCAGAGCGAGGCGCTCGACATGTCCGCAGCTAGGGTTCATCATCATCATCACAGCAGGCCCAGCGTGATCGTGCCCACTACGCCACAAGCTGGTAAGCAGAGAGACGAGACGGCTGCAAACTAAGTCTCGCCGCGAATTTGTTAGGCGCGTTGCGTTGTTCTTGCGTCACAGAGGGGGGTTCCAGGGACCCCTATTGTTCGTCACGAGGGGTGACTGCGTCCTCTGACAATGCACCGTGATGCACAAGACGCAGATGCGCGCGTAACCGTGCTGCCCCGATAGGAACACGGTTGATCTCTTGTGTTAGGCTGTGCGATGCCTGGCAGCTCACTTTGCGGAAGCTCGTAAATAGACTGCTGATTTTTATGCATTTATAAGAAATTTAAATGTCCAAGGAACTGCAAAATGCACGCAGTATGTTAAAATATCAAAAAATATCGAAAGTAAAATTCATAGTATAATATTTGCAGAGTAAAATAAGTTTCTATTAGGTAACAATAATGCAACATTTTAAGAAACTTCGTTCTTAAATCATTGCATCAGTTATAGAATTTAAGTTAAGCCATGCTATCGTAAGTAATAATATAAAATAAATTAATATTATACGTGTGAAAAAATTGTTGTTCACCAGGTACGACAATCGAAGACACTGCAGTGACACCTACAGCAACCCTGACACCATCTGCGGCAGCAGGAGGTCAAAGGACTGGACTCAGAACTGTGGGCGGCGTAAGCGATCCTGCAATAGATGAACACTTTAAACGATCGTTGGGGCTAGAAGAGTATGCAGCTGTCTTCAATGCGACCACCACCGACAAAGAGGCTGGTCTCAGTGGTACGACACTGGCTGTATTGCGAGATACATAGAAACCATATATCATTATCGACAGTAGCCAACATTGGGAGCTACTTTAAACCAGCGTTTCCAAAACTTGTTTAGTCGCCAAGAACACGTTTCCATTTCACAATGTAACATGTATTTATTATTATACAGTGTGCGTTACTCAAGATAAAACACTTAAAAATATCTGCCTTGAATTTGAAGATCAAAGATATCAAGGTCATCGATATATTTGTAATGAAACTATGTATTTTTTTTATTTAATATTATGAAAGTTAATAGTTGTGTATAATTTGTATAATAACCAACTTGAATTGATATAATTCTTATATATTATTATAAATACTCCCAATTATGGCACTGTAAAAATATGAGTTGCTATTGAAATACAAATGTCCTTTTACTAATTTGTCTCTACATCTAATCTTACATTCTTATCACAGTGGACGACCACTTCGCAAAGGCGCTGGGTGAAACCTGGACGAGGCTGCAGGCAACTAGTCGAAGCAAAGATTCCATTTAACTGCAGGACAGTTATCGCACAGTTATCTGCTGTAATCTTCGAGGCGCGGTCAATGTCGTTCCAGTACTCGCCGATTAATAGTGTTAAATTGTCGTCGTTGACAAGAGGAACTCGACCGATCCGACAAATGACTCTACATTGTTACCTCGTGTCGAGAGAGCGCGTCTGTGAACTATGCTCACGGTACATCCAATTTTCGTTCCCCGAATTTCATGGCGAAAGGAAAACCGTACCCAAGTGTCCTTGACCGCCGAAAATCGTTTGGTATCGACATTTACCCCTTTCGACCCGCCTGTTTTCTATTTCAATTCTATTTGTTTCTCTTTACACATTAACTCTTAACTTCTTTTCGAAATTGCAAAGTATTTCTAAATAGGCCGGTAGATAAAGTGTTAACAGCATTAAGAGCTCTCGAGCAAATTAGTGCACTGGATCCCTTAATTCCCGAGCAAGTACTCACCGTGTCCATACGCTAAGACGATCCTGTCACCAGGGTCGAAAGGGTTAACGAATCCGCAAACGGAGACGAGAACATTGAGAGGCGCGGACGAGTTTGACGATATTGTATATATAGATACGCGTATTCTTTTATTATGCCATCATCGCAGTCATAATCGCAGCCCGCACGTAGGGGGCGTGAATTTATTTATTATGATGTTCCATACTGCCTCGCTAAATAGTTATAGTGGATCCGTTTACACTGCTACATATGTCCTCGATGCGATCGACAGCCTTGATCGCGTGTACGATAACGAACCGCAAAACCAGCAAGAATATCGAGATGATCGATCAGGCGTTGCACAACGTTTGCTGTCGCCGGTGTAAACGGACGGATGTGTATGTAATAATTATTTGCATAAATGTTAACTTGATGGGTGTGTGTGTGTGTGTGTGTGTAAGTACGTGTATCATATATACATATATGTATATGTACGTATGTATGTTGTAATTATATAAATTCGAGAGTCTTTACAAACAAAGTAGAGAATAAGCGCGAAACCGTATAACAGAATCGATCATCGCACAATAAAACTTGTAATACGTGTATTCGTCGAGTGACGGAATTATACGTAAACATTGTACTAAAGACAAAGAAGAGGATACATAAAATGACTGGTAACATTTTAATACCAAATACCGCTGTTGTAAACGTTCCCGATTATACTCCCGATGAGCTATACCTGATGTAGACTGCTAAGAAGAGTAGTACTGATTTCAAATGGTGCTAGGAAGTCCAACGCAAACCCAAGCACGCACAGAAGTCAGTACCTCTGCCTTCTTATTGCCCTCTACTCTTCCATTTCCGTTTCTGTCCACCTAGGTCTCTAGTTACCGCTGTTCGGACGAACGAGTCCTGTTCTCACGGTCCTCTTGGTCGGCGAGCAACGTTCGACGGTTCCTGCGGCAGCCGTACAAGTATGTTAGCGACGAAAAGGATCAGAATTCGAGGTGATATACGGCTAATCACTACACGCGGCCATCGTGATCACAGGTAAAAGACGGTGGACGCTACTACGCGTTCCAAGATTGCGGTTTCTTTCGAAGCTTATACACTTGTCGGCGGTGTCCTCCATTTATACTTCTGTTCCCAATTATTCCATCCACAGGTTACGGAGATAGTCGTACGACGAGAAGTGAAAAGACTTGTGACGGATACTTTGTGGGTTCGTCCCCTGATGTTGTTGGCGTAGACTTCACCAGTCATATGGAACCCAAGAGCAATATTTCTTTACCTGGACTCCAAGCAAAACAATCGACAATCAACACAAAACGTTTAACCAATGGATTTTTATACGCGAGAACACAAAATTTTCAACTGTGCGGAAGGCGGTCGGAGGGTTTATGTGTCGTAGGTGGGCCCAGACGGGCGAACCAGACTGTCCCAGGAGCGCTCGGATGGCTTCCTATATGCAGGCAGCCTGTTCACTTGCCGTAAAGCAAAATGGTAACTTAATATTAGACTTGAATATAAGTACGGTAATCCCACACCACAGTCCAAAGTAAGCCTACACCTACCCGCCGCCCCGTCCTGCCAGCCAGTCAGCCAGCCATCCCTGGACCTCCGTTCCCCCTTACGAACGCCCTCGAGCGTAATAATACGATGGGATACTAGATATCGGTGCTCTCTGTGTTCTAGGTGCAAATTGCAACCACCTATGTCCTTCGTCTCTCTCTCCTGTCGCCACTTTTCTGATCGTCTCTCTTCCTGTCAGCACCTCTTTTCCAACGGGAGACGACTCTTTTGGATCTCCTTGCTTGCACGCACCGTTACTTTCATCGATCAGAACCGGCCGTGAGGTCAGGTTTTTTAGAGACTACGTTCAGATTCAAATTTTAAAGAACGTCTGGTTATATATCGTTTTTCATAAAACTGAGGTGATCAATTGAAAACGGTCCTCGAGGGCTGTAGCGGTGTTTGTAGCTACAGTACGGGCTTAGCAACCCCGGGGTACCCTAGCTAGATGGGGGCCAGGGGGCCCCAACAGACGTGTACACAAAACAAGACTAACGTAAATGTAATGTACAGAGTTACGATGACACGAACTAAAGCAAAATTAAGGAGTTGTGTGAGGCAGAGTAACGTCAAGAAGAATAGAAATAATTGTGTTGTGACGGATGGATTCAGTGCAATAACTGAAGTGACAGTTACGAAATAGGTTTATATTGTTGCGACGGTATGGAGATGCCTCGCAATATTTTCAAGTTGTATCGACGATGTGACGCCGTGACCTAATTGACTGTTGCGCGGCGACAAAATCCCTCGTAGCTGATTCACGGTAAGAGTGGGAGCAGAGTGTAGGTTCTATTTGCGCTAACTTCTCAAATTGTTTTTGTCGATTAGATTTAATAGATAAATTAGATTTTTTTCTTTTCATGTAAACAGGAGTAAAAGTGCTCCCCGAAGTGCGACGACCTTCGCGGCGAGAAGAACTAGGATAAACCAGTCGTCTGCGTGTCTCTTTAGAGGCGAAGTAAGTTAATCCCAACCGTCGTATCATGTTTGAGTCCCTTTAAACGATACTGATACGTCTCGCGACGTTTCGCGGACTTGACTCGATGTCTCGCACCGCGCTCGAGTTTCTGCCTATGCGACGTTAGTTTCGCCTACTACTTACGTCGCCACAGTGGCCCAAACACCGATTCTAGCTAATAAGAAGTGATGTCGAAAATGAGTCTCGCCAGAACCATACAATTTTTATGGTACGTACACTGTGGAGCGCAACTATAGCATCACCTAGGTATATTTTAAATGCTTAACCACGTCTCCTAACACTTTCTGACGCCTCTTGACAACTAACACGAAACACCTAACAAACCCTGATAGCACCTGCCAACTCTCAGGGGCTGTAGTATGCGGATATGCAGCTACAGTACGGGTTTAGCGATCCCGAGGTACCCGAGCTATTACGGGGGCTAGCAGATCCCCAAGGCAAAGTTAAGAAGAATGGAAATAAGTATTGCAAAAAGCATATTATACTCAGTGCAATAACTATACCAAAATAGTTAGCCACTTAAATAAATTACAAGACACAAGCACCTGACACCCCGTGACAGCACCTAGCAGTTAAACAATGTTGCAAATCGCTCAGCTCAAAACTTCAACAAAGTTGCGTCTATAAAATTCGACAAAATATGAGCCAATCCACATACGTTTCCTAATATTCATGGTCAGAGCAGTGCACGTTTAAAGTTCTCAGGTGTTTGCCGACTTTACGAAAGTGGTAAAATGAAAAAAGAAAATGATTTTTTCCGAGGCGACAAACCAGAATGCCCCCCTAATTCGCACCAACACCAGATCGATGCGTAATGCAACCGAATAAAAGGAGAAAACGATGCCGGGTTGCGGTCAGCTGAGTCTGGCACCGAAACAAGATACGCCTGGGACTTAAAATAAACAAACAGTAATGCCGCGAACCGATAGAATCTGGAACACGATCGAAGCCCGATCTGCGATCGATTCTGATTTGTTCGATAGAGATGCGCGCTCTTCGGGAGTGCAATTGCACATCAATTACAACTGACGATAAGTAAGAGAGTATTTGATATACTGCGTATCAATATTATACGAACACTTGTTAAAACAAGAATTTGTTTAGATCTCATATCAACTTCATTTCATTGCTTGAAGTTTACCTTGTTCAGAAGTAATTCAGAAGTAAATTGAGATTACTGGAAAACCTAACTCGAAGGGAAACGCAAGGGCGGCCGAATGGACGCGCAGAAGCGTGAATCACGACGCCACATGTGCTAGCCTCGCATCGAAATCCCCGGAGATGTCCTATGCGCCAAGAAAAACGCAACGCTGCACAGTGGTTTGAAATCACACAAACCTGGCCAAGAATAGAAAGAGTCAACAGATAAATAGACTATAAGCCAAGATAAATACAATTTTCATCCAGATTCAAGTTTTAAGAAGAACGGTAAATAGAAGATGAATATATTTTGATTTATTTTTCGTAGAGTAAAAATTGATATTCGAATCTTGACAAATATCGGTAGTTGGAAACAAGTACATCACGTGTACATCGTCGTTAGATAGATCAACAAAAACTGACTGCTTAGGTAAATAACTATTCGAACAAGTCACAAGTACATTACTTAATACAACTCGTGCTTGTTTATCCCGTACCGAGCTGGCTCCAAACTAGTAGCAAAGGGTTGCCTAACAATAACGCTCAACCGAGCAAAACGAATTCAATTTTCCCCGAACAAAACCTTGTTCACCCCCTGCAACAAAGCCAGGTGCTCTCTAGCGCATCTCTAGCCAACATCCAAAAACATCCACGACTCTAGAGTTACGGAAAATCCCCAACATAAATTTACCTGGTCCGAGAACGACGGTATCCTAAAGGATCCGAAGGGGACGTGCGACGAAGGCACACTGAAACTGGCTTTCGTTGTTTACAGAAGGAAACTGGCAGTGGCACACCATCCGTGAACGATACGAGCACTCGAAGGATCTTCCTGGACACGATCGAAGCGGTAGAGAAACGCGCAAGCGAGGATCGGCGACGTTCGCGCACTTGGAGGACTTAAGACCGAGTCGACGCGTTCGTAATTCCACAGCGCGGGTAAAACGGGACCGATTCAAATCGCAGAAGCAATTGACTGCAATTGCTTGTAGGAGATGTTAGATCGTCGAGTAGGATCGTCGGAAACGATAACGTAATAGAGCGAACGAGTGATCGCGAACAGCAACGGTCCTGGCGCATGGTTTCCAACGGCATGGGGACTTCGGACACGACTGATCGAGTGACCGAGGGGGTAGCATTGTAAGAATACCCCTCCTCGTGCGCTTGTATAGAATTACGTGTGTGCCCGTTGATCGCGCATAGAGCAAGCTCTCCGTCCCCTTGGTTCGAGCAAAAGGGAGAACTAGAAGGGAGAAGAGTGGCTCTACCGTTCTCTCTTCCCCCCTCTTGTGGTGACTCTCTCTGCCCCGCGTGTTACGCCGCTCCTTTCACCGTGTTTCTACCCACCCCTTTGACTGTATAACCATGGACTGCTAGTCCCTCCTACTTTTCTCATTCCCATGTTAAAGGCATATGGTTCGGTGTTCCTACATCTCGACGAGATAGGCTGCGCTCCTCGGCCCAAAAGGGCGGACAATTCAAATCGGAAGAAAGCATTTAAATTTTGAAGTTGAACAGTTTCTGTTTCTTGGATATAAAAATCCGTTAATTATATATCTTGTGTTGATTGTTTTACACAAATGAGTGTAACATTGAGTGTACATAGAGAATTCATTTGCGAAAGTGTTGCTTGCGAATGTACGACAAGGATTTTGAAAGAGATCATGTGACCCAACTTGGCACGTTTAATTTTAAATATCTTTTCTGTCGCAGTTATAATATTAACAGTGTCGACTCAAGGTTGCTGATATCACCATTCATTCGATCATTGCGCACGGATTTTAGTTCGTGAGATTCACGATGGATTCGTGGATAGACGTGTCGCCACTAGATGTGGCGTCAGCTCTGAAGTTAGCAACTAGCAGTCCATGGTTATATAGTCAAAGACTCACCCCTTAGATTTCTCGTGCCCTGTGCCCCCTCCCCCCTCGTCCTACACGGATTCCCCTCGACACGTCTCTTTCTCTCTCTCTTGGCGTGCGTGAATCATACATATCGATTTTCTTTCGTTTAGTACGCCGTTCGGTAGTTGTTCGCCGCCCGCCACCGCCGCGCGCGTACGCCCGTGGCAAGAATCCCCCTGCCACCCCTGCCCCCTTGGTCTTCTTTCAGAAAGGCCGGGGGCCGTGCGGACGAACCCCTTTCTGAAAACGCACGACTGCGAACGCAGAATTCAACACGAGCGCGCAAACCCAACACCACCCGGTGCCCAATTCTTTCACGCACAATAGCCCCGTGTCTCCGTTCACCTCGTCGTTTTGCTATAGTTTTATCTTCGTAAGGTAAAATACCGAGTACTCGAACGCACTTCAAAGTACAGTAAAAGTAGTCCGTTTTTCCGAACTTCAGATATCAGAACGAAATTTTCATCGATTTCAATTCAATTTCATTTACTTATAGGGATACGGAGTCGTTTGCTACACTGCGTATCAACATTATATATACACTTGAATTTTGAGGTTTCAAGGTCTTAAAAGAGTTTTTCATAAAAACCAATTATACTACGATGTTCAACATGTCAATAAACCACTGGACACCTACTTACTATATTTCAGTATGGAAAGAATTAACGTTACTATAGTTAAAGTCGATTTTTATCTTACCTTGTTTATACTCGGAAAGTTTAGCTCCAAGTATCGTTTTATACATTATATGAAACAATCACTCAAATTACTTTAAATTTATAATTCTTGTATTTAAAGAAATTGCTTTCATTTTAAAGCTCATAACGTCCAGTACGTTCTCTATGAATGAAATACTTTACAAGAGCTCCAATATAAAATAGACTTATGTCTTGTTCCCAATACATTCATCACATTTGTTTAGCTTCGTTTGATGAAAATTCACACCTTCGATCATATATTAATAATGTACATTTACTTACTTTTATGGAATTTCAAATTCTCTGGAGATCACACAAACTTTATAAACACGCTATTGTCAAGAACGGTTACTAACGATACAGTGAAGTCTACTTCACTCCACAATTCACATCGGCGATCGGCTATATTCTCTTCATTACCGATTGAACAAATTATAAATGTTCGTATGTTTTTGACAGAAATCGACTCGGGCTACAGTAACGATAATTCTTAGCATGTTATAATCCAAATGAGTCTTTAAAAGTTTTTTGACACGTTGAATATGATAGTATCATATTAAAAATATAGGTGGTGCTATGGTTAGGCTCCGCAGTGTAGGTGTAGATAAAGGATCAATTAACAGACAATCCGATGATATTGTTCAAAATAAGAAAGACATAAAAATTAGTTAAATTAGCAAATTTGATTATAAAGTAGCTGGAATTAAAAAAAATCGTAAAAATGCCTGGATCTGCTCTTGTCCCACCATCACGTGACACTCGAAGCCCTCGAAGAACTCCTTCTTTGTCTACGGCGGCTTTTTGCTCGAGCAAAACGTCCCCGTATGACGCGAAGCAACGATGAGACGATGCTCTTGTACCATGGCAAGCACCCCAGTCCCCCTCCCCCCCCACTCTTGTTTCCTAATGTCTCGTCGCCCCTTAATTTTGCAGCACCCCACACTCTTCGGTGAAACCCGGTAATAAACTCTCTTTGTTTCTGCCCACTCTTTCCTTTCGTCGCGAACCCCCTCTGTTTTCACTGTTTTTTGTCGATGACATGGTTAACCTAGTCGATTCGGGGTAATTATCGTTTTTTAAACGGTCACCTTCTGTCCTGTTGCAGTTACAGGATCGAATTTCTCGTACGATCATCACGTCTAGGAGTGGAACCTGAAACGTTATGTTGGACTCTTTGACTATACATACAGTATAAACTGCTTATCCCCCTACTTGTTCCATGTTGCTTTTCCACTTTTTGCTTCGACTATTCAAAGCTTGGGATAATGCGTAAAGTACAACCTAAAAAAAGTAATTATGGCGGTTAATTCCATAATTAACACTGTCCGACAATAGCAAATAGCGGCAATGTATTTTGGCAGATCACGTGCCGAGGCTTAGTAGTGCCATCACACTATAGCGGAGATGCTACGCATCCTTTACTCCTATAGCGATGAGATCAGGCACAGTTTGTTTAATAGTTATTTCCTTCTGTTAGTAGGAACATAAATGTACTGTGAATGCACATAAATAATCCAAGGTGGGATTGGTTAAAAAATCGAAGAACATCAATTATAAACAGTTGCTTTAATCAGTAAACGTGATAGATATGGCGCTTTAACACGATAGAAATAACTTTATGTACAGTCGTACGACATTTACAACAATTTTACACCGTCGAAGGGTCAACATCATCGACAGAGATAAATTAAATTTGACAACCTATATATTTCGTAAGTGATACCAGATTAAACAATTTTACGAATAAATAAATTAGACGCTACGCGGATGGCACAAACGTGTACGGACGTTTCAACGAAGTAACTATAGCGCCCGCGATCATTAATGCTAACGAGCGGATCCATCAAACCATCATTGCATTCTCGTTTGCGTTAAGTGTCGCGTTGGTCTCTTAATATGTATGCTACGTGTAAAAAGAAGTCGAAATGCAAATGGAATGCGTAGTTCTCAATACGTGTTCCTACGAGGTAATTGCGAAAAGGTCGTAACCATTATAGTACGTAATATCAAGAAGAATTGAATCTTAAGATGAATTCGATTAGCGTATTTTGAATTAATTATATAATTGTATTATTTGGCCACTGAATTACTGTGCTTACTTATTACCGAATATACATATAAATCGTAGAGACTGAAAGCCTGTAAACTTTCATTTTGTTCCCAGTTGAAGAATGTTTCCATTAGTTGCCTGTTTGAAATCATTCACATTTTTCGATCCCGATGTGAACGTGAAGGATTGAGTGCACATTTCGACACCCCTAACTAACAAGCTTTCAGGACTTAGAGCATCGATGGAATACTATAATACTTAAGTAAGTCTCTTGTATTTTACAATTCTCGTCGAGCACTAATCAACACGCGACACGACTACCTGATTGTTATGCGTTTCTTTAATCGATGAGAGAAGTCGTGAATATTTCAAACTGCGAGCATATCGAATAGAACGCTAGTCGTATCTTCTTCCCTTTGGCATTAAGACCTCTGTGTACGCCTGCTTTGTACCCTCGGTGAAACGGAGTAAAGTTTGCGAAAAATGTCTACTAAATTGTTCTGAGGAAACAGCGTCTCTATTATCCCCTCCAAGAGCACGTACAACAGTCTTCTGTTTAACACAGGTCGTTGAAACAATTCGAATACTCTTAAAAGACCTCGCCTCGTCGTTTCGCTACCGATGATATGCTTTAGCTCGTCCGAGAGACAGGACAACAAAGCAACTTTGGCTGCTACTCTAGTTCTGTTTTTCGTTTCCATGTCACGCGGTGGTTTTTTCTCGGCCTTGACACCGTTTGGCCAAAAGCTGTTTCTGTAATCGTTGGATATACAATATTAGCATAATACAGAAAAACACAACATAATATAGAATATTACAATCTAATAAAGAATAATTCGCAGCTGTTTGATGTTATCTAGATACAACTTTACTCACTTGAAGGCCTTCAGATACCCAGCGACTTTCGCTGGACTAGTCAACAATGACACGTACTCCACTATTCTTCGATTCACTATATCCCCAAACATAGTGCGAATAATTTGTCTCAAAAGCGTGACGATCCGCCGCCTAAGCCACTGATTCCGCACTTTTAGATCGAAGATCTCATCCATCAGCAAGAGCATTATACGCAGAGGAATATTATCGTCAGTCTGAGATACGAAAAATACAACGTACAGTAAGAGCTTTAAACAAAAATTAGAGGAAAGAGGACAAACGCGTACCTCTACGTCAAGACCAGCACCAACTTTAGTGTTTTCGTAAAATGCGTTAGGTTTCTTTGGATTGCCAAAAAACTTGCTTATATTGTCCATGACACCGTCCACGGTGTTCAGCATGTTATCTGGCATGGTTTTGACGGCTTGCGTCACAGTCTTCATGGACGTCTTCAAAGGATTCATCAAACTATCTATCTGTATTAAAGCAAATATTATACTAGCAGTCTTGTGTAATCCTCTTATACATGTTAGCTATTGTACTTACCGTTCTGGATATATGTCCACCGGTAACACCTTTATCGTAATCCCCCTGCTCTAAAAAATTCAGCAACAAGTTCTGCAGACCCATGTGGCCGTCGACTACCGTCGGTTTCATTAATTGATTCAACCAAGCGTTCAGCATCAACATTCTTCTCTCTAAAACTGCCCTCTCCATATTATGAAAAGCTTTCTTCGCTGGGAAAGGTATTTTCGCTAGATCGTAATACTTCTCCTTTATTTTCTGATGCAGATCGTAAAAGTCAGAGTATCTTCTATAAATGTGCCACTTCTCCTGATACCCTGAATCGTAGCTCTTCGTCACAGCCACCGCATAGATGCCATAGGTTTTCCCGCGGTCATTCACGATACCAGTTTCTATGATCTTAGCGTTGATCTCGAATCGACCCTGTTGTAATTTTTTAATCGCATTCTGATTGTATGCGTCCTCGTCTAACTTGACATACTGGTTCGCGTTTGATTCTAAGTAAAATGTCAGATCCTTGCCTTCAACTATATTATCGTTGTCGATACCGATCGCTCTTTTCGCACTTTTAGTAGTTCTAACACTCGCCTCAGAGTCAGTTTCGTCAACCGTTTTAATTTCGTTGGGTTCTACAATATTTGCTAAACTAACCGACGAGTTCGATTGTGATTTGCTATCCTTCGACTCGGCTGCCTTCGTTTCGTTCGGTTTGTACAGCTCGGACATCTCGTCCAGAGTCTCGAGTTCGTTGTTTGTACTGGACAGACTGATGCTATCCAAAGATTTCGTGTCCTCTTCCGAGGGTGGATCCTTGAGCAAGTCCAATTCAGCGAGGAGTTTCACGTAGGCCACCGACCTTTTAAAGCCTGGCAGAAATCGATCTTCGTTCTGCAATTTCTCATAACAACAGACTCGAAGGTCGTCGAACCACGTCTCTTTTACGGACTCGGTCCTTATTTTAGTTAATAAAATCTTTACCAAAACGTCGTCTAATTGCAACTTTGGCGACGCCTTGTCGCTAAGGTACTGCTGATAAATCTTCGTAGCTGCTTCTTTTAAATTCTCCAAGTCGGTATTTTTACGCTTGGCACCCATCACACTAGAACCGCCATGAGCCGCGTGTAGCTTCTGTAATTCTATATCGGATATTTGCTGCTCGGCAGACACTCTCCAGCCGTATATATTCAGATAAAAATATAAGTATGATTCTGCGTTTATGGAAGTCATGTAGTCGATAAAGTAACTCAATGCAATGTTATTTTTCAGTAATTCATCCAATGGTAAATTCACTAACTTTTGACCCGGTATCAGCAACCTATTCCAGTCTGGTTGAGCACCAATTCCATCAGTCTCCGACTCCAAACCTTCTTGCATCCCGATAATCCTGGTCTCCAAGATTTTTTTCACATAGAGCAAACTGTTTAGCTGCTGCTTGACGGACAGATCGTCCTCCCTACCTGAATCCTTAGAGCGTAAGTGAGCTATTTCTTTACAAACTATGCTTTTCGTCGCTGTTAGTTCGTCTAAGCTATCTGTGATTCTGATCACTGTTAAAAACACATCGCTCGGTAAGCCAGCTTCTTTAATGCACTAGAACAAAACGACTCGATTATACGTTTGCACTATTCGTTCGCAAAATCAGGGCCAACTTTTCGTAACAAATCATACAACGCATCTAGTTCAGATGAACTGACCCTATTTCAGAGCCACAAACGTTCATGATTTAATTTATTTTTAATTTATAAGATGAAGAGGGCATCTGAATTAATCATTGCATCGAGGCGCCGGCCCTGCATATAATTACAATTTGTCGTTATAATTTTGTACTCACCAGCCATATACACACCTGATTAATATAATCAGGGTCAGAGAATAAATCCAACAGTGGCCTAATTATTACGTTTACTAACAACTCCCTTAATATAAATCTCACAGTCAGACAATCAAAGTCCCCCTTTGGTAATACTAAATACAACAGGATTTCCGATATCTCGCCCAAAAATTCGAGTTCCTCCATACTGTTGGTACACACCAGATCTCTGCATATCATATTGTTCTCCATCTGCACCTCGAGGTCGAAGAATATCTTCTCCAGTGACTCTTCTTCCTTCTCCTCGCCAGTTTCGATCGGTTCGGTGAGGGACGATAAATTAGGAATGTAAAACTTTGACTGAGAATACCACGATACATCCGTTTCGCTTTTATTCCGCCTGTGAGTAGGCGTTTTCTTCGGAGTTCCGCTCGACGTGCTTGAGCTTGCACTACCTTTTTGTAGTTTTTTCGATCGAAGCTGTTTTACTCTCGCTCTTGCCTGCCGATACAGTCTCACATGAGAAGCTGCATCGTCGACGAGACGAGTTGTTAAGTAAGGTATCCAGTCTACACCTTTCACTCTGTGTTAGAAAAGATTCTTTTAGAAAGGAACAAGCCATTTTGAAATAAAACTTCAATATTCTTGTTTTTACATACTGATTTGCAATATTGATAGCTATTTTTTGAGCAGTATCCCGCACGGAGTATATGAACTCTTCGTCGTCTGTAATAACGTTGTACCATGGTTCCACGTAATCTCTGATAACGAAATCTAATATCTCCTATATAAAGGAAGTAGCAAATTGCTGAGTTATTTTTACTATAACATATGAGGGTACATAATAGTAGTGATAATTTTTAAATCGAGTATGTACTTGCAGGGACTCGTCAATAATACGGCTACCAGTGATTCTTCTATCTAAAGTAAAGTTTGACTTCTGCTTCGATAGTTCTAGGATATACTGCAAAATAATAGAAATATAGTTAAACAGAGAAAAATAACTAAATATCTTATTTAATTACCCATTTACCTGCCGAAACTTTTCAGTCTTCTTATTTAAGTCTTCCCTTTCAGATTTAATAACGTTATCGAGATTTGGGCTATATGTCCTAAATATACAAGTGATTGTTCTGTAATAAAATATATATAAGTATGTATCAACTAGGTATAGTATAGGATAGTTCTTGACATTAACATACAGTGAGTCCTCGAATTACAGCAATTAGTAGAAGCACAGTTGTGCACAAAATTCTGTCTATGAATATGTTTAGCGTGTTAAATAAAGTTTTTAGCCACGAATACTACAAAGATATATTGTATTTACAGACATTGACTGACAAGGAAAGTTCTAGAAGAAGAGGTGTAAGAGGAGGACTCGCTAAATTTGAGATCAACTTCATCATACCCTAAAAGTAAGGCAATCAGGCAAATGAATAGTTTCACAATTGTTCCGATTCCAACAAGATATATGAACAGAGCCGCTGCAACTCCAAGAAGTCCATACAGTGGAATGTTCATCTACAAAATTACAATGCTGTTAAATAGAATTGGCAAGGGAAACTATACTGGTACAAGATAGAAAAGTAAATGACAAAACTGTTGGGTAGGTAATCACGGAAAAATACATTACTGGAAAATTCCTATTCGATGGTTTTTATCAAACGTGTGGTATGAAACACAACAGTTTGCATTATCGCTACAGTTGACTTCCAGGGGGCACACTCGCTTCACAACACATCAAAACATTTCGAATTTCATTGAAAGCTCTACTTGTGTTTGCACATCTTTCATTCGGTCGGTAAATAACTGTCACGTTGACGTATTGACCAAGTTCAAATAAATACAAAATTTATTGCACGAAACAACACGAAGTAGATGTTGAAAGAAGAAAAATCCGAAAAGATATTTAAAAATAATATCGAACACACGATGCGTGCGTGCCCAGTAACGAATTTGCGCACATTAATGAGACGTAAAAGTCGAAATGCGATACGTATGTTCCGTCTGCTATATCGCAACAACCCCGACGCAGTATCACAAACAAGATGCACCCACCTTTGGATTCTCGGATACACAGCCGCACATATAGCTACACGCATATTGTAGATCTCGTACGATTCGTCGCACGAACTAGTCAGCTAAACGACAATAGTTTATTTACATGTTTGCAAGAGAACATTAATCTACCGAATATGTCTGGCGACATGTCTGTTAATTCTGCGTAAGGATGGTAGAGGCGCTTTGTAACACTTTGTAGCGCCGCGAATTTTATGCTCGACACGTAGCGATGGTTGTTCAATTTCCTTTACCGTTGCAAGCAACGTAATCAATCGAATAGTTGATTTTCTAAATATTTTTATTTCATTTCTTTTCGGAAAAAAGATGCTTTGTTTTCTGAGATAAAGTACAAAATACTTGAATAGACCAAAAAATTGGACCAGTACTTGAACAATTTGGTTATACTGGTATTATTTGAATATATTTACTATAAATACATTATTACAATATTTAATTTTATATAACTATTACATTATTAGTATAATAAGTTAACTGTAATCATAACTTAATAACGCATACAATAAGTAAAAGAAATACTTTTAATAACACTTTATCTTATAATGATGAATGTTATAAGGTCATTCGGATATATTGGGGTCCTTTAGTGATAATTGAACGTATCTTAAAAGACTTTTTAAATAATTTTGAATATTGTAAGTTATATAACTGTTTAAAGTTTTATGTTACCGTTTTTTTCAATCAATTATGACTATTAGGCTAGTAAATGGATAAGAGTGAGATTTCGGGAGATAACAATGAAGACATAATAGAAGTAGCAAATGAAAATTATTTCAGTTAAAAAAAAATCCATTTGCATTAATATTCTGTGTTTTTCTATACTTTCTAACATTGATATAATTTTTTTTTTAATTCAAAAACCACGTATATTATAAAAACAATTTATTTTGTTAAAATTTGAAGTTATTTTTATTTGGAACTTCATATATTTTCATTGTATGCCCACGAAAGTTCATTGTCATCCATATAAAATTGATGTATTTTATCTGAATCAGAACTCCAACTGATTTCGAAATTATTTGAGAAACAGTGTCGGTTTGTTGAGATTCCAGAAATTCCTGCCTTATCAATAGATAAATAAAATATTTCAGGTGGTTTTAATGTAAAATTTAGGGATTTTTTAATTTGTGTAAGGGGAAATCGTCTGTATTGATTGGTAACATTGATTACAGGTTTTAGGGTAAAGAAGAGAGGTGGTATGTGGTGGTATGCGCTTATGCGCTTCTTGCATTCGGTACGCTTATCAAATAGTTGTTTACTATCGTATAGTTTAAAAAAAAAAATGCGATCTTTTGTACGACAAATGGTAAACAACAAACTGATGTTTCCTTAGACACTTTAGGAATTATTCAAAACCGTAACGATATTGGATCGAAAGTCGATGGCAACAAAAGGAAATTGTATATTTATGTAAACAACATAAAACCAACTGACAATATATACCAATAGTTGCATATCGTAGTGTAGTCATTTGATAATATTAAATTTGTATTCGTTACTCGAAAAATGTATTTCCCTCTTGAAATATGGGAACATATATTTTTGTATGCCGATCCAGTGGTGCTCACAAATTTGAAAACAGTTTGTAAGGATTGGAATGAAATTATCGCTAAGATCTTAAAGGTACGTTGTATAATATTTTATCTTACACTTTAATTTTGTTTGTATAGACATGTCACATATGAATATGTATTTACATACGATAAATATATTTATAAATTCTAAATTCTAATGTTTACCAATTGATCGTAGGACAATGACCACTGGCATAAACTATGTAAAAAAGAAATACCAAACCATTTATGGAGCACTTTGTGCGAGACATTGAATCCAAAGAAGTTTTATAATGAATTTGATGGAAAACATGATGCCATGATGTGGATGGCAATGTACAAACTCTGGTTTAAATCTAAAAATGTAGTACAATGGAGCACACAAAGCAAGTATATCGAACCATTATTGAAGCAAAGTCCTGTGGAAAGCATTACATGCATGGATACCTCAGGTAATGGTATATTTATTCTGTGCAACATGTAATATTGCATAAAATATGAAGTTAATTTTTCTTGTTAGTGCTTGATAGAAATTTTGGAATAGAAGTACTTTTTGTTAGTTATAAGAGCAAATTAATAAAAAAAATTCTTTTTTTCTTATAACCATAAAGTACTATTTTTATTAAACACATAAGATTGTATTTAACTTGTCCAATGAATATATTCTACAGGAAATTTGTTAGCTGTTGGAACAAGCGAGGGATATATTTATTTTTATAATATTAGCAGATTATATGAAGGCTCTATATATACAGCCGATCATATGGAATATGTACATAGCGTACAGTTTATAAGAGATGGTATTTATATATTTTAACAACCAATTGTATAAAAGACTCTCGAGTAACGATTTACAAATTTTAGAAACAAATATCGTATGCATATCTTGCTCCATCAATAATCACATAAGTTTCTGGGATGTCAAGTCTAAAAAATTAATCGGTAAAACACGTGGAGAATTAATTTGGTATGGTTTAAAGAATATGAGATAATAGGCATAGAGTACATATTCTAGTTGTTACTAAATATTAAACATTTAATAGTACAAGTTACAGTTATTGTTATACTGCTATGCATAATGCCATAGTCACAGAAGGATCAATACCTAGAACAGTATATGAATTTAATACAAACAAGATTATTGCTGTCGGTGCAGATAATAATAAGGTACTAGCTTGGTAATTATATAGAAGTAAAAGTAATGGTAACAGTGATACTCATTAAGTTTAATTTGGTAGATTTGTCATTTAAAATGTTAAAATGTTGTAAAAAAGGTACATTTTTATACGGAGGAAGGACACTTTGTACATTTAAAGTTGGACACAGGCAAAGAGATCTATGTAACATGGACATGCGTCCCATTACCGAATATAAAAGTTCGTCGATACTACATATTTAAACCTCATATGGCAGTCTGTATCACAGGTAAACCTACGTTTACCGATTAAATTTGTTGACACTTAGGAATATTCAAATATTTTCCCATTGCAGAAAATGGCTATATAGGTTTTTTACACGATAAAGAATGGAAACTCCATAATTTATTCCCAATTTTACATGGTACTCCTACTACAGTTTTAGTGTACGCTCATCTACTTATCGTAGGCTTAAATTCAGGTAATTGATTAATTTTCAATATTAACTTTTACACGATTCAAGGCTATTGCTAATTATGCTAAATATTATGTACTATTTTTAGGAAATGTTCATGTATATTACATAAAAGATTTTGAAACGATAAATTTCAATACTATGGACTCAAAAAAATTAACTTTTGATACCACTGCCGTTATATCATTGAATATAATGGTCCATATTGAAGAATTTTTAATTGTTTCTTATGGGACAAAAATCTACATTACCAAATTTACTTGATAGATGTTTTTTCTTAATAAGAATATGTACATATTGTTTAATTTTAAAAGATATAAACTATTATATATAAAATTTGTTTCGTAGGATACATTTAGTACCAAAATTATTATTAAATAAATATATTTATTATAAAACTTATTGCTACTGTTTGCTATTGCTAACGCTTATGTGTTGTTGTAATTAATTCCCTGCGATTTTGTTAGAATTTGTTTTAGATTTTAGAATTCCGTGCTTTTCCAGTTTCAAATATAGAGCATCCTATTCAACATATACACATACACATAGACACATTTCCCTTTAATTTCCCTTCATTTCCTGGTACATTTTCCTCCATTTCTTGGTACCCTGACTCTTAAGTTTCACTCTTCTCAATTTGCAACATTATTGAACTTTTAAACGGAGAGAAGTCGTGCCACCTCTTCGCATATCATGTTCTCCTGATACCAAAATGTAAAATTCAAGCTCGCTGTGGTTGTTACACAGTACGTGCGGAGTGCCCCTTTTATGCGGCAACCACTACTAGCCGAACTGTTTGTTCGGTTGCCATCTCGTAGGCGCAAGGATGCCCCTTTTATGCGGCAACCACTACTAGCCGATCTGTTTGTTCGGTTGCCATCTCGTAGGCGCAAGGATGCCCCTTTTATGCGGCAACCACTACTAGCCGATCTGTTTGTTCGGTTGCCATCTCGTAGGCGCAAGGATGCCCCTGGCATGCGGCAACCGATGTAGCTTGGCGCCATCTAGCGGCGCGATGTATGAACTATTTCACGACAAACTTGGGCAGTTTGCCGAGGATGGCGCCACATTTTCTGTATTTTTACTTCTTTTAAAAACCTAATATCAATCAATTATTAGTGTACAAATCAATAATTATAAGTTTAATTATGATGTAAAATTACATTAATATGCAAATAAATAATAATTTAAGTTTTGCTTTGGCTGGTACAGTTGGTAAATAACCTGATAAATTAAGTAAATAAATGAACGATTAAATAATACGTTTCTTTTTAGTGATTTAATAGTTTTATTTACTCCCCAATTGAATATTTAATTGAAAATACATTGATCGTTTATGTTGTAAAAATAATAAAGGAAATATAAATTTATTCGAAACATACAGTTGACATCAATTCACACCCTAATCGGACATACGGTATGTGTCATAAAATACATGCTTGTATTCAATTTGAATACCTCACTGAAAAATATAATTCTGAAAGTTGTAATTGTCATTTTTGAAAAGTACACTATTTAAAAGTTAGGATAAATTGACAAATCGATGCAAAATACGTAAAATGATACAAGCATATAAAAGTCTTTCGGTGTTCAAGTGTTCACCAAAGTGTTTTATAGTAGTACGAACGAATCGCTTTAGCGAAGCATACATTTTTAAGTTGACTCTTTAAAATGAACATATTGACCAGATACTATTGACAATGTTTAATACACTCATACTGAGACGATCTTTCTTTAATTTGTATTTCCCAAAATTCAACAGGTACAGTAGCATTCTAATATTTCTTTCTGTTACATTTTTGTATAAAAGCTCGAAACTAAAACAACAGGCATGCAATATGAAATGACACAAAATTTTAACGAAATTGTAAATTTTCACAGATCTCGGTAACTTCACTTAAAAGTGTTTCAACTTGTTGAAACCGTATAACTGATACCGCGTCCCTAATACGATCAGCTGACTCGATAAACTTTGCCAGTTGCAAGTGTTGTCGTCGTTACGCTATCCATTTTATTTATTCACATTTGTCGGCAATGCCTTTCGAATAAAGCCAATCATAATTAAAACGCGCCCAAAGTCGCATTTTTAACAGTCTTTCAATTTATTCATTTGTAATTTTAATATTTTCTTACTGCATACTTTCTTTGCATTCACAACACCCTTTACTCATACTCTCGTGAGCTTATGCTATCGTATTTTCGTCGAAAATGTCGTGCATTAAACGCTAAATATTACAACGATACATCACTTGATTGAATTGATACAAAAGTAAATGCAATTTTCATTCCACACGGTGGGTAACATGCTGCATTAGATTGTATTGGAAAACTTGAAAATTAGCTCTTACGAACACAATTTTTAAAAGAAAAAAGAAATACGGTAAATACTAATCTTACGAAAATAAAAAATATTATTAAATTTAATTATACATATGTCCAAACGCTACCAGTCGATAAAGTGTTAATACTTTATAACTATAACATATGATCGAACGTAACAATTACTCTAAGAATATTGTAATTTCATGTATAAGTGACAAACGCATTACACGTTTTTAACATACAATTTATTAATTGCATTCCTAATTGAACCGATTGACTTTAATTTTAATTCAAAAATTATTTCTACAATTTTGCAGAATGTACACTTGATCCAAAAGAAATTTGCATCACTTTTGCATTAACAGAATAGTGAATATAAAAAATCTGAATTATCGATCGCTACAGTAATCAGAAATTGTTCAAATTATCGATTATTATCCTACTGGTATAGTAAAAGTCGCCTGACAGACTGCCTACAAACAGCAATCGTATTCTTTTCGATTGTGATTCGGAGTTTCGAAATTACAAACTTGCGTGAATTTTGTTTGTTATTGTTAGAGTAATTACGGTGCTCGAGCCCGTTGATACGCGTAAGATTAAAAGAGCTCGTGCTTTAACATACAGTAACACAAATAGAAGGTGCACAAGCATTCTTTGAGATCACTGATGAAGAAGCGCGTTACAGCAAGAAATCAGCTTAGCCTATAAAGCGTTACTTTTACAGTTGGCTAATTATTATCGTTATTAATGATCATCATTAATCGGTATCCCCTTATTTCAATATGCTTATTCGTGCGATATTCACTGGTAGGTACGACACATTCACATTTAGAAACGAGAAATATCTAGATAATAATAAATCAACGATACTATATAATGAAGCTTGGATTAATTAATTGTTGAATAGGAACGCCATCACTGATCTTGTTCGAAGTTCTGGCATTCTTAAAGCTGACATTTTATTGTTTTTATATCTATTCTCTTAAGCGCTTTCGCGTACGCTTTATTGTTTAAGTAAATTTACACTAGGATAATATAAGTTCCTTGATGCTTTCATCGATGCTGCTAGATAATGGTTCAGATTTCATAGGAAAAGTAAACAGTAACACTGGAAAAATATTATTCAACTTGCTTTTTTGCGTCAATTACGAAACTATTCACTCTGCGCCTGATATCCATTCAGACTCTTGTTGTTTTCTCAAAACAGTTGTTTGCATTTCTTAGAAAAGTTGACCATTATCTTTTTACATTAAAACATAGTGCTTAGTCTCGTTAATACAATTTATTTATTTCATCATAAGCGTAAGTAGAATTTCTCAAAACTCATAATATCGCAACGTCAAGGCTTTGGTGGCGCTTCATGAGTCACTTACGAATACTAAAAAAAAAAAAAGTAATAATAATAATAATAATAATAAAAAAGAAGAATCGCCACTTTCCTACATAATTTTGTGCACGGATGATATTACAATAAAAATGATGATGAATTAATACTAATACTGTGAAATAATTTAGTAGACATTCAATAGTTTTAACAATTAATTACTCATCGAGCTTGATACGATTAATCTGTATATGTACTTAGCTTATCAATGAACGCTACATAATAACACTGACAATTATGATTTCCTGGGAATAAGACATTATTTAAAAGTAAAACGGCTTACTAATTACAAAAATCGATCACATGCAAATACAATTAATTAAGATGTAACTTAAAAACGCTCTTCGAAATACAAAGATGTTTGTCGTTATCTTAATTCTGGAATTGTTGTATAATTCATATGTATATTTTGCACACAGCATTTGTTAACAAATGCAATACAGTAAATTTTCACATATATATATATAATATATGTTATCTGATATACAAATATAAATTATTTGTCTTATTTTAAAATGTCTGGGACACGTGGTAAGGAGAAAACTCTTGTTTTGTGAATAGACTCGGTTATTTTATTACACGCTAAGTTCATTTCATAAACCCGTTTCCTTCAAAGTTTAAATTGTCTTTATGTTTTCCTTTTTTTTTTTAAACGTATTAGGTACAAGTTTAGTTTGCGTTTCATGTATGATATCAATTGCTTTCTTTTAATGCAGTTTGTTGCATCAGATTAAACAGATGGATAAACAATATACAATTATTACCTCAATTCATTACGATCGAATTAAAAATTACAAAAATCTTTGTAAGCTTCCATTTTTTGCTCACTGCATATTAATTACTAAATGGGAAAATGATTTATCGATAAATTACTGAAATATATTTACAAATGGATGTCAGTGTCTTGATCGGGCGCAGGGAAATATCAAGTACTGTCGAACATCTCCGAGAAAAATCTCGTCGAAAAGAACTGCTTAATTTTAAGCACAAAAAGATGTATAGTAAAATGGAATTAAAATCTCCAATTTTGGTATTTACTTGCGCACCGATTACGCATAGACTGCACTTATTTGCAGCATATGGATTCACTTACTTAAAATCTAATAGATCTGTATGGCCTCATTACGATTGAAATTGATTCTTAATTCACTAATTATTAAACTCTTCGCATTCGGACATTTTGGTACCTTTATACCCTCAACAACACAAATAATAAACTTTTCATCCCCCCGTTGATCGTGATTTGTAGTACTATAATTTGCTATACCACTTTCAATATTTGCATTTGCTTATCTGCTGCCTGCTGTTATTTAAAACTAATTCAACCGCTGAGCTATCGTTTCGAACGCTCAAAGATTATGCTTCAACCCTTACTCACGTTCAAATAATATTTAGCAAATTCCCTAATTTTTTAACCAAGTCGGAAAGTATGTATTAAATGTTATTAATAAGCGTTATGTAACTGTAAGTAATTTTCTAGGTTACAGACTTAAATTTACAACTAGAATAAATATTAATTAGTGGTACGTGAGGGTCCTTAAATTTACAACTAGAATAAATATTAATTAGTGGTACGTGAGGGTCCTTTTCATACTTTCCGCGATAATATTAACGTTTTAGTACTTAAAAATCTAAAATTAGAATCATTAATACACGATATTCCACACATTCCAGATGACACAAGTCACGATATCTCAAATGATATTAATATATATTAATGTGTCCGCATTTAGATTTAAGGAAAATTTCCAACACCCCGTCGGTGTATTCGAGAACAATGTTTTTTACTTCGATCGTGTACTGGTACGTTTTACTATTCTTAATACTGTTAGATTAAAAGAAAATTAAATGTTGTGTTTGTAAGAATGAAGGTCATCTAAAACGTTACTAGTGCATTAATGATTCTAGCAATATACAGTAAACGATTTCTTGCGCACGGTATTCAATACATATTTATACATTTCATTATCCTATCTATTGGCTCTACAGTGTAGTTGCTTGTAAGGCTCTTAATACAGTTATTGTGTTGATTACGATTATTGTTCCATGTAAATAGATTCTATTTGCGTCCGAATCATGAATGAAGAATTCGTTAGAATATAAATTTGAGGACTTTAAAATTTGCGTTACACGACAAATATAATAACTTATCCTATGATTCCACATTATATAATTCCATATATAATTCACATTATATTTCTCACCTATTTTTCAATCACTGAATTATCCTTATCCTACTATTAATCAAATCATTTTTTGCATTGTTGGGTCTTTGTCATTAGCCCAAATCTAATGCCATGTAGGTTTAACTTAAGCTTTTGTATTTTTTTGAACAGATATCGTTCCGTTGTCTTAAATACCACATAAAAGGTACCCATTTACCTTCGAAATGTTAACAACAATGCGTAATTGATATGAATAAAGTGCTACCCCATTATCAGCTGCGTCTTATTGTTAGCTTTTCTTACATAAGCGCACAGGATAATTTCTGTGCCACATGCAAAATACTAATGTAAACAAAACTAAAATAAATTGAATAAAATGTATATTCTTGGTTTTCGCTCTACATAATAATTATTCAATAATATCGTGTTTAACTACGTCCCCTTATATATAGAATGACCCTTGATTATTTATGCCACTTTCAACAGTCAGTAATTATGCGAAACTTCCCCGATTCACTGACTTCTGTTCAAATCAATATTCCAAGTATCTTAAACAATCCTGACAAATGACATTAGATTTAGACAAAACTCAAAAATAAAAGATATCATTCAGCCAATGTGGCACAATGTTGTTTACAACTCTTATGATATAACACTGTTGTATAACACTGTATTTAATCAACTTGCCACAACTTTGGATTTTAATACGATAGATTCCTAACTTATTTTGGCCATTGGCTTGGAGGCTTTGACAGTTAACATTTACAAATCTTTTATTTATTTGCATCTCCCTATCAACATTTTATTACTTGAGTGACTAATTTTTTGAGTGCTTATGATAAATATGATAGGTGTCATAAATATATTTATAGAGAATCGTACGAGCATGATCACGAATATGCTTTGGCACGATAAGAAGTACCATGCCAATTTTTTTTTTCATTAACGCATGACCCACATGTCTAGTCTTTTTACAAAAAATAGTTAATTCATCCCACACAATATGATAATTACGCATAAACGAGATAACAGTCTCGTAAGCGATTCATACAACGATGAATTCGTGCAGCATTGTGTTTTTGTATACTACAAATGCTAGAGTACTATTTTGTATCCTACAAATTCAACATCTAAAAATAAAATAAGCGTAATATGTACAACAGCTGATCTGTTTGTTCTATTATTCGTCCATGTTGTCTATACCGCGAAACGTCTCATGAGTCAAGCTGCGTACGTCATAATCTAATCCAAAACATGATTAACTAAAAGCACCTCTTTTAGAACCTACTTCCTAAAATGTTTGGAAAGTCTGTCCAAAACCTAGTCGGTATGTTAAAATAGAATACTAAAAAGGAAGGGGAAAAAAATTTGATATAAATTTACTCGACACATTCAAGGTATTGGACAGACTTATTTAAACAAGCAAAAAAATTGGCCACGCAAGATTAATTCTCTAGCATTTAAGCAGTCTAGAAATATCCACATGCAAGATATGGTGATTATAATTTTGATGATATTATATAGTGGCATGTGTATGAGAAAGGCTTAAAGAAGAAGAATTATGCAAAGTACATAACTCGCTTTGTGTTTGCATGAACTGTGATAGCTCTTGCCATTGCACCTGGTGTTCTGTCTTCGCTGCAGCCCGACTGATGAGATCCTTCTCCACTGAAACATAAACATTGAATAACGTATTAACAAAATATTAGTACAAAAAAATTGATAAAAAATTGGAAACAAAATTTTATATTATGTTTTATAAATATGATATTTTACTTACCTATCATGTTCTTTTTCTACCAAATGATATCTGGCTCGGAATGCTACAAGATGAGCATAATATGCTGGCGCAGGTATACTAACGGATCTTGTACACCTAACATATGTGTGACACAGTTGATACGTAAGAGTCTGTAATTCGTCACTTTCGAAGTGATTATCATCCCAGAGTACATGATAATGCGATGGTCGTGAAGTGCCCTGTACGCACAATATGATATTTATGTCAAATAAGATAAAATATCTATAAAGCAGTACTTAATCGTCGATATTCAAATAATACCTGGATGCCTTGGTGACTACATAAGTAGAAATCAAACTCGGTGGGATGCGTTATACAAATATCAACTGTTGTACCCGCTGGGATGTTTCCACTTCTTCCGCTTTGTTCTTTCTTATCCGAACAAAATAATCGCGTGTGATGTCTTTTCTGTACTACGATGAATGTTACCCCAGGTTTGTAATCATCTTCGAGTTTCATGCAAGCTTCGCGAATGGCAGTTAACTCATGCTGCAAGACGTGCAAGAATTGTCCTTCTGAGACACCATCGCGGTAAAGAATTATTCTATGTGGTTTATATCCCCCAGTGCTTTTATAAAATCTAAGGAGAAGTTCCCTGAAAAAAAAAAAAAAATATTTTTATAAAATAACTGATAGAATGACCTGAAAGTGGAAGCATTATTAACTGAAGACTTATGGTATATATTGCAATAATATACTTACATCACCATTGAACTAAGTTCTTGAATGATCTCTTGTCTGTGCTGTTGAACTCTAACAGTAGCTGCGTATCGAGATGGATGAGCATCCATACTAGCAACCACTGCGGCTATGCTAGGTTTTTTATTATCTCCAGCAGGTGGATGAGTTACATCGGCTCCAAAGAATATGACAGGTTCGTCAAACACCTTTGGCCGAAAACTGGGTACTAAAATATTATTAATGCCACCTAACTTTACATTAATCTTCAGGCATAAATTAGACAACGTTTGCGGTGATGTTTTATTAACATTTTTTGCCTGTACACATTGAGTTGCCATACCCAATAATGTATCTCCAACTCTTTTGACTTCAGCTATAGGCAAATAAGATACAAAACAAGATTACATACGTTACTGATATTTTATTATATACATGTATGAAATATAAAATCTATACAATTACCATATACAGGAGTTTTTCCAGGCAGTATAATACACACAAGCTGCAACGATGCAAATGTCATTTTTAAATATTTAAACATGGGTTCCACTTGATCTGGCCCAGTAGCATATTTACAGAAACATGGTTGTCCAATAATGGGCATTCCAGCATCATTGCTTATTCTTTGCAATTGTGCTATAAACAGCCGTATTGAGTCTTCGCGAACGCTTCTTTGTGGTGCAAAACAAGCTATTGCCCAAACTCTGATTTCCACGCCCGTGAAGAATTGTTTGCCACGCATGTCCCATACACCTTGAATTGGTGAGGCCTGGTTCTTTGCCTTTAGGAAAAAGAATATATACATACATTACTGAATATCATAAAATGTGTATTATTCTTTCTATAGATATTTTGTCAAAACTAATTAAGAAACGAATTAAGAAACGTTTTAAGACTCGTTTCTTACAATTCATACTGCTTGAAGGCTCTAGATGAAAGTTGTACTCGTTTCGATCTAATGATACAGGCCCTCTCAACGAATAAGATGTTTTAGATCAGGGTTCGACACTGCAGGAGAACAAGGCGTTGAGGCTTCCCCCACTCGTGATACTGTCTTACTATCCACTGCAATCCTCACGCTTGCAAGAGCAACTCCATCTCTCTCTCCTCTTTCCCTCTCTTTCTAGGACTTCATGTAAGTAAGAAGTACTTAGAGAAACACAGGTCTAGTATGAAAGTGGGGGAAGTCGCTCAGCGCTGACTTGCTCAGAGCAAACGTGCCGAACTCTGTTATACATAATTAAAAATTAGAAAAACTAAATCTCACTTAGCAACTGTATAATATACAATACCACAAAAAGGATCCTTACCAAACATAATGCAAAGGCAAATGTGTTATTTAGCTATATCTAACTAATTGATTTGAAAGTCTCTTACCTGACAACTGAGGGAACTCAAGCGCCCTCCGTACTGTAGCTTGGGTGGAGCTAGAATACGACCCCTAACTTCCACCATATTATTCGATATTGTCAAGCCAAATTCTTGAACGTATGAATCGTTATTAAAATCGGCTCTTTTAACTAAGTTGTTTATTTCTCGTTCACGATCTGGAGCAGAACGGGCTGTGGCTTTTATCATGGTGGACGTCTGCATGTCAGTTAATTTCTTGATGCAACGTTGTCCAGCAACAATGTTGCAAACCTGTTAATATATTTATTGTGAAATATTACATATATATTGTATAAATGTTTAATTACGAATTGTATGATAAATATTAGATCCAACACACCTCAAGCGGTAAATATGTATGTTTGTGTTCTTGTCCGACTTGTAGGCAAGGAAGATGCGAATAACGCAACTTCATTTTGTATTTATCTAAGAAATATTTTGCAACAGTACATTCAACCGTTTGTCCATTTTCCAATTGTAATGGGAATCTAAAATTTTTACTCAATGAATATCAGTCATATTTAAAATAACAAAATTGCTTTCATGTATACTTACGATTGCATCTGGGCAGGTTTGCGTGTAACGTTACATACTCTATACTTTCGTCTCATTGTTCCGCAGTGCGTAATTTCGATTTTAAGACCTTTAATTTCTTTGGTAAATTTAACTCGTTGAGAATCTGTAAGGGGCTTCTTTTGTTCGTTTATGTCTCGAATATCTAATACTTCGCACATAAATTCTATGACAGGTTGTGCTTTATAAAATGCAGTTGCAGAGACTATAATAATAAACCATATGTTATATGAGAAATCAATTAATATAGTAATGAAATGTGAAAATAAATTTTATATGTACCATCGATATTCAACATCATTTTCCACTGAGATGGTCTAACAGACTGATGGAAGCCAAACCATACTTCTCTGCCACCACCTAATGGGTGATAATATCCATCTGGTGTACTAAAAAATGATCTACCTACTGGAGTATATGTCATAGATGGTAAATGCCTCATTACAACATCTAAAGCAAGTATAGCATCATATGGAATTTGTCTTGTACGTCCTTCTAGAGCTTCTTCTAAAGCAAACAGAGAAACTTGAGCCACCCATTTTATCACCACTCTGAAAACTCTATCTTTACCCTCACCAGGTAGCGTTACCTATACAAAAATTATTATTAACGATTCAATATTTAAAAAATGTAACAGCACAAACTTTTATTAATATTGTAATTACCTCTAATTCTATTTTCTCAGCACCAATGGGCAAGGGATCCCTTGTATACAGATTATTTCTGCCATCAAACACAGGCTTCAGAGTTCCAAATATTTTACTATACGCGTGAACCATTGTTTCTATAATTTCCCTATTAACTTTACGAGGACATTTATCAGGTTGGATGTTAATATCATAATGATGCACATAACCACGTGGTATTGTAATTTGGAAGTGATTAGCTCTTAAACTGATTGGTCTGCCTTCACGTCCAATATCTGGTCTCCGAGGACATGAAAACACTGTAATAATATGCGTTTCTTATTCATCTTTTATTTTAAAACACATCATACCATTTTTTTAACTTCCATTTTTAATTTACCTATTTTATTTTAAATTTATTTAATCAAGAAATGAGGTACTTTTATTGAACAGCATAAACAGTTTCAAAAAATTACAGTTGAATTTTCAAATTTAGTACTTTAATTAAATTTCTATTAAACTTTTTTGTTCGATATATAATACTTTCTTCATTATTGATCACTCAATAGGTATCATAAATATTAAAAGGACAAAATTTAAGAAATATTTAGAAACACTTACTTGGCAGTTCAGGGGGTTGAGGAGGAGTGTGTGTTTGTTGTGTAGGAACAAGTCCTAAAGAACTAGGAGCCACAACAGTACTCCCAGTTGCTCCTGCTGTTCCAACAGAAGCACTTGTTGAGGGCCCAGCTGTGGGCGCTGAAAATATGAAAAAATCATAATTTTGTTACCTTGATTATTTCCCATGTTAATAGATTGAATCAAACTTTTTTGTTTTAGATCATTTAAAATGATCTTGAAAATTTTCAAGATCATATTCTACTTGTTAAATTACAAATTATAACCGCATGAGAAATAATAAATTTAGATGTTCTGTCCTATGGTAAAACCTTGATTTACCAAATAACTTAAGGAGATACCAACATAGATTAGGGTCCACTAAATTAACATTTTACTGTAGATGATATTTAATTATGTGTTAATTGTTATACTGGTATTATAACATCATTAGAACATAAATACACTATCAATGATTAAATATGATAAACTTTTTGAGTAATCAATATTTACGATATAGAAGCTTTAGAATAACACTAATGATTAATTATCACACAAGATAAGATAAAATAATTAAAAATAGAAACCTTATCCTGTCTTAGGATGTGTAGTTTTTAATATTTTGATATAACTTGATGTGCTTTCTATTTCAATTAATTCATCTACAATGACATTAATTTTCATAAAAAATATATTTGGTTTTTAATCAAAAAGATTTCTGGTTTTAATGAAGTTTTAGCCAAGAATTACAAGGTTAGAATGATTCACATGAAACATACATATGTAACAAAACAAACATCAGTTTAGGTACTTTCATCTATAATTCTATACTAACCTATATTGACTGTTTGAATTTTTTGAATAGTTCCAAATCCGAAACAAATAAAATACCGTTTATCGAATCAGACAAAGTATTTGATCGATCAAGCAATACTTTGAGTATATCAAATAAGGATATTATTCCGAAAAGTATCGCGGTGACCAACTGGTATGAAATTTGGCGGATGTTACGAAGAGTGTGTAAGGACACCAAATATAAAATGTTAACTTCGGGAATTCACCCGTTTAAAAGATACAGGTACTTTAGAGGAAGCTGTGATTGATTCACTGTGATCGTTTCTTTCGAACATGTTAGAATATTATTTTACAAATTTGTTTAAATAGAAAGCCGTCTATCCATCTTTCGGGCATTTCCGCTGAGGTGGTAATAGACCAACACTTTGACACCAAAAGATCACATCTTTCGTGACTCTAATATCTCTAAAACAAGTCTTTCTATATTCCACTTTCCTTTAAGAGGATCATTTGGGACTGATACGCCATTAGAAAAATCAAGTTAATTGTATGCTTCGTATTTTCAACGGAAAAAACAAACCGATCACACCACACTCTCAGGTCTCAGCATTCTTACATTGTTCCTGAATATAGCATCCAAAGGATCGAAAAACTATTATGACGGATTTATAATTGAAAACCTGTATCTTGTAAACGCATAAATTGGCGAAGCTAACATTTTATATCTGAGCCCTTTTCGTATCCCTCATAATACGATCGGCCACCGGTGCCTTCCGCAAGTATACCCTCAAACAAATTCGATCTATTCCAACACTTTTGCTACCTCGTATAAATTCGATCTGTTTGAAAAATTCGCGGAAATTTGAAGTTGAATGTAAACAATGAATCGGAAATTAACAAGTAGTTAAGATACTTGTTAATATTCGTATGTCTATTCGATTAGTTTAAGATTCTTGCATTACTAAGTTACGATAATATAAATGGAAGGTATTTTTGCGAAAGGAAAGATAGGGAGAATGATAAATTTCCTTACGCGACGGAAGTAAAATATATTATGTGGAATTTATTAAAGCTGGAAAAAATTCTAATTCATTGATTCGATACCAGTCGGGTATTCCAACTTTGTTTCGAACATGCAGGATTTATTTAACCACTCGAGAGTATTAGAGAACTACTAATCTATTCGAGCCATTTGAAACATTCGAGTATTTGGCACAGCTTATTTTTTCCAAGTACTCCAACATTTCTAAATCATACGTTATCGGTAACTGACGGATGAGATGTGACGACACGTTGTCTGTTGAACGAGATACCTTTAAGGCCTTCTCCAAATTTCCTTTGATTCCATAAATTTGAAATTTATTACACGTACATCCCGTTAACGTAATCATCGTTTTACAAAATTTGGATTGGCTCGAAGTAATCAAAGAGGAACAAAGGACCAGAACCGTTCGACAGCGATACCCTTATTCTTGCTTAGACGAATACAAAAGGATCCGTTTTCGAATATTCTTCGATATCCCACGTGAAAATGTGTACAGTGAGATACTTACGCTGTCCTACAGGATACATTTTCGCAGCTGACGATGAAAAATACCAGATAATCACTAATAAATAAGTAAAAAATTGAACACAAAACCCAATGACCACACGACACACTTCTCTACACACGCACTGCGAACGAGACTACCTTCTGCAATGGCTACCGCCATTGTGATTCCAATTGGTCTTACCTTGACCAATCAGCGTACACCCGACGACAGAGACTCTCTATCGCGAGAAGGGCAAGTCATAAACTTCTCCTGTCCCTCCGCCATCTTGACACGCTATTACTTATGCGGCTGAAATGCTAGATGGCGCTGTTACAACGATTAATGGTTAAACTTACTAGAGCTTACAGTCGCCAAATGTAAAAAATATGAATTGATTTGCTCTATAGATATCATATTTGTTATTTGCTCCATATATTGGACAAACAAAAATACCTGCAAAATATTTAGTATCAAATAGACCACTGAGTTGGAAAAAACCCTAGACTTCAAATAAACTTGAAAATTGCCCATATGTTTGTCTCGTTTCCTCTTTTGAACATTTTCCAAAGACGAAAACAAGACAAACAAATCAGCAAACTTCAGGTGGATTCGAAGCTTAGGGTTTTGCACAACTCTGCCGGTATGCAGCAACTAGTAGTTCTGTGAATAAGTAGTTGAAGGTGTATATAGATGAACTGAGACATGAGGACCCACCCACGAGGACGAATAGTATACGTGAATTTCGTATTCAATTTTGAAATGTAGTTACCGTTTAGTTGAATTTGTATGCAAATTGTATTTAAAAGAACCCATAAGTATCATTGTAATTCAATTAACGTCTTTAACTTTAAATCCAATAAAATCAGTTCATCATTTAATTCCGACTATCATGGTGCTTTGGAAACAAGGTTAGTTCATTCAAGTTCCATTTGCAGATATTTCTTTAGATATTAATCAATTCTTGAAAATACAGTCGATTAGTTTCAATTTACAATGAATAATATACGATTATACTAATAATCATGTATCCATTTTTGATGAAAAATTTTACGTAATTTTACTCGTGTTTTAAAATAATTTTGATAATTTATTAATCTATTGTAGTTTGCATTGGATAAATATGGTATTATTCGAAAAAAAAGTATAAATATTATTTACTAGGTCGCGCATGTCTTTCAATAATTAAGAATCTAACTGCATTCTGCAAACATTTGGTTGTATGCGATGACGTCAATACTATGCGCATGTGCACTTTAATATCTAGCAGACGATGTGAACGTTCGTATTTTTAGAACAAGCTTTCCGTTTACATGTGTTCACGGGTGGAGCTTCTCTCACGGATTTTTTTCCATTTCACGTACTGTGTTGATTAAATCGACATAGGTAACGTGATATCAATTTACATCCACATGATCTATAGAAATAGTTGAATAGATCAAGCTTAAAATAACCATTGTAATAACTTGGCAAGAATGAAATAGTAAAAGTAAGTAAACGTCTCGTATTTAAAAATCGTAGAAATGTCCTGTATTCAGTCAATTTCTTTTAATATTCTACACCGAGGTCAGTGCTTTTTAAAATATCTCTGATTGCTATCGATTTGAATCAAAATTTTCTATATGACAGCTATGTGCAGTCATAAAATTTACAATTTATGAATTTTTAATCGGTTGGATTAGTGAAATGATAAAGCTAGCAAAAATCATGTTCTTGAATAGAAATAACAGTGTGGCACCTCTTATAGGGACTCCCAATCACAATAAGTATATTATATCACTTCTCGTACTTTTCTGTCTAGAAGAAACAGTACGTCTTAATAGAAAAACAATAAAAATTCAGTTATTTATTTATTCCAAAAAGTTTGATTCATGATCTTGTAAATCTTATCGGTTAGATAATTATAAAAATATGTTAAACTCACCATTACATCCAAATCCACAGACCTCTCCAAGCACAGTAATAAGAGAATCAAATTTTTCCACTGGATGTGGTTGTTGTTTCAAGTCTCTGAATTGTTTGTTTTGTTCTGTTTGTTCCATTTTGTCTGAAATATTTAAAAAATAGTTAGCAATGTAGAATATGTCAAACAATTTTGAAATAAATAAAAAGAATAATCATTGCTAGATATTTCAGTGTGATGAAAAGTTATCTAGAACAATGTATATGTATAATGTATTTACAGAAATCTTTTTTTTTATAGTACTGCTCCAAAGACTATTGTAATATATTCTTGTTGCATTGTAAAACCACAAGTCACCTCTGATTTGTTGGAAGCCATAATTATATTGAAGTTATGTGAGTACATCTTATATTATTTAACTTCTTAATAGATATGTACAAATATGTATGTGTATAAATACAAGAGTTTAAGAATAGTTTCAAAGTAATTACTAATTTAGATTAAATTAGTAATTACTAATTAAATTTTGTACAAAAATGGTATTTGTTTAAGATAAATATTCTTGTATTTCTATCTTTTAGTATCAAATGATAGTGTGATATTTCAAAGTACACACTTCACATCTCTGAATATTTTACAACTCTATGATCTGAATTTGAATCTAGAAGTGAAACGGTTGCAGAAAAGAAGAAAGTAAAGAAAAAAAAAAAAGAAGAAACTTAAGCAGGAAAGTAAACATATAAGAATATTCTTATAAGTTTATTAGCAGTTTAATCATATGCTTGTGCATTCGCAATTTTTTAAACAGTAAAATAAATTTAATACAGTCATAAGGATAGGTAAAAAGATAAAATATCTTAAGAGAATATTGTATCGTAAATATTATAGAGAATTACCAATTTTTTTTTATAAGATTTAATTAGTTACTTGCGTTCACTTTCCTAAATCTATTTCAAACAAAACTTATTTACAAAATGGCTAGTCATACCTCAAATAATAAAAATTATAATATGAAACTTATTGACACTATTTATAATCAGGTGCCAGCTTTTACAGATGTCTTTGATGAAGAAACATGGTATATTTTTGTTGCCTGTTTTGTAGGAGGAACATTTTTAGTTGCATTTATTCTCTCAAGATTTATTACACTAAAACCTGTAGAATAAATTTCAAGTGTTTCTTAAAAAAGCTGTATTTAATATTTATGTGCACAGCATTTTAGTTATATTTAACAAGTTATACTGTACTAGTGAGATTTCACTATGTTTTAACAATAAATGTTAATTGATTCAATAAATAACAGCTATACACATGATATTATATTAAGATATTTTTCAGTGTTTTAAACGTGTAACTAATTACAATTACTTTCAATACTATACAATATTAATAAATTTATAATTTTACATATGAATTTTCTTTATATTGTGAATATGAAATAATATAACCTAGATTATATTAGCTACTGTATTTTCATTAATTTTATGATTATTACAAATTTGTATTTTTTGAGATAATAGAAATTATATAACACATATAAATAAAAAATTAACAAAGAATGTTGTAGTAACATGTAATATAATTCTTTTTACAAAAATTTATTATTAATTTTTTTAAAATATTTAACAATTATAATATAGTGTAATTGTACATTAAATGTTGACTTATTTGTTATAACATATTTATTGCATGCAATTCTTACAGAATACAATTTTATATGTACGTAGACTTTACTACTTCAGCATTCCTATGCATTTTGACCTATTGTCGAAACCACACTATATGCAAATGTGATACACATTTCATGTGATCACATGATATACACCATAAATACTATAACGAGGGAAACTTTATAAAGTGACTTTGAAATATAATACTTACTTGGTAGTTCAGGAGGTTGTGGAGCAACGTGTGTTTGTTGTGCAGGAACGTGTCCTACAGAATTAGAAGTCACAACATTGTTTCCAGTTATTCCAGTTGTTCCAAGAGAAGAATTTGTCTGAAGTCCAGTTGTGGGAGCTAAAAATATAATAACATAATGTCATCATTCTGATGATTTCCAATATTAGTGGACCAATACAATCTTTCTTTATCTTAAATAATTTTATTTAGAGGAAGTTTAATTCAGAGTATAGCATATTTCTTTAAAATTACTTAATTTTTGAAATGTTATAGATCAATTTCTGGTTTTTAAATAAAAGTCCATTTTCATTTATCTTTTTGCAGGTATAAAATGTTTAGGAAGTATGACAAAATACTATTTCCTAAAGGTATGGTATAAAAAATGTTTAAGAAACATATTATAATATTGAATACTTTTCAGTCTATTCAAGAGAAAATTGTAGTTACTGTCAGATATGAGACCAGATAAGGTAAGTTATTAGTAACCTTTTGAAATGTGTTTGTATGTGTGAGTGTACTTGAATTTTTGTAATGCGCGGTAAAATCTGTGACGAAATGATAAATTAAAAGATACTGTATATAAAAATTTTCCAACGATGTTAGAAGTATCTAGTGACAAATTATGAATGCATATGCAACAATAATCATGATATTTGAAAAATTCTTGTAACATATTATAACACTGATATAACATTAATCCTATATTTCATTGTCATTTAAAAAGCTAATATGATATATAATAATACAATAATAGTATAAATAAGAACAATTTCAAAATTTTATAAATAGGACTAATCTTTATTTACATTATTATTCATTTTAGGGAGAAATATTTCTGATTTTTAATTAAATTTTAAACTAAAAATTGCATAGTTAAAGTGGCGCACATTAATATATATTAATATCGCAAAATTTATTGACAAATTATCATTGATTTATTGGGATATGTAATTTGGTGTATCTAGGTCAAATGATTCATGAAGGTTCGAGCCGCACACCATCATGAGAACGGCGTAGAATGATTCTGCGCCTATCATAGGCGGCTTACGTCATACTAGAGCAGATAATCGTATGTAAAATATAATTTCTCTAGTATATTTCTTTCTTATTGGATATCTGCACGTGTAATCAATGTATATATATTTCGCGCGGTTATATTTACATTGAGAAAAGTGGATTACGAATTATTGATTTTAAACAATGTAAAACTTCAGAACTTGGTAGCGCTTAAATTCGAAATTGATACGAAAACATACGGTAAATTTGAAATTAACAAAAAATAATTCTTCCATTACAATTATAGCGTATATAATGCTGTACATTAACGTAATAACTATATTTTGCGTTATAACCAGGAGCCGCGCTAGAGTTACTAGCGTTCTAATGCAACTTGGAATATAAGCGCCCTCTTTTAATTCGTATTACAAATTAAAAATAATTGAAATCTTAATTTTAAGTTTAAAGTAATATATATTGAATAAGATATAATAACGTTTTGTTACATGACAATTTCATTCCACAAACTACTGTCAAACATAGATACAATCTTCTTAAAAATTTATTTTTCACTATACTCAGAAAACTTGTTACTAACTTGATCAGTTTCTACTTCATTAATTTGTAAGTATTCGTGTTGGATTATCTCATGGTTGGCATTAATTTTGTTCAATATTTTATTTCTTTAAGATGTTTGTTGCCTGATGATATAAACAAATATTATATTCTGAAATATAACAACACCTGAATAACACCTAAATCGTAAATTTGTTATAATTTAGATCACCTGAAGCTGACTTCAAAGAACACTACTATAGTTCATTCGACAAGATGACTCCAACAACAAAATCACATGACTCGCAAGCGACAAGACTTTCCACTCCTGGATAGAAAAAAAGCGAACCGACAAGAACTGTCAATGATTAAATCTGTCACATGATTTTATGAATTACATTCTGTCGTTTTGTCGAATGAGTTGTAGAAGTATATTGTTAAAGAAAAGGGGATAATCGAGCCATGAAACGCTTCAAAACAAAGAGATCATGCTGCATGATGATTGATATTAATTTATAGTCCACTGTTCGGTTCATAATATCCAGCTAGTACGAAATCCTTGCGCGAGTCCGCCACGTGTACTGCTGGGAATTCGCTCACCCTCTGAGCCGGCTAATCCTGCATCCTTTAGTCCTTTTGTCCTGCATGTTGTCATTGACCCTAACCTCCTCGTCCTAACCTCTGCGTCCTTCCCTTTCGGTCTTTCCGCTACGCGATCCGCCGTTCCGTTATTCCTTCGTTCGCCGTTTCTCTCAAATGTCCTTTCCTCTGCGCGTTGCATCTCTTCCACGGGATCTTTTCTAAACGATTCACTCGTACGCCACTTAACAAATTATAAATTCCATCAGGATGCCCAAACTCACGTACTATGTACTATGGATTCAAGCCAAGTTTATGGCGGTTGGGGCTGCCACCTACATCTCTTGTGCGAATTAAAGTGAAGAACCGATTCGCATGTATATGCAGCGGGAAATTTAAATGATTGTAAATGAGTAAATCGGGGAAAAAGACACAATTCAAAGGATTTAAGTCGTTTCAAATAATATAATATAACAAATTTTTTATTACTTAATATGTACATAAAATTTTTAAGATAATAATATTAATACACATAATTTAACTACACAATATAATACATATACATATAACACATTAGTTGACAACACAGCAAACAGTTGACATCAATGGAATCTGGAAAATATGAAAACTATTTATAGTCTATGCATAAATATAGTTTATAGCATGTTTTGTATGAGACTTGGGCAAATTTTGACTAGTATGAAAATAAGATGCAACTATTTAAAATAATTACATAAAATAAAGTGTGTATCCATAGACACAATTTCTGTTGTTTTTCTCAAGATCTACATAATATTAAAATTATAAATAATAAAACAAATATCACATACTTTTTGTTAACATATACACACCTGGCAAAGGAAGAGTTGGTAGTATAGTTCTATTTGTAGATAATTCTCCAATTTGAAAAGGTCTTCAAATTAAACATCACAGATCTTCACATTCTTCAACGCGTGGATTAGGGAATTGTCTCGAACGAGACCTTTTTAGAATTTAAAATTAACTTTGCACCACTTTGCACTTCATAGATGCCATAACTTAGCGTCTCATCATAACCTAACCCCGACCATCGACTATGTAAAGTCAAAGATGGCGCACCTCAGGCAAGAGCAGACTGATCTGCGCAAACGTCACACGGTATAGTATAGTAGCTCCACCTAATGTTTCGACTATGAAACTATTACCATGAGTAGAAGTAACGTGAATGAAGTTATAAAACCACTGTAAAGGGAACAAACTGGAACGAATATTACGTGTGATTGTGTGTTCGATTTTCGAAATGTCGATTGCCTTTTCTGGAACCAAAACGCGATCAAGTGGACTCATAAGTGCAATAGCAAAGCAATTAAAGACCTTAAGTTTGAAACCAGTTCAATCAATTCACGTAAAATTCGATCCCTTCCTTGATCATGCTGTCGAAACAAGGTTAGTTCACCAGTTTCTTTACAATTTAATCAATTCTTATAAATACAGTCAATTAGTTACATTTTTTATTTAAATTTATAACGAACAGTATATCGTTTATTGTTAATCATAAACCCATTCACAACGATTTTATTTATGTATTTTCAGCGCTTAACTTAGATTATTGGAAAATACATATATTATGCATGTATCGGATCATGCTTACGTCAGAATTTTGAGTGGTTAAAAAAGATTAACACTTGTATAGACACCACTGATCTTATATTTCGTTATGGTTTATATTGTAATAAAGTATTATTAAAAATTGAAAATGATTTAAACTTCACATTCTGAAAAGATTCTGTAAAAATTTAGTGACTTGAAGAGTATTCTTTTGAAAGACTACACATATTATCATATATGTGTATTATCATAATAAGTATATTAATTTTGAAAAGTGTACATTTAAAATATAACATTTTTAATATTTAGCATACAATATTAATGTTTCTATGTTCAACAAGTTTTCAATTATTTACACATGTATTGTGGCATTAATTGTTATCTGTATATAAAAGAACGTTAGACAAAGTAGAAGAAGCTTCAAGTAATTCATACAAGTATTCAAATACATAAACTGTGATTTTTACTAAAGTAATTACTGTGTTACATACATTTAATATTTTATAAAATCTATTATTTTTACATTTTGCTCTATTTGTCTCAATCAAAAGAATATGTTTTATTAATATAATAACATTTAATAACAACATGATAATTAAGTAGCAATGGTCTCATAACATTGTCAGTAAATACTTCTTTCTGCAACACAAAATTGTTATTTGTGTCTCGAATTTAGTTAAAAATATTAATAGAGAAAAGTTTATCTTGTACTTTAGAATTTCTTGCCAGTTATATAATTATGAAAATATTTCAAACTTACCGTTACATTGTCCATATGCACATACCTCCCCAAGCACGGAAAGTAGAGTATCATATTTTCCCACTGGAAATGCTCGTAGTTGTTTTAATTCTCTGAATTGTTTTTTCTGTTTCACTTGTTCCATTTTGTCTGAAATATTACAAAAGTATTGACCAAATTACCAATGCACATATGTAATAAATTTACAGACATTTTCTCTTTCAAATTACAACTCCAAAGATTTTTGCAACAAATCCTAAATGCATTGTGAAACCAGTAGTTACGTCTGATTCGTCAGAATCTACAATTACAATGAAATTAGGTGAGTATTATATTACTTTATTCAAAGTTTTTCCATTAATTGGTAAGTTTCATTTTTTAATTTTGTAATGTACAAAATTACTTAAAAATAATTTCAAAGTAAATAAATGAAATACAATCATATTCTAAATAAAAATTCTGTATAAAAATGAAAATTTTTTTGTAACCAAATACAGTGTCATATTCTTACATTTGTCTGTTGTAGTGTCAGGTGACAGTGTGATATTCAAAGCTAAAAACTTGTCAGTACTAGATATGTTGCAACTTTATAACAAACATATCACAAGTTTGTTACCACCACCTGAACCTGAGAACCCAGAAGTTTTAGAGAAACCTAAGAAAAAAAAGAAAATGAAATTTAAGCGAGAAGGGAAACGTAGAGGAGTATTTTTATAAGTTTATAAATAGCTTTACAACATGGTTTATGTATTAGTTTAAATATTTGAAGAAAATTTGATATAAATTCAAGTGCAGGTTAAAGAATAAAGAATCTGCGAAGTTTGCAGTGAAATCAATCTTATCCTTTATTTTAATGAAATATAAGCGGAATTTTCCTTTTATTTACTTGTAAGATATTACAGAAATTAAACATAAATTATAAATTCATAAAGGGGATTTAATCATGATCCATTTATTGAAAATTGTTTGCATGCATTAATACTGAATGTCTGTGCTATAATATGAATGATTATTTTATAAGTTTATTCCATAATATTGTTTGTTGGTTATTAGATAACTATTGTATGTTTTAATATCAAAGGTAGTTTGAAAGACTCTATTTAAAATGTAATAAATTAAAAACAATGCGTAAAAACAGATTAAAAACGATTAAATCCTTTTTTAACGTTGTCTGTCACATACTAATCATTAAAAGCGACAAAGTACGACGACCACAATGTTTATTCCATTTCATGTTCGAAATTAGTAGTAATTGTTGTAAGCAACTAAATATAATATATTTCACAGATATTTCTTTGTTGTTTGTTACCTTCTGTTTAACAGGTTATTCTGGTTTGTTATGAAAGAACAAATTTGAAACAGTATAGGTCTATATCGTGTGCGTCTCCCGTTCTGAGCGACGCACTAAACTGTCGAAGGGTTAATTTTTGTCTTCCTTTACTACGTCACTATTGACCTTGACCATGTCTATTGAAATTTTCAGTGTAAACAGTTTGTGTATATTCAAAAATCACAAATTGATTGAAGATATTTCTTTGAAGTATTTAGTATCAAGTTATAAATGACTGATAAACAAATTCACAAATTATAAAAATATGTTTGGAATGGATAGTGTTTGAACATAATATACGTACTATTAAACAGACATTTGTCTCGTAGACCCAGTATTTAAGTAAAACGTGCAAAGTTGATAGCCGCACTGTAGTTTGCTTCACATAAACATTGTCTTTTTATTATTATGGAAACTTTACTTTAGTGATACGTCTGCGTATTATATCTATACGACTATACGATACGCGATATACAAACTCACACTTAGTTACTCAACTCTCCAAAGTTGGCAACTATGGTCGAAATTAGGATGGCATCCTGCAACACGATTCAAATGGTGCAATCGGTGGTAAAACGCTCAAGTTTGAAGTGAAAATAGTTCCCACCGTTTCTGTAAGATGGCGCTACCGATACTGTTTGTTTGATGTGTTTATAGCACAAACTTTGAGGTTACTTTTTGCCTCTGTGTTTTTGACAGTGAATGAAATAAATAATTATAATGCATCGTTAGACAAACGTTCACGATTCACGAATTACTTAGAAGTAGGCTGAACTTTGTCTCAGAGGCCTATTTTTTTTTTTGTTAAAACTTATCAAATCTTATAGTTTTTGACCTGAAAAGTTCGAAAATACAAGTTAAAAGTTTAGAAATCTGATAATTTAACCTTTCGTTTGATTAGAACGTTCGAATCTAGTCGAGGGAAGAATATACTTAACTTTTAAATGGTCCAAGATTAAAATCTCAAATGCTTATTCTAGTAGTTAATTGAATTTTATGTATAAACATTGATATCACAATATAAGGTTTTGTTAAAAAGGTTTAGTTAAAATAATGCAAAGAAAAATATTAAGTTTTACAAATTTTAGTTAAGTCCATTATAAAATGATTTGTGCCAGTAAAGGAGTTTCTATTGTATATACAATGATAGATAATAAAAGAACTGATGTACATGTTCTTAGAAATTCCTAAATTAAAATAAATAGTATGATGCTTAGATTGACCACACTTTGATATAGTCTATATGAAGGCCAGTGTCGCTTCCTGTCCACGACTCTAGCCACTTGTCTTTCTTGATGTAGAAGTTATAAAGTGCCTGTAATACATGGTATTGAACTGTTAATATTTTCTTAACCTACAATTGGTAATAAAACTGACTGCAAGTACCTTTGAAGCTACATTTCTCCAAGGTTTATCATAGTTGCCACTTGTCGAATTATCAGGGAAGAGGATGTGGCCTCCAACAGCTAGACCCATGTTAAGATAAACCTACAATGCATATACATAATCAGTAGATCCAGTAATATTATACAGGTTGCATAATTTCTACAGATGAGTAATTAAAAGTTAGATACATTCCATACACTTACTGGTACATCGTACGTCACTTGTTGCTGACCATACTGTTCGCCATCGACTTTAACCGAGACACTACCGCTTTTCCACTCTAGTTCGTACACATGATAGTCGTCAGACCACAACGAGCTCGAAGTTTTCATAGGAAGATCCATTCTATTGTCCTGCAATAAATGTTGATCTAGATTAATCGCGAATGCACCGCCCAGAAGGACGCGTCCACTTATATCTTCGTCGTTGTGTGTCGTTAACGTGGGATTGCCAACCGAATGAGCGACTAAGATATCGCAATAGAATTTCTTATCTTCCGAACGAGGTTCCGTACTTTCTAGGCTGATCACTGAAATAAAATAGCGATAGTAGAAATAGTAATAAAAACATGAAACATCGAGTAGCGCGCGCTGTGATTAGTATAATTACAATATCAAGTATGACGTTGTTGTCAGTTTTAAACATAAAACGGAACTTACGAGGATATATCCAATCGCCGCGCGGGAGTTTGGCACGAATTTCAACTTTTCCATATAAGAAATTGAAAGATTGTTTAGTATTCAAACGTCCTGACATTACAGGCGGCAAAATCTGCGAGCCAATCGCGTTGCGTTTGCACTCAGCGGTTCCAGCTACGCCGGTACATCTGAAAATATATGAAACATGCTTCACATAACGTACAACTATTGTGTTTTGTTTAAAGAATTATAATAACGATATTCTTACTTGTCCAAGTTCAGGATTCCAGACCGCACGAATTCTAGTCCAAATTTACTTTCGGTGAGAACCGGTTTAATATGTAATTCGCCATTGTTTACTTCGACGTTTTTATCACTGTTCATGTACATGACAAACTCGTCGTTCTGAAATGAACAGAGATACAATTCTTTTATTATAAAATTACTCTCCTGTTGGTTTACATTTGATCCTTTTTATCGAGGTATAACGATCAGGCTTTTATGCAAATTATTCTAAATTAATTTATTAAAACGTCAAACGTGCAAATTTATTTGCAAACTCTTCGTTAATGGGTCAACATTCAGGAAATACTTTTTATTGTTAGATGCAAAAGGAACAGCATAAAGTGCGATAAAGTTGGACAAATATTTAAGAGAAAAGTCGCACGAAACGGGTCACGCAGTTCAGATTATTTATGATTCAGTAAACAAATTCGTGAGAAATAGATCTGTGTAGAGGAAAGACGAACGGATTTTCCGAGAAACTTTCACAACAAGTCTATTAAAAATGCTCTATACGAAGATCATTGATTTTTTTTGCTGGATTAATCTTGTTTCGCTATAAATATTTACACTTTGGTGTCTCATATTTGTTTTTCTAAAATTTTTCTTACTTCTCCAGATGAATATAATGTAAACAGGAAAAGAAATTCATATAAGGAATTTTATAAACGTTACACTTACCGGAGAGTCTGCAAAACGTTCGACAATTGTCCATCGACTTGCGTTGAATGAATCGAATGTTTCTTCGAAAATTAATTGACCCGAACAAACACTGTGTTGTTTTAAATTATGAGTATTTTTATCGTAATAGGAAACTTTCGTATTGCAGGTGCCAGAACTTTGTCCGGTCACGCGCGTCCCATCGTAATGATACATTTCTAAAAAATTAATTAATAAATAATAAACATATATGAATTCTTAAATTGAAAAATATACAAAGTAAATTACAGTGGATTAAGAAACAAAGGGTTTTACAAACGAGGCTTTAGCATTTTGTTTTTTTAATAATAAAACAATCCTGTCGGTGTAGTCACGCTTGAAAGTTATCATCTTCCAGGTTTAATTAGAATCGTGTACCTTCATACAGATTTTAAAAAATTGAGCATATTTTTTGAAACTCCTAAAACCCTTTCTGGAAAACCCTCGATCTTTTTATTTTAACGAAACCAACCTCTGACCACATGCTGCTGATCAAGTAAATTATACCCTAATCCATTGTAAATTACATGAATCCAATAATAAATAACATCGCCCTGTTTGAGCCTCGTGCTTCGATCTTCGTAAGTCCATCGACCGCCTCGCACTTTTACAATATCTCTGGCAATGGTTCCTGCTTCGAGACCTTGAAAGTCTTGGTTGAACTTGACGTGGAATGCCACCAAAGTGATCCCGCTTTCGTCTGATGGCAGAAGGCATCGTTTGTTGCGAGGCAATTAGTATGTTTTTTTTTTTATGAGTCTTTTAGTCGACAAACTAAGCAAGTCCCTTTTCTCAGCATTGATAGAAACGAACTTTCATGAAAATTTCAAATTTGCGTGCGCATATTATACTTGCATCGTTGCATCAAATTAAAAAATGATGTAATCAAAAGTTGTTTTTCATTCAAATTTTGTCCTGTATCACTTTCTGTCTAATTACTCAGAAAAAAGTTAAAGCTTGTACTTGTCCCTATTAATTTGTTTGATTAATCGCGGAAAGTATCGAACCGAACGAACATAAGCAATTTTGTCTCTTAATGAATTTATGGTCTAATCTCTTATCTTTGTTTACGTTTTGTGAAAGGTCTCCAAGGAGCATGAATTATCGATGTAACATTTTTTCCTATCACAAAAGACATGCGAGATATTTAAGATGTAAGAACTGGGTGATACACCCTGTATATGTATGTATAAGTAAAGTTCCTCAGGACATTGACCCTGAATAATATATTCCAAAGTCGTTGGAATCCCTACCTCGAACGTATCTCAAACTTTAGGAATGCAATACGTAGTATGTTGTATAAGCAATACTATGCCGATTGATCGCGGATACAGGAAAAAGTTTTTAGAATGTTGACCATGATAAGATATTTCAAGGTCATTTAAGTCGACGAGATAGCTAATATTCTAAATCTAAATAATCACCACGTACTTTGGTTATTGTTATTATCGTTATTTCTGAATAGAGCCGACTTGGGTCTAATTAATTCTCTTGTTAATAAAATTCAATTAGATTTCTCAAGAAACATTACTCACGTGGAATGGACATTCGTATCCCTACTGGATAGAGTGGCTCCACTCTGACATTCGGAGGAACATATTGAGCCACGTTCACCTGGGCTACGTTAAACAACGAAACGAGAATAATAATACACCACTTGGTCCAGAGAGCGTTCATGATACGCGCGTTCGATAACTTTGGTGGCTTAAACGATACTGAGCTCGGGAAAGCCTCATCCGATTATTACAAACAGGTTTGCGTATAAATACATCTACTATGATGACATTGCCCGCCCATACCCCGCGGTGTCCTATCATTCCAAAGTATAAATCGACTCATTGACATTCGACGGGGTGTTCTACCTAACTCTTACATCTCAAATATCTCTCTTTCATGATAGAACAAACTGTCGCGGAAAATATTGTTTGGTTTTAAATGGGACATAGTATGATAAACAAAGGAACTATGTCAAGGTCATATTATCCGAGATTTCAAGGTCATTGGCGTCTTTTTCAACGAGATGGGGCATTTTTATAAAATCGTATATTCGATGATTAGTAATGAAAAAATTTATGAAAAATGTGCGAAGTGAAATGTCAATAAATGTTTGGAAAGTTATGATGTTCCGGATCGTTGGTCCGATTCATGCAATTAATGGTATTATGGACCAATATGTACACATGAACATGTCGAACATTTTATTTCCATTTATCAACAATTACGTGTCAGAAAATTACATTTTGCATATCAATGGTGCTCCAAATCTATAAAAGTTAATTCAATCACAGATTTTACATTGGCTTTTACAATCCAAACATCTGAATCTAGTTGAATCACACAATCACGCAATCTTGTCGAGAAAAGGATATTTTGGCACAAAGTGTACAATTCCATACCGTATTTATGGTAACTGTTTACGAATAATGGCAGAAAAACTTGTTATGATACCGAGTTTCAGCACTGAGTGGCGTACTTCTCTCGTTTCAAACAATAATTTCTAACAATATATATCATAAGATTTCAAATCGATCATTCAACACCTCTGCTTTCAAAAATTGTTTAATATGGATATATTTAGACACTGAGTATTGCAAATTTTCGTTTGATAGAACGTGCGGTTCTATTCAAGGGAATAAATTTGATATTTGATACATCAATTTTCATTCCCAACATGTTACCGAAATAATTAATTTAGTTTTACGTATGGATGTAGTTTATTTTGTATAACTTCTTTATACAAATTTTTATTGCATTGTGTTAAAATGTAATCTATTATCAATTAGTATTTGCTGTGAAAATAATAACTTGTTACTACTAAATTAGACAGAAGACAACCATCATCCAACAAATCTATATAAACGATATACAATTTTACAGATTGTATAACTAATACTTTATCGAAATTTTAAATTTTACTACCATAAATTAATTATGGAGTCATTCAAAAAGTAGGTCACACTAATTTAGCTTGATTTTTCACCCATCGCGAATTCCGTGTTCTCTGAAACAAAGCACCAGTATGCCAAAAATAATTATATGAAATTATTATTTTTAAAATAATTTGAATAGAGTTTATTCTTCAAGTTTCAATCGATATAATTGATAAATAACTTAAATCCTGTCAATTAAAAAATTAAATTGTAAAAATTACAATTGATAGCAAGTAACAATATTTTTATATTTAATATTATACTACAAACAAATGTTAGAAATTGAACCATGCGTTTACCATCATTTACCATGCCTAAGTGACGTACAATCGATAACATGTGTTGTGGTTGATAAATTGGAGCAAGAGTTTTAATGATTACAGTTTCACAGAAACGTATAACGTAATTGGAGCAGAACTAAAAATTTTATACAAGTGGACAGTTTTTAGGATAATTTTGAAAAGTAATGTTTCATTTATTCATCGTAAAGAATATTCAAACATAACCTTTAAATATACCGGTTGTAGTTCTCAATTACTGTATTTTTATCAGTATCGTGCTGTGCATCGTTTTATTAATAGTAACGCGTAGCACAAATATAGTTGTAGTTTATATTTAACAATTTTTCCATACTTATGTTCATGAATGTAGTTGTTAAATGATTCTAGAATTTGGTTTGTAGCATTGGACTGAGAATTCATACAAGTATAGTTTTATTATCGTGTCTTTGCAGATGCTTAAATTTCGTGAATCAATATCAGCGTTTGCTGTGCATGCTATGAAACGCAAAAATGCAGAATTATCTGCAAACTCAAAGAAATTAAAGAAAAAACATATTCCTGAAAGAAGAATAATTTTGAGAAATGAAACGAAACACGAAAGAAAGGTAAAAACAAAGCAAACATCTTTACATGGAAATTTTGAAGAAGCTGCCAAGTCCTCGAAAGTTCAAACTGTAAATAAAAAGAACAGTGTAATATCTAAGAAACCTAATCTTTCTGCTGCTATTCGAAAGAATAAATCCATTCAAAAAACAATGTGTAATGGAAAAGATAAAAAAGTAACATTACGGTCTGATACGAAAGGTTTGGAATCAAAGACCCAATTAAAGAGTACTGTTTCAGCTTTGAATACAGGTGTTGCAAAAATGAAACATATTAAATCAAAACATCAGAGACAAAGTAAAAAGAAAAAGTTAGCAAACCAAGTCAATCTACCATCTAATTGTACAGATGTTAAAACCACAGAAGAAAATCATGAAAATCCTTTGAATACGTGTAGCTCGATGTTAGAGTGGTTAATTCATCCCATGAAGATAGAAGACTTTTTTGAGTAAGCACGGTATACTTATGTTTCATGAAATTATAAATTTTTTTATGTTTCTTTCATTATATATATATTTTTTTTCAGAAAAAATTGGGAACAAACACCTGTTCATATAAAAAGGAATTGCCCCAATTATTACAAGTTACTTATGTCTACTCCAATGTTGGATAAAATATTAAGAGATTCTTATATTTTGTTCGCGAAAAATATCGATATTACTTCGTATGAGAATGGTGTTCGAGAGACACATAATCCCGTTGGACGAGCAATTCCCAGTGTTGTTTGGGACTATTATATGAATGGATGTTCTGTTAGAATGTTGAATCCACAGACATACATACCAAAATTACATTCATTAAATGGTAGGTATTTTTCTTCAAAACTGAATGTATCACTGTTGGCATAAATAATTTAATATGTAATTAAATAAATGTATTTGTGGAATACATGTTCTATATCTTTTGTTATAAAAACTTATCTTCTATTTTCAGCTACACTTCAAGAATTTTTTGGTTGTTTTGTTGGTGCAAATTCTTATTTAACACCTCCTAACAGTCAAGGTTTCGCACCTCATTACGACGACATCGAAGCATTCATATTACAGGTAGAAGGTAAAAAGAGATGGAGATTATACAAACCTCGAAATGACAATGAATACTTGCCAAGGTATTCTTCAGAAAATTTCACAGACACTGAGATTGGAGAACCTATATTAGATACTATCGTAAGTGCAGGAGACTTATTGTACTTTCCACGAGGAACGATACATCAGGGTGAAACCATTGACACGCATAGTCTCCACGTTACTTTGAGTGTTTACCAAAAAAATAGTTGGGGTGACTTCTTAGAGAAGTTACTTCCAGATGCTCTACAAACTGCTATGGAAACTGATAGCGAATTTCGAAAAGGGTTACCTCGGGATTATTTAAGATATAGTGGTTTTGTACATTCCGAGAATCAGAGTAACGTCAAAGAAGAGTTCAAGGAAAAAGTTAAAGGTTTACTTAGAAAATTAATAGATTACATCGATGTAGATAATGCTGCAGATTTGATGGCCAAGGGTCATATTCACGACTTCTTACCGCCGGTTCTTTCAAAAAGTGAACAAGAATGTTCGATTGTCCAAGATGGCGAACAAATGACTGCAAATGGAATTGTTGAAAATCGGGTAGAAATAGAACCTGACACAAGAATTCGATTGTTAAGATCTCATGGCATAAGGCATGTTTTAATATAAGTTATATTATTTTTGAAATTAAGCAATTAACTTTCAAATGAAACTGTTAACCTTTAAAGTTTATTATTTATTATGTGCAGGTTAATCAAAGAGGATGACGCATTTAGAGTATACTATTCTAGTGAAAATTCTAAAGAATATCACGAATATGAACCACAATATTTAGAGGTTAGCGAAGTATTTGTACCTGCAATTCAAAAAATTATATTGCAATATCCTGATTTTATACGTGTAGAAGACTTGCCAATTGATGGAGAAGATAATAAGGTATGTTAAATAAGAATTAGTTCAATGAAATACTATATATGTATAATAACATTTGTTTAACAGATACAGATAGTTAAGGATCTATGGGAAAAATGTCTCGTTGTGACAGACAATCCGCTGTGTACGTTAGAGTAATTATAATTATTGTTTTTCAAGAATTTGTACAGAAATGAATAAAAAAATGAATATTAGAATCTGAAGTTTCTAGTAGGTTATTATTTTTAGATACTTGCACAGGGACTAAGATGGCGTAGGATTCAGGTAGCGTAAGAAAATGCTGAGTTGGAAAGTAAATATTTAGTTAGAATGATTGGTACATTACAGTATATTTCAGTAGAAGAAAACAGTTGTTACAAAAGAAATGGATTGAATGAAAAATAAATCTTTTCAAGCATATTTCATATAGATGTAAATTTGTGTGTCGCGCAGGTTTCTCTTAACATAGTCCGTAGATGAGAAATTTATTTTCCAATTCTTAGATTAGTATCTCTCTTAGCTTGAGCAATGTGGTCTCTCTGCCTACCGAGTACGTATTCGATATATCCAAGATATCCGTCGTTATCTAAATCATCCTCCTTTAGTACCTTGTCTATCAAGTCTTGATAATAGGAAATAATAATCATTAGTGTTTGGTATTTGTATTTTAGATATTTTTATAACTTTTGAATGAAGTATTTACAAGTAACGAGTTTACATACCAACAATCCATGGCAAATCATCTTCATAATTCGTCAATCTGGGTTCTTCGGTTATACTTTTACGCTCAGTGTCGGCGAGCCGATTTTCATGAAATGTATGTTGAATAGCATGGAGAATCTCTAATCCATCCAATTTGGCATTATTGTCAATGTCGTGAACTCTGCGATTAATAAAGTAATTACAGTTCTGCGATGTACACGATCGTTAATGATAACGCTTAGATAATTAATTAATCCATTCTTTCAATGATAGTTTTGAATGTTGGTCGATATATTTACCGAACATGGAATTATTGTTACAAATAGAAACTTGAGTTATACTGTTTCCACAGAAGGAAAAGTATTTTGTAGCATTAAAAAACATCGCACTTGGTTAATTTTATGAACATACTTAAAGTAGTGGAATTCTATCTCCTGTTCAGTCATGTTTGAAAAATCCAGATCATCTGCCATAGACCCCATGTCTTCTTTTAAATGGCTGAAATCATATATTCATCATTTCGGTTTCGTTGTATATCGCAAACGGGGTAATGTTGCTATAATTTCTATGCAAAGTGAGAGGAAAGTTAATTTAAGAAATTTCGAAAATCATCTGAAATTGTTTGGGTGACCGATGAATGAATAATGTTCATTGATGTTGATTGTTGCATTTTGGTATTAGATGTTCAATATTGATGTCACGTAAAAATATTCGAATCGTGCGATAAAGTATGGGGCATTTAGAGACAAATATAGTTGAAAAGAAATTAATATGCAGTTAACTAACGTAGTATCCTGTAGTAGATTTGCATCTTGTGTTATCTTAACGTCTTTCTGCGGAGCGTAGTGATGATGAGAGACGGCGCTTCGTGGATGATGAGGTCCACGGAAACCATTAGAGAGTGTGATACATAGACTGATCAAGACTGTGGTTATCATTTGCGCGTCTGAAACAGAACAAAAAGATGTCTTTATTATTTTTTAACAAGCCAATTAACCTTTCGACTACGGGACGATTTTTGTTAGAAATTCTAAGAGGCGTAGAGGCGTGAATTTACAAAAAAATATCAACTTATAAGACGGAGCTTTTTTATATTTTAGATTGAATTCCATCGCTAGTTTAAAGGCCGATATCATCGTAATAATTAAGTAAGGTAAAATACCCAGTACTTGAACACATTTTAAGATATATCATGGTCGAGTTCGACTTTGGCAAATAAACATTAATCTCTTAACAAGTGGACGTTTAGTTTTTTATAAGTCTAATTATTGTCAGTAATAACAAAGAATATCGTCGCTGCAGAAGTTACTGTGTATTTTTCCTTAGCTACTTTTTAGTTTGAACAAAGGAGTCGTTGTTTTACGGTACGTTTTCAATCGCTTTTACACGGATAAACAGGATGTGCAAATGCGAAACGAGGTGACAACTGACGAATGACACTACACGACATTTCTTACTATGCCCAACAACAATAGGACCTGCTGGGACACTTTCATCGCCTATGTTGCCGTAGTAGTGCCTATTACCACTTCCCGGGGTTGAACACCCCTTAGCTAGCGACAGATGGGCGGTAGAGGGAGTCCCAGTAATTATTATGCGATTACCCACAAGCCCATTGATTTAGATTGGACCCGGGGGGCGCAGTGCGCGGCACTGGGCCCGTCTTCAAATTTGCCACGCATCACTCGTCAGGGACTTGAATAGATTTTCAAGAAGGTACGGAAAAACGAGGCATGTTCCTTTCTTTTTTTCAAAGGAAATTTTAATAATTTGATTGAATCGTTCTTGGAAACTTTTTGTTAAAACAGTCGAAATGAAAGTTTTGCAACTGTTCCAAACTATCTATTGTACGAGAATAATTTTTAAAATAGTTCTTAAGGTACGTACCACGAGAACAGATATTCTTTTTAAGGAAAATTATAAGTTCGAACAGATTCAAAAAAGAAATATTTCTTTCGGTTCTTGGCGCGTTTTATGCTGCAGAATATAATCTAGACCTTCGTAATTACGAATTGTAAATAGAAATCTTAAATTAGCAAATTTTCTTCGTTAGTAGATGGTTGTCGAAAGAATTCGCGGTGGAGAAATGCATCGACTGAAATATCGAACCAAGTACGACGTATCGAAAGTTTAAAGCAAAGGAGCAACCGTTTTCGAGGGTTACAACCGAAAGGCGAAATGCAGGAACGAATAGAGATAGCGTCAATTTTCGTGTTTGCTCTCGAATTTAATACTCGACGTTGTGTAGAGAACAAACGGAGATAGGTGTTAAAAAACACGCAAGACAGATAGGAATCCGGGGTACTTAGGAATCAATTTTATATAGGCTTACGGCGGTTGAGTGAGAATGCATATGTTGAGGGTGCCTCAAGGGGCTTTCGATGCAAGTGGACCCCCCGGGTACGCACCCCAGTTGGAACAGAACACTCTCGGTTCCCCTTCCTCGCTTTGGTGTCGAAATCTATAAATAATTTATATCATTTGGTCCATTCACCAAGAGAGCCCATATGTACCTGTGTCGCCTTACAGGGGATCTGTGACCAGTTCAGATTTTTCGCGCAGAACATTACTAAGAACCTCGGATCAGAGCTTATCTCATGGTTGTTTGGTTAACGAGCCATAGACACCTACATGTATGTCGGCGTCATACATTCATTCCGATTCAAGAATGTTCGAAAATGTACTCTATCTCTTCCGATAGTGATTTTTTTTTCCCAACCCTTTTTGTATCAAGGATATTTCAAGGTCATCGATGTTTTTTCTCTTATAAATGGATACTTTTTCGTATCACATCACGTAGCTGTCATCAAAATACGTTCAGATATATGTATAATAAGATGACCTCGAAATTCAAAAAATTCAATTAAATTCAAATTCTACTTTGTGGAAGCTTGTAAATAATTAAGAGTTCTGACTTTGTTTTCAATAGTTGTGTAGTTTCTGATCGAATAAACTAATAGTTCTGTCAATGAGAACTATTGATTCATTTTTTCAAAAAGCTAAAATCATCCGGTAAAATGTCGATGTATTAACATGCAACCTAAGAGTCAGACCGTTCCATGGAGGGTTAAATAACATATATTTTCAGATTGCGGAATTATCATCCCTTAATCTTCAAATAACCCGCGCTCCTTGTCTTTCGATATCTGGCATCCGAGACTATCGAAGCGCGATCTTTAGCGCGCCATCGAGTAGGGTAACTACCCCCTCGTTCGTTCCAACTCGATTTAGGTTAGCCTAACCCTAACCTAACGTCGTGACGAAGCCGGAGTTGGTCGTTCGACTCGATATTCGAACGGATTCGCTTCCAACGTGGACGAATCCCTGTTTAGAATAAAATGCGCCCTTACCTGAACACGGCGAGTTCGATCAGCTGTGATTATCGATCCTCGAATGCAACTCGAGTCGCCGTTCAAACCTTTTTTCGTCGATCTTTCCGACGGTGTTTTCGACTGGGTCTCTTCTCACGGGGAAATCGCGTGACATTTATCGACGTTCTTCGGGGAGTTTGCGTATTAGAAGAGTTGCTCGAAACTGTTCCACCCTCGAGCGGGTCACTCGACTTTCGAATTTTCTAAATGAATGGACAAAAATTCATCGAATAGGATTCCTGGGATGTAGTCAATCTATTTGGATAAAAACTATCGAATTTAACACTTTTTTTGGTTTAAGGGAGGATAGTGCCGTCTAGAGGGATGATTTTTAGGTAATTTTTAGGATTTTTATTTGGGAAAATAAATAAATTTTTCTACGTATTGCTACATGTTTAAAGCAAGTAGAAAGAATACTTCTATTGTAAAAAAATATAAACGTGAACGTCGTATGGGAAGTCTTATTAAATAACAAAGAAATGATAATTTTCTGAATTAAAAATATATAATTTATACGATAATAGAATTCATTAAAATCCCATCTATATTTCCATTGATTCTCTAATTTAATGTTTAGATTTACATAAAAGTTTTCATTGGAAAGAACAAAAAATAATCAACAAATATTTATTGTTAGAAGTAATCGGTCTATAATTTTGAAAAGCATTTTCAAACGAAATTCAATATATTTTACATTGTGCTGGATGCACTTCATCATGTAAATTGCATTATACTCTGGTTTTCTATAACGGTTCACTTTTTGAAATTGTGAGGTGCATTGAAATCCATCAAGATAAAAATTGGTTGAAAATGAAGAGACAATCCTTGTTCACTCGTTCATTTTATTAAGTTCTCAATATTAAAACGAAAATTTTGCCTTTAAATTTCTTATTGCTCTTTAAACTGCTGCAAATAATTTTTTAAATATTATCGAGTAAATAGAAGTAATAATTAAGAATAAAAAAATCAGATACCTAGTAAACTAAGTAGTAGATAATATGAGGATTTGTATTTGTTTAATGAAAAGCATTGATTAAATAAATCCAATCGTTTCTAAATTCTCACTTCTCACTTCTAAATAAACTTCGCACAATGTAATTATTATAATTACATGATTATTCCAATGCGAATAAATAGATACAAATGGTTACGTACAACGTTTCCTCAATGAACTGCATCGAAAAACTTCTAGTAATAATTAATTTGTTTTCATGTTTTTATCGAGTCTCAGGTGTTGGACCATTCATTTGGAACCTTGAAGCTTCAGATTCATGAGCTTCACGGTAGATTCACCACTGATAACAACACAGTATTACCTCGTTAACTATCGTGGTTTCTGGCTCATTAGCTGTCGCGTGTGAGGTTGGAAACGTTCGCATAATGATTCATTTCGTCAACGAATAAAACATAGTATTTGTTCGTCGACACCAGACACCATTTTCATTTTATACAGTTCATGTTTATTTCAATGTGCAATTAATGGTACAATTTATATACAATTCATCGCAACGACCCCATCGTTCTTTATTAAAATTGAAAGCTCTAATTTCAGTTCGTTTACCCAAATTTGTAACGTGGTAAATTTATTTAATGTTCGGTCGGAGTTAATAACTGTAATATTTAATGAAGTGGAACTGTTGAGGCAGGGGGGCCAACCGCCCCCAAAGTTTCTTTCAAAATTAATTCTGTTTTTAGATAGTTATTTGTTTTCTTTATAAATAAAAGCGAACAAAAAATTGTTTCATTTAATTCATGCTTTTCATTAAACGAATACAAATTTAATAAATTAATTCTGCTTTAATGCTCACATAAAAATTGATTGAAAAACAGGAAATGATCACCTACGAATTACGTAATTCTGTCATGGTTTCCAATAAAGATTAACGAAGATCGTAAGGGTGCGTTTATACGGTTTAGGGAATGTGTACAGAGTAGTCATATCGTGCCGCAGGATTTGATTGATAAACCACAAATGCCAAAAGATGGCCACATGGATTTCATCGCTTTCGGAGTTGCCTAACGGTGGATTTTCTCGAAATGGTAGTTGCCGAATACCATTGAAAATTGAACCAACAAGCTTACCGTCCAACACTTTACCAAAATTATTTTTAATATTTCATATATTTCTGATATAATTCGCATAATTCGGGAATATTTAAAGGATTCGAAGGACAAAAAGAGAAGGCTTGAAAGCGTGAGACAAATTAGCGATACGTCGTATGAACGATCGAGGGTCCAGGAAGTACCGTGTACGTAACGCGCGCATAAGCCGAAAAAGGGGCTGAATAGCGTGTTCGGGGAAAAGAAGAGGCAACCAAAGCACGAATAGACAAAAGAAAAAGATCGAATAACGGAAAAGTCTAGGTGAAGGCAAAGAGTGGTGGGACGGGAGTGGGCGGACGGACGGACAGACGGACGGGGTGGGGGGGTGGGGACGATGGGGGGAGGGAAAAGTGCGCGAAAATGGAGGCAGAGAAGAAAACAGAAAATTGGACAGCATGTGTACAAGGACCAAAGAGTCAAAGAAAAAAAAGAAACCAGAAATACAGGGGGTTGAGAGAGACGATGAAGGGCAGGGATACGAAAATAGAGAAGGGAAGGATGGGGAGGTGGAAATAGAGACGTCCGTGAAACAGGAAAAGAGAACGAAAGAGGGAATAGATGGGTACGCGTGTTCAGAGGGAAACCAAGATGGAGGGAGATACCACTGCGAACGACAGAGAGAAAATAGGGGGCGGAGAGAGTAAGCGATAGCGTGAGAGCGAGAGGAATAGGGTACACGGATGGGTCTCTGGTTGCCATGACGACTACCGTCGCCTAAAGCTATGCTTTTATTGATTCCAAGCCACAAACAATGTACAGGAGTGAATGTTTCGCTCTGTTCTCTCTCTATCCGTCTGAATAGTGAGGTATTAACGTACCCCGAAATACCGATATCCACGGGCACGTGCCCCAGAAAAGCAGGGTCATGCCAAGAGCTCTTCGATTAATTTACAGAGGCGTCAGGCTTGCGTGCCTATCCGTTCCATTAAAATGCAGTCGGCCCAAACATGAAGGATCATGCGTGGACAATAACGTGGAAAAGTCTTGGGCCACCATGTCGAGCTTACAATTAGTGTTAATCCTTTACGGACGGATGGCTCTTGCACGTCCTGTCATTTTCCGTCCTAAACGATCGATTTATAACACGATCTATACACTATCGGCCATTCATTTCGATACACCACCGTATTTGTGATTTTTGTCAAGGATCAACGCAAGTAAAAAGCTATTTTGTGACAAGATTTATTATTAGGGGGGCCAGAAAGTAACGTCATTTCTTTTACATTAAATTCAAATTTTTTAATAAATTCCTGTTTTTATTTAATTAGGTAATCACCTTTTATTTAAGTTTGGATGCTTATGCATATTTTCACAAGTACAGAAGAAGTATTGAAACTTGAATGAAAGTATGGCTTGTCTTCTAAATGGTATAGCATGAATATTATTATTGATATTTATTTTTGCATTTGTGTAGATTTTCATATTTCCATTAGCCGTAAATGCATAATGATTCGCAGTTTAGTTGTTAGTGACTGTCGAGTCACGTAACTTGTATTCTTCATTATTACTTCAAATATTAAATTTCCAAAATTTATGATACGTGTAGTATTTGCAATATAGTTTGTCTGAGAGGTACAGACATATTTACTTCGATTGGCATACGATTCGTGGCCAGAAACTCGATTAGGAACGCCTCTGTAACAGATCCAGCGACGTCGGAAACGATCAATTTTCTTATCCTCATCATTTGAGTACCAATTGCTTGCCAGTTTAGTCATTTTAGACGTATGTATTCATCAGGATACGATGGTAATAATTTTTTATTGAACTAGTGGTTGTATATATTTGTGTTTGTATTAAATTGCCACAAATAATTTGTCAAAAATGTCGTACTAATTGTTGATCGGCTAGATCCTTATTATCCATATTAGATGGGCTTAAGTAATACGAATTCATCTTTCTTTAAGGGTTATTAACAATCTTTACACGCAAATGAATATTTCAAAATCTGTAATTCAGGTATCGAAATTATTAATAAATTTCTAAAATTCTGTTCTCACGAATTGACAATGAGCACATATCTTGAAAATACAAATTCCAAAGTAAACGAACTCTGCTACTTATGAAACTGGTAATCTGTAGTTGGCGGTTTGCAGAGTGCCAAAACGGCAAATCAATTGACAAATCTTTTATCTTTATCCGTATCCACCAGTTCAAAATCGAATCAATAACAATGAGTGAAACCACTGAGGCGAAAGTCAGATCGCGATCGAGTTTTCTACCCGATTACAACGAACGGGGACCTCCTATCGTGATCTCCTGGATGAACGGTTTACCGCCTAGGGAATGCGTTTCATTCGTATGGCGAACGACCGGCCTTTCCTTCGATTTGCAAAAGAGTTTGCATCGTGCTCAGCAGTGGTTGTGCTTGAATTCATGAAAATAAACTTTTCAGGACTTTTGAGTCATTTAAAAAGGGAAACCGCACGTAAGAGGTTAAACATTAGGCGTCCTTTGCGATTGTTTTTCACAAAGAAAAATTTGCTTAATGTCTTTTTTAACTTTGAAAATGTTTTAGGTATAATATATTTGGTAATTTTGTTCAGTTCATTTTCCACAGAAATCTTTGACATGTCGACCGTTCTCTGTATAACAAGTTTTCGCTCGAGTCTGCTAGGAGTAAGAATTCTAGAGGTTACAGTCGTTATTCGAAATCAATGAAATTACTTTTTCTTTGAAATCTAATACAAAATGCGTAATCCAGGTTATTATTTTGCTAATAAAAAGTGATACTAAACTTGTTGCATCAAAAAGAAAATGTACGATATTCTTTTGGAATAATTCGTGACTCGAAAGGCTATAAACTTCTCCGTTGAGTAATTGCAATCAACTCGAACTACGAGACATCTCGTAGTCGGCAGCGAATGGGTTAACCGATTGCGTTGGCCCTACCTGTTGACACGCCGTTGGTACCACGCGTCCTGCAACTAAGTCCACTCGAATTCGTCGCATTTTCGGACTGGTAGCGAGCCATTCCCTTAAAAAAGTATACCGTTCGGTTAACAGTATTTTTGTTTTC